TTTTTATGTTCTCGAATATTAAAATTACAGAAAATGAAAAGAGCAGAAGTTTCACTTGACAGACTTTCTGTTCAACCTAATTGCGATCGGACAAAATTTTAAGAGAACAGAAATATCAGTTAACATAATTTCAATTTTGCAGAATTTTTAGTTAACATAATTTAAAATAAACAGAAATGTCATTTGACATAATTTTTATGTTCTCGAATTTTAACTTTTCCGAAAATAAAAATAACAGAAATTTAACTTGACAGACTTTCTATTCAACCTAATTGCGATTGGACAGAATTTTAAGATAACGGAAATATCAGTTAACATAATTTCAATTTTGCAGAATTTTTAGTTTACATAATTAAAAATAAACATCAATGTCATTTGTCATAATTTTTATGTTCTCGAATCTCAAATTAACCGAAAATAAAAACAGCAGAACTTTCATTTGATAGAATAAATCCATTGTTGATGATTGTTTAAACAATGAATACACAATGGATTTGGTATGTCAAGTGAAACTTCTGCTGTTTTCATTTTCGGTTAATCTGAGATTTGTGACCATAAAAATTCTGACAAATGGTGTTTCGGTTGTTTTTCAATTCTGTAAATTAAAAATTCGGCAAAATTAAAATTATGACAAATGATATTTCTGTTTTCTTAAATTTCTGTCCAATCACAATTCGGTTGAACAGAAAGTCTGTCAAGTTAAATTTCTGTTATTTTTATTTTCGGAAAAGTTAAAATTCGAGAACATAAAAATTATATCAAATGACATTTCTGTTTATTTTAAATTATGTTAACTAAAAATTCTGCAAAATTGAAATTATGTTAACTGATATTTCTGTTCTCTTAAAATTTTGTCCAATCGCAATTAGGTTGAACAGAAAGTCTGTCAAGTGAAACTTCTGCTCTTTTCATTTTCTGTAATTTTAATATTCGAGAACATAAAAATTATAACCAATGGTATTTCGATTATTTTTTTATTGTGTAAACTGAAAATTTGGAACTATAAAAATTCGGTTTTTTAAAAATTTTGAAATATTTAAATTCGGTTTATTAACACTTTTGTAATTTTAAATTATGTTAATTAAAAATTCGGTTATTTAAAAATTGAGGAAAAAGTAGGCGTCTCCTTAATGGTTGTTTTCGGCGTTCGCCCTGGGTTAACTCTGAGTTAATTGTGATTGGTAGATCTAACAGAATGTTAATGATGATTGGACCATCGTTAACTCTGGGTTAACCCAGGGTGAACGCCGAAAACAGCCAATATATGCGCCTAAAACATTAGTATTGGTACTAGCAGAAATCCTAACCTCAATTTTTATATATAAAATTCAAAAACCTTTCTTTATTTATTAGAAACAAATTATTTTTATTAGTGAACAATATAATTTTCTCATGTAATTACTTTTTTTTAACACCTATACTTTTTAAGGAATAGATTTTATAACTTTTATATATATATATTATCACAGTAAACTTGGTTGTATCTTTTTCTATTGCAACGTATTGATGCACATAAGTTATATAAAAAAGAGATCGTTTTGTGTATAATTTTTAGAAATGATACACGAAACGGTCTCATTTTTTGATGCAAAAAATTTAATCAATTTATATCAATCATGGCCGAATTGAATCGACTCAAAATTAAACGAATTTTTTTCAGATATTTTGGTAATAGTACAATTGCGGAGACCATTTCACTATTTAATTTAAAAATGAAAATAACAGAAAATCAAAGACAATGTGCAATTCGATAATTGAAAAGTGACAGCTTATAAACATAACCTAAAATGCATGAGAAAAAATTTGTCGATAAAATCTATATAGCCGAGCTTTTTAGAAGGTAGATGCGGCAGTTTTGCTTTTTATAAAAACGATTCAGAAAAAATTTAAAGAAAGAAAATAGATAAGTGCTGCCATCTACCTTCTAAAAAGCTCGGCAATATTGATTTTATCGACAAATGTTTTTTCATGCATTTTAGGTTATGTTTATAAGCTGTCACTTTTTAATTATCGAATTGCACATTGTCTTTGATTTTCTGTTATTTTCATTTTCAAATTAAATAGTGAAATGGTCTCCGCAATTGTACTATTACCAAAATATCTGAAAAAAATTCGTTTAATTTTGAGTCGATTCAATTCGGCCATGATTGATATAAATTGATTAAATTTTTTGCATCAAAAAATGAGACCGTTTCGTGTATCATTTCTAAAAATGATACACAAAACGATCTCTTTTTGATATAACTTACGTGCATCAAAACGTTGCAAAGATTTGATGCAATTTTTGGTCTCAATTTGATACTTTTAGGAAAACTGTGTATATATACACGGTTAACTTTAATAATCCTTTGTTTAAAAAAAATAGAAGAAACTTATTTTATACATACTAATCTCATTGTTCTCGGGTTTTAGGCCAACGTTAATATGATTTCTAGGCGGAACAAAATAGTTACGCATATTTTGTAAGAGAACTCTTTGTTATAAAATAGACGTCAACATGAATAGAATAATTATGATATTATTTTTATTTGACTTCCGTCGAACAAGGATTTTCCATCTTACGCTAAAATTGCATATTTATATTATTATTTATTTTAATAAATATACAAATATTTTAAACATCTTTTCGCATTGGCAATTTTGGTCTATATTTATAAATTTATTCTCACGTTTTCGGGATGATTTCGGATTTTAAATTCGGACAGATTATAAAAACTGAATAAGTTCTGAATTTACAAGAAATCAATCCACAATTAGTGTGCAATAATCAGAATTTAATTCTGATCATGATGCGGAATTAAATCTGATTATTTCGGCTTTGGTATTTCGTCCTGATTGATGCGAATCATTTTTGTACAATTTCCTAATTAATTCGGACTGATCGCAGTGAAAAACACTATCAAGGGCGATCACCAATCCGAGTACTAGTTGTACTTAAGTGTGCTTAACCTCAGTGATCGCAAGCCAAGGTATTTCTCCGCCCGCTCTATATCATCACTTCTGAGCATCTCTGGGAACTTTTGATTCAAAAATAAAAAAAATTACACCAGAAAAAGTAAAATTTACTCCGGAAATAGTATTTTTTACTATATCCGGAGTAAAAGTTGACAGAAATGCAAAAAAAAAATTACGAACAATTTAGGATTATTTTTTCCCTATGGAAGAAGTAAAAATTACTTTATTTTTCATTTTTCTCTGTGTTTAAATATAATTTTTATAAATTATTTGAAAACTTATTTTCTCTCATCAATTTTTTTTTTTTATAAGTTTTCCGAACTGCAATTATTAAAGTTCGCTGATAAAATTTTTAATTGCGACAACAATTATTATTTGTGAAAATAATTATTGTTGAAATAATAGACTCATATTTAATTTTTACATCCGTTATTATAAATATATATATATATATATTTTTTTTAACATATTGATTATCTCAAAATAAAAAAAGAAAAAGCAAAAATAAAATAGCTTGAATTTTTCAAATCCCTCGTGTAACATTTGTATTATTTTGGAGTTCGCACACAATTACGACTTAATGAAGGTCGACTCCTACGTTCACGAAAAGAAAAGTGAAAATTGAAGAAAATCTTCTTCTCAACTCTTACATGAAACTGCCACTCTATCCGGAAATAAAGTTCTATTTTCCTAAAGGAAGATTTCTTATATTAATTAAATTCGAAAGTTGAGTCCAAAGGAAGTCTTGTTCCTAAAATTATCAAATATCATCATCATTATATCATTATCATCATTATCCATTTTTTTTCTTTTTTTTTTTTTTTTAATTGAATTCATTAATTATTATTTCCCTAATCAGTCATTTATATCATACATTTTATTGTTACTTTTTTATTTGACGAAAATTAAAAAAAAATTAAATTATAAATTTTTAATAAAATAATTTTTAAAAAATTATTTAAAAATAAACAATTTTACATGTATATTTTTATGAATGATGATAAGTCTCCTTTCTTTGAATGATCTCAATAATGAAAATGAAAAAAAAAATTAAATTAAAAAAAAAGAATTGAAACTATATAAAAACGAGGAGAAAATGGTGTCAATAAATATCGACTAATTACCATCAGAAATTTATAATAATAATGAATGTCTTATATTATGTTGCAAGGAAATATGAAACAGGGACCAATTAATAATAGAATCTAGCGTGACGATAATGAATAAGGCACGGTTGGTTTATTCGTGACACTTTTATTTTCACCTAGGTTCATCATTTTGTCATACTTAATAAATCCAGGGACAAAATATACATTATTCTTTCGCGATTAAATCCTGTTTACAATTTTTTATTTATTTTCATGTATTGAATTTAATTATTTTTTATTAAATTTATTTATTATTAAAATTAAAATTATAAAAAATAATTAATTTAATTATTTATTTATTTATTTATTTAAAAAAAAGGAAATAATAATTTACATCATTTTTTAAATGATTTTATTTATATTAATTTATTTAATATAAACTTTATTTTAATCAACTAAATTGGAGAAAATTTTCAATATTTTTTTTTTAGAAATAATATTCAATATAAAATATAATTATATACAATAATGAAAAATAATTAATAATTACTCACGAAATTTGTGTTTGAAAAAAATTAAATGAAGACAGTGAAGAAATCTTTATATAATACGGGGGGAAAAAATGTAGAAATCAAACTTTCGACAACGGAAGGTAAAAATTTTTTTTTTTAAAGCTTCAAAAAGAGCATTATAGTTTAAATAGCGTAATAAGCCTGTAATTGTCAAATTTACAGTGACTTTAATATAATTCACATGGAAAATTGGCCAATAACAATTATTGCCTAATGATTAACCTGCGTTGTCCATTATGCGTACCTGTGAAATAAATATAAACTGACAGGACCTCATGTGTGACCACAACTATAAAGAGTGAGACTCAAAAATTAGAGAGGCATAATAGTTCCATCATCTCCGAGTTCAACACACACACATATATACATAATAATTTTTGTGATTCAAAAAATTTTAAATTAAAAAAAAAAAGTGCTATTATTATAAAACTGAAACATTTAAAAAAAACAAGTGCGTTCCGTTTAATTAAATTTTTTCAAAGTTAAATAAATACATTTTTTTATAATAAATAAAATAAAATTTTATTTTTTTCTCTTAAAAAATTATGAAATAAAGAAATTTATATTTATTCAATTTCAAATTAGGGTGAAAAAAAAAATTAACAAATGACTTAAAAAAAATATTTTCGGTGAAATTAAATTTTTGAAAAAAAAAAAAAAAAAAAAATGCATAAAGAGTGTTTAATTTGCGTGTTGATCGTTTCGATCGGAGTGAGTTGTTCCGCTTGGTCACAGGAAGAGAAAAAACATTTTTCTGATATACGTCCTGCAACAACAATTGTGGAGGAACGAATTGCAATTAGAGAATCAGATGAAGTTAAAGTCACATCTAATCCATTACAAATTAAAAACGATGACACTACTGATGGTGATAATAAAAATCAAAAAAAATTGAGACCCACCTCTGGATATTCGCATGAAATTAAAGATACGTTACTTTAATATTTTACATTAAAAAAAAAAAAAAAAAAATTTTTTTTGTTTTTTACCTAATTATTATTAAATTAAAAATTACAAAAAATAATTTTTTATAATAAAAGAATATTATAAAATTAATTCAATCATTTTCAAATGTTAATTTATTTTAATTTTTCATAAATTTTGTAACTAAATTATAGACATTCTTCTAATTTTATTTTAAACAAATAGGAATACTCACAGGGCGTAATGACACATAATTTATTCTTTCTTGTTTAACTTTGTTTTTTTTCACATTAATTAAAAGTTTATCGTACACTAAAAACTTATTCTAAATATATCAGCTTTCATAAAAAAAAAGAAAACTTTCTGATATCACTTTTACTTTTTTTTTTGCTCGGAAAGTTTTTTTCGGAGTGGAACAAGTGTGTCGATTCGCCCCACTCATATTTTCAGTTATTATTATTTTTTTTAATTATGTTTATTATTATTATTATTATTATTATTATTATTATTATTATTGAAGATAGAAATAAAAAAATTTTATATGTTCTTTAAAAACGATAACAATAAAAAATTAATTTACTTAAAAAATATCATACTCAAATTTCAATTCTTTCAAACATTCAATTATTTTGTCATTAAATGATGTATAAATTTAATCATTTCTTAAATTCAATATTACCCAAATTGAAATATAAATTCTGTATTTAGTGAAAATAATTTTTTTTTTTTAATTCAAATTTTTGAAATATAATTAAATGCTTAATAATAATAAAATTAAAATATCGATTTTAAAATTAAGTACATTGTATTATATAATAATTTATTTTTAAAATAATTTATTATTTAATGTTTTAGATTTGAATATTTCTTATTAAATATACAATAAATAAATAGAATTCAAAAATTTTAAATAGAATTAAATTTTTTTTTTGTTTTTTCTAAAAAAAAAATTTGTCTTCCTAATAAAGAATTTTTTTAAAAAAAAATTTAAGGATTTAGTCAATTTTTATTAATTACCTTTAAATAAAATCGAAGAATAAAATTTTGACAAAATTATATAATAGAAAATATGTAAAAATAAATAAATTTTTTTCTTACAAGACCCGAATGCTGTGGTCCAAATAACGGTCCTTCAAGATCTGAAGGAGTTAGAAAAAGTAGTTCTGAAAATGAACGAGATAAATATCCTCGATATGGACCTTATCCTGATGAAGGGTAATTAAAAAATTATTAAATTGTTTTTTTAATTTTTTTTTTTTTTTTTTTAAATTTATAGTCTTTTGATATTTATTTATTTACTAGAATAAAATTGACTAGAAAAAATTTATAAAATTATATAAATTTATTCATTTAATTAAAAACAATTTTTAGTATTTATATATATATATTAAATATATTATTTAATATTTTGTTAATTTATTTATTTATTATTTACATCATATTTACTTATTATACTTCATATATTCATTTCTCGATCTTCATTATTTATTTAAAATTTTTTATTTAAAAAAATTAAAGTATAAATTTTTGAATTAATTATTTGTAAAAAAAAAATTTTTTTATTCAAAATAATTTTTCGAATAATATTTAAAATGGAATTTCAATTTTCATATAAATTTTATTTTCTCCGCCTCTTTTGAAACTCATATCGCAAGAAATTCCTCACATTTTTTAAGCACACACACACACACACACACACGCGCGCAATTTTAAATTTCCTCGCAAATTCTTTGAGAAAAAAAAAAATATATATATATAATATCTAAAAAATAATTTAAAAAAAAGGAAAATCATTATTTTTGAAATTATTAATTAAATACAAGTAATTGGTACATTTTGGCAGAAGATTTAGTTGGCAAAGTTCGAATCACCCTTCAGAATATGAAGATAATGGCGGTAGACCAGGAAGTTATAGAGGACCTTATGCCGGAAGTGAATCATATTCAGAGAGGTAATTAACTCGAGCCAGCCCTAATTATACTGTAATTAAACAGAAAGAAAAAAAAATTTTTTTTGTCTTCAAACGAAATTATATAAATTAAACAAGAGAAAATAAAAATTACAGATTTAAAAAACCACAATACGGCAATGAAAATAATAAAGGAAATTTAAATTTTGGTGGACTTGATAAATTTAGCGGTAAATTTGGCAGTATATTAAACAATAAATTTGGATTTGCTAATAAATTTGGAATTGGTAATAAATTTGGTTATTATGGCGATGGTGAATATGGAAGGCCTGGTTATCAAGAAAATACTGATCTAGCAAATCAAGAATCAGGATTTGGAGGTGATAATACACCACAACCACCGGCAAATTTTGCCACTCAACAGGTAGATTCATATAATAAGACAATATTCAATAATTCAAAAATTACCAAAAATAATAATGGAATTCAAATGGAAAATGTTGATTATCAAAATAAAACAATTGTGGAAAATTTAGAAATTATGGACAATGAAAATGAAAAGGAGGAATTTAATCAAGCTCAATTTAATTTATTCAATAAAAGTGCCGAATGGCCCATTACAATTAATTTCAATAAAATTAAATTTAAATTTAAAATCAAAGCAATTAAATAAAATAATAATTGTATGACATTCAATAGTTTAGATTAAAAAATAGAAAATTATTTTCAAATACCATTGCAGTACTTTGTTAATTGTTAATATAAATATTGTTATATATAGTAAAATTGATGTAATAAAAAAAAATTTTTTAACAATATTTCAATGAATTGTTAATAATTATTGTAAATAATTTTTTTTCTAATTTTTAATTAAAATCGTGAGTTTAAATTTTTTTTGCAGGCGGTTGCTTTGAAAGCACTTGCAGGTGTTGCTTTGATTGGCGCTGCAGCAGCTTTAGCAACAAATCCCGTCCTTCTGCCAATAAGCGCCATTGCCGGTCGAAGAAAACGCGATCTTGAAGATCAGTTCAATAAAGAACTTTCAAATTTTCCCTCAAAAATATTGAAGAATTACGCGACAAAGGTATTTTTAATTTATAATAATTTTCATCGAAGGGAAAAAAATTAAAAACAAAATTATAATATTTAACGAGTGACAAAGGTATTTTTAATTTATAATAATTTTCATCAAAGGGAAAAAAAATTGAAAACAAAATTTTTAGTTTTTTTTTTTTCAACAATATTTTTAGTGGGACAATTAAGTGAAAAAATTTTATAATTATTAATTAATTTATAATTTCGTTTTGTCTATTCTATTTATTTATTAAATATGTAATATTTATAAATGATTCATTTGTAATAATAAACAATTAATACATTTTTTATAAAAAAAAAATAATTATGTTAATATTTTTTAATTAATTTTAATTAATTTTGTTATTGTAAAATTACATTCACTATTTAATTTTTTTTTTTTTTTAAGTTTTAATTTTCAATTTTTCACATTTAAAGAAATAAAAATTTTTTTCATATAAAAATTAGATTCCTGGAAATAATAATGGACCTGATTTATCAATAACTCCACAATGTGTTGCTCGACTGGCTTGTGAAATTCAAAAAGATTATATCACTGATTTAAAAAAAAATAAGGATATCTTAAAGGAAGACAAAAACAGTTTCCATGATATGGAGCGTTGGTTCATGAGCCTGTATGTAAATTATTATTTTTTTTTTATCATTAGATCATTTTTCTATCTATCAAAAAAAAAAAAAAAAAAAATTTTTTTAGAAAATTTATTTATATTTATTTAAAAATTCAAAAATAAATTATATTTGAATTGAATAAAAAATTTCTCGTTGTTCATATATTGTAAAATTAAATATTTTTTTATATTTGCGTATTATTTATATTAGAGTTAACAAATATAAAGTTTTTCATTAATTTTGAAATATTAATGAAATTTTTATTTTCTATATTATTATTATTCGTTTTACATTTTTTTGATTGAATTTATTTTGTATTATTTGTGAAAAATAATTTTTTTTTTCTATTTTACCTTTAGTATCCAGAAAAATATTCTTGATGCCGACTACGTCGATGGAAGTATGAAAAAGTTGATTAAATTGGCCACCCTCGTTGGTTCAGAAGGACGGGATTGTACAATGTTTATATGCAGCAATGTAAAAACTTAGAAATTATTTATATTCATTTTAAAAATATCTTGTTTCCTCATTTTTTTTTCTTTGTTTATTATACACGTAAGAAATTATTTTTTTTATTTTATTTTTATATGTCATTTCATAAAAATATATCTTGATGTTAAATAAAATACTCTTGTGATTTAATACGTTTATGATTATAGTAAAAATTTAATAAAAATGTTCACATTTTTTTTAAATTTCGTATTTTATGCGAAATTTGTCATTAAACAAAAAAATATATAAATAATTTACGAACTTGAATTCAATTAAATTTTATCATCAGTACGCTTTATAAATTCTCATATATTTATCATTATTTACAATCTACAATGTTGTTTTTTGGTTTTTTATTATTTTATTCACAAGAAAATTTGCGCAAATTCAAAATTAAATTTGAAATAATTCAAGCTTTTTCTGATTGGTTGTTTTTAAATATAATCGATTAATTGATAGTTTCGATTGATTTACTGCGCATGGACAGAACGGAATATTAGCATGGCGCATAAATTTGAATTTAATTACAAAGTATGAAATTTTATTTTTTTTTTTTTAAATTATTCACAAAAATAAAATATATTTATAAAAAGTAAAAAATTAAATTATTTATAAATAAAAATAAATATAATATAAATAAAAACAATTATAAATAAATTGTCTTCAATTCTGATTCATTACTGCGGAAACCTCATTTATGTTTATATGTGTCACACATATATATATATTGCATAAAGTATTCTATTTTTAATTAGAAGAAAAAAAATATTTTCAACAAGTGGAAATTTTAAAGAAAATAAGAAAATTGTTTAAGATGACGTGTCCCAATCTCAAGTAAAACAACGTGGCACATGTGATTCTAGTAGAGACAAATTAATGTAAAAATCAGGTTTGACCATAGAAATTCATGTGAAATAGACCAATCAAATATTTTAAGAAATTTACGTCACTCATGTGATAGAAGAAATGTACAGCAATGTACTGAAAAATTTTTAACTATTAAATAATAATAAAAATAATTTTAAAAAAATACTAAAGAGAAAAATTAATCCACTGTTTATAAAATTAATTCACTTAAAAGAATCATAACCTAAAAAGTTGTTTTATATATTTCTTTTTTCTAAAAAACACTTTCAGAATCAAAAAAAAAAACACTTTAAAAATGAAAATAATGTTAAAAAGTGTACTTTTCTCAGAAATCAGCTGATTATGCGCAAATATGAAGAAAAACACAAAAAATGTGCGCAATGAATCAACCTTAATAAAAGCATTCTAACCGTATTTGTTTGTCAACGTGGTACTGACATTAGAAATATATCAAAGTTACTTATTTAAAATAATCGTACTTAACTTTTTAATTTTTTTTAACTAAATATAATTTTTGCACAATGAAATTTGTTGGTTTTTAAAGAATTGTGTTACATTTTTAAACAAAAAAACCCGTTATTTAAAAAGAGGTTAAGAGAAAAAAGAGTTGAAAATATCATGGTTAATTTATGCGCGTATTTTAACAGTAAATAATGTATTCAATACGATTTAATGTTATGATGATTAGATGAATAATGTCTAAATTTCGATCAGTGCAGTGTAATAAACATCGTCATTTGATTTTTATAACTTTATTAAGGTCCGTAATTCCTTATGGAAGTTTTACAACCTAACCCTTAAATTTATAACGCGAAGTGAATTTTTTTTTTTTTATATCGTATTAATTGTTTATATATAATAATAGTTTTATCGCACTTGTAAAAGAATTATCTATTTATTTTAATTTTCGTTGACATTATTTTTGTTTTTAAATTTAAAAATAGAAAATGAAAAAGAGAATGCAAAAGGAACGTAAACTGGAAGATGGTTCCGGTGAAATTGTCGAACATCATGAACATGGTGATATACGAGGGGATGAAAGAAATATTGTTATTTTATTTTTTTTATATCTATTACAAGGAATACCACTTGGTTTAAGTGCTGCTATTCCTATGCTTTTACAAAATAGAAATGTTTCCTATCGTCAACAGGTAAGATTTTGTATTTTCAAAATGGTTTCTTTCATTTTACTTGGATTTACATTTTTATTTTCATTTTTGTGAGAAAAAAACATTGATTAAAAGAATTTTTAGAATAAATTTCTTATGTTTCAAGTTGGATTTAAATTTTTCTTTTAAAATTTAATTTTAAACAATGTTATCATCAAAGTTTATTAAAATTTTCCTCTTCCATAAGGAAGCAAAAAAAAAAAAAAAAAAAATATATTGAAAATAAAAAAATACTTTTATATTTATTATTAATTTAATAATTATTTTATTAGTCACGTTTTTTTTCTATTTATTTATTATTTTATTTTTAAAGAAAAAAATTATACTTAAAATTTATATTATGAATTAAAACTAAACAAATAATTATTGATTACAGGCGGAATTTAGTTTAGTGAATTGGCCATTTTCATTGAAACTTTTGTGGGCACCGATTGTAGATTCTGTATATTTAACACAATTTGGCCGCAGAAAAACATGGCTCGTTCCAATACAATATTTAATGGGATTATTTATGTTATTCCTCTCTGGACATGTTGATAAATGGATGGGAACTGACGATGAAAATCTCAATATTGGATTTCTTACGTGTATATTTTTTTCATTAAATGTTTTAGCGGCAACTCAAGATATTGTTGTCGATGGATGGGCCCTTACAATGCTTAAACGGTTGGAATTATAATATGTATTCATATTTGTTCAATTTAATTAAAATTTTTTTTTTTTTTTTTTATTTCATTTTAATTATATAGTTCAATAGTAATTTAAATAAACAAAATTGTGTGTCTTATGGAGAATAGCGTTTAAAAAAATCTTTATTTTATTTTTTTTTTTAATTTGCGATTAAATTTAAAAAAATATATTTATGTAATAAATTTCAGATGCAATGTAGGATACGCGTCGACTTGTAATAGCGTTGGACAAACTGCAGGATATTTTCTCGGTTATGTTATTTTTATGGCATTGGAATCAGCAACATTTTGCAATGATTATCTGAGATCTGAACCTATGAACGAAGGAATTCTTACACTACCAGGTAATTGATAAAACACTTTCAGAAAAAAAAATTACTTTTTAATATGGAAGACTACAGTCAAAAATATATAATATTCAATTATGTAATAATTTCTTAATGATATTTATTAATTTACTATTTTATTTATAATTATTTGTCTTCTTTCTTCAATAATAAATATTTTTCAATTTTTACGATTAAACGAATTTTCGTTTATTCAAATATTTTGAATGAAATAAATTTTGGTAATAATTTATTAATTTTTCAAACATATTAAATAATATAAAATATATTTTCTTTTTTAGGATTTTTATATTTTTGGGGATGGGTATTTATTGTGACAACGACATTTATTGCCTTGTTGAAACACGAGAATTCAAATAAAGAAACTAAAGATGTACAAGTAGACATGGACGTGAAACAGGCGTACAAATTACTTTGGACAATTGTTAAATTACCAAGCATGAAGAACACGATTTTATTTCTCTTAACAGCAAAGGTAAATTACATTTTTTTTTTTAAATATAAAACGAAATTTGAAAAGTATAATAATTTATCTATTTGAAATATAAATGAAAATAAATTAATATATATATTTTTTTTAGATTGGATTCTCGGCTTGTGATGCAGTGACGGGTTTAAAACTTGTTGAGGCTGGAATTCCTAAAGAAAAATTTGCTATGATTGTCGTACCAATGATACCATTGCAAATTATTTTACCTGTAATTATATCAAAATATACAGCAGGACCAAAACCCATGAATATTTATTCAATGGCTATACCATACAGGTATATTATTACAAACAGATAAAAAAAAAATTTTTTTCTCATATTTTGAATATATGACAAATATTTAATTACTTTAATTTAAATAAAAAAAGTTTTTATTTTTATTTTTAATAGATTAGCGTTTGGTTTAGTCGCTGGTACATTAGTTTGGGTGACACCACATCTTATAGGAAATGGAGAAGTGCCTGCTTATTATTTCATTGGTTTAATTATGGTCTATTTCTTGCATCAGGTAAATATTTTTTATTCTATAAATTTTTTTGAGAAGAAAAATTATTGTACAAAAATATAAAATTTGTGGTTTTAAAAAATTTTTCTTTTAGATTTGCATAAGTAGCATGTTTGTTGCCTCCATGGCTTTCTTTGCAAAAATTAGTGATCCAGCTGTCGGTGGAACATATATGACATTTTTAAATACAATAGCAAATCTCGGTGGAAATTGGCCAACAACAGCAGCGCTATGGTTCGTCGATGCTTTAACTTTCAGAAAATGTAGCACTGATCCTTCCAATGATTGCAGTACAAGCTCAGAAAAAGAGGTAATAAAAAAAATAATATACAATCCACAATTTTTAATATCTTCTTTTTATAACTTTTTTTTTTCTAAATTTCTCTATAATTATTTGTACCATATTTTTTTCTCTTTTCAGTTGTGTATGAAAAACAATGGAACATGTACTATAACGTTAGATGGTTATTATATAGAAATAATGTTGTGCTTCATCATAGGTTGTTTATGGTTCAAATGGGGTAGAAGGAAAATTGAATTTCTACAATCGAGACCACTTTCAGTTTGGAAAGTTGTACATAAAAATAGATAACAATTCTTTTCTAGATTCTCGAAAAAAAATGTCTCCTAATATTGTTGTGAGAAGATCTTATAATATATTTTACTTTGTATTCAATATCAGTTAAATCAAAGTAATCTTGAGAAAGGAGAAGAAACGAAAAAAGAAAATGTTTATACAAATATTAATTTCGATCTGCTGCTTAATATCGTTACTCTGTAATATTTATTCCGTGAATTTTTCAATTTATTTAGTTACAAAAGAGGAGACAATAATTAACTCGTTCACAATTTTCCCAAAAACGAGTTTTATAGCACAATTCTAGACATAAGTAACAAAAAAAAAAAGGATTTTTACTGCATTTTTATTTTTCTTTATTAAATCAAATTGTGAAAGTAATTATACATATTTCTTGTTTTTTCTTTCTATAGAGAAAAATCGATATTTAAAAAAAAACAAATCAAAATTTGTATAAAAAAAAAAAAAAAAAAAAACTATTGAAACATATATATTTATTTATATTAACAATTGTTATCCAATTGAATATTTAAAAAAATTATTTGTTTTAAAATAAAATTAAGTGTTTGAGATAGAATGTGTGTATGTATGTGTGAGCTGAATAAGAATAGTTTTATTTGAAAGTTTTCAAATGTATTTGAAAATTTTCAAATAATTTATATTTTGAGCTTAGAAAATATGTAAATAAATATATATATATAAATGAATTAAAACAGAATTTTTTATTTCTCTATACTTTTTTTTTGTATAAATATTTCTTTTATAAAGTTTTTTTTTCCCTGTAAATCCAATATTTATGAAAAATAAATTATAAATGTATATTCTACGATTTATTAAGAGGAACACTTTCCTCCTCTATGGGTCCTTTAATTGTCTGAAGTTCTCTCTCTTGAATTTCTATTTCTCTATGAAGACTACGAGGTCCAATTGTACTTAAAACTACTGGCAATAGCAATAAACCGTGCCATAGACCAATAACAATTACCAGAAGAAATATTTTGAAAAATGATTGAAATACATAAGCTCGTGAAAATACGAGCAATGAAAGTGCCAATAGAGTTGAACCCGCTCCATAAGTAACGGCAGCACCAATGTGACGAACTGCAGTCAAAATTCGTGATCTTCTATTTAATTTTCCATCTCGAGATTTAGCTACTAGAAATGCATGAGCCACGTGTGCGGCATAATCGACGCTTAATCCAACTGCCAATTCGAGACCTGAAGAAATTTCAAAAAAAAAAAAAAATATCACACCAGTTTTGATAAAAATTAAGTTAATTTTAATTAACCATGAATTTTTTTGTCAAGCCAAAAATTTTTAATAGAATTTCTATTTTTTGCTATCAAATTCTCCTTTTTCAGGGGGAATTTAAAAAAAAAATTTCACAGATTATGAATTTTAAGAAAATGAATTCTCGAAAATTTGATATTTTCAATAATAAAGTTCACAAAACTAATTGAATTATTAAAAAAAAAAAATAATAATAATCTTTTATACCTATGCAAGAAACAATATCAATCGTGAGTCCCCAGTAGAACATAAATCCACATACATCTAAAAGTGTAAGCAGAACACAAAGTAAAATCCAAAAACAAGTTTGTGGCTCGCCAATTAATAATGTTGTCATTCCCATAACGCAAATTAATGCCAAAAGAATATTTCTCGTCACTTCCTGTGCAATAACTTTGTCCGTTACCCATGATGCAAACATTTTACTCCAAACAATTGTGAAACCATCAATTTTACTATTTGCCGCAATTCTTTTACTTTCGTCCATTGCCGGTATCCATTCATTGGGTGAGGAGAATTTAAAAAATGAAAAATCCACACTTGCAATAAAAATTGATGGCGTATTTTCGCCACATGTTAAATTCCCCTCAAATCTAAAATTACTTTGATAAATTCCTCCTTTTTGACTGAAGAGAAATTTCGAAAGATAAAAATAAAATTGTTTTGAGTCGATAACTGTCTTCTTTATATCTAAAATTAATTATTATAAATATATAAGACCTTTTAGAATACTAGAAAAAAAATTAATTGTTTTAATTTCATACCTTCTCCATAATAAATATCAATAAATTCCGCGAAATCATGAGGCCAAGATTTGACATTCTCAATGTAACTGAGATTTTTTAAATCATCAACAAGATGAATTATTTGTGGAAAATTTTCAGGAATATCAATTTTCGATAAGAAGAGAAAAGCATGTTGTCCTCGTTCGGGAAATTGTTTATTGCGAACTTGAATATAATCATTGAGATGACTTCCCTCTGGTAGAAACCACATTGGATCGAACCATTGTTCCAAATGATAGGATCCTAAACCTCCAAATGTTGCCAAAACAATTGTAATAATAATCACAATTATTTTTCCCACACGAGTTAAAATTACTTTAGAATATATTTTATCAATAAAATTCCATGATATCGAATGTTTTGTGCCCAATTTAGGTGATTCATAATTTAAATGTACAATACATGGAATTGCACCGTTTCTTTTCTCTTCCATTCGTTTTGCGTCGATCATGAAAAAAGCCACGAATATCGTTACCTGAAGTAAAAATGTAACAAGAACTCCAACTGCCGCATAAATGCAAAACGACTGCAAACATGGTAATATCTGTAATTAATTTTGGAATTAGTTAATATTAATAAACTCTTATTTAATATTTTCAAAATATTAAATTGTTTAATTCTTTAGTTTTATTTAAAATTATATTTACTTCGAGTTATAAAATTTAATTTGATATTGAAATTTAATTACTATTAATTAAGGAATTAAAATTGTTTTTTTAAAAATTAATTTATAATAATAATAATAAAGACTTGCAGTGGATGTGCCAATGATGAATGCAACAACATCGGTGAGTGATGTGATGGAAATTGCAGAACCAGCGTGACTTAACATTAAAGCAACTTTTTCTTGCAATGGTTTGACGCGATTTATTTTTTCAGAGAGCACTTGTTCCCAGGATGCGGCCATAACGAAAACATCGTCAACTCCAAGACCCATTAACATAAATGGCAAAGAATTATGAACTGGACCATAGGGAACGCCAAAAAGAGAGCAAATACCAATAGCAGCTATAAAAGCAGCTCCAATACACAAGAGAGCAATACTAGAGAGACAAAACTGTAACAATAGAAAATCTATTAGACAAAATTGAAAAAAAAAAATACACAACATTTTTAACAAATGGAAAAATAAAAAACATCTGTTTCACATATTGAAATAAAATAAAAGCTAAATCAAAATTTAATAGGTAAAATAATAGAAAATATTTTTTATTTGTTTTGAGCATAATACTCACTCGCCATTCGATCCAATTAAAATTAGAAAGAACAAGTTGCACATATAAAAACATTAAAATAATTCCTATTGTTAATTTATCAGCATCTTGAAACATAGTCGAAGAACTTATATCGCCAAAACTTCTACCGGCTTCATACCAAAGTTGAAGATTATTTTCTCCATTTTTTTTCAATTGATTCTTACTTTGCTCCAATTCATCGAGAAAAGCCGATTCCCATTTCAATACTTCGTTAGTTGCCTATAAAATAAAAATTTCCACCTTAAATTTAATTTAAAATGAATGAGACGAAAAAAAAGTATTTTTTTTTTAAAATAAACTTACCTTACCCAGTCGGCTGTTCCCGCGTCGTTGCCAATTTTATTCAAATTAACATTGGAAAAATTTACATGAGTGACAAATTCCGTTTTCACAGCTTTTGCTGATATTATTCTTCCCAATTCGTCTCTCATTATTCCACCAAGAAGTTCTGTGTAATTCATTGGATGTCCCAATGTTGGACTTATTTGAGTTGAATTTAATTTTCTTATTATATCTTCCTTTGTTTGAGATTTTATCAAATTAGAATTAAATTCCCAAATATCGAGGATACTAACTAGGAGGCAACCTTTTTGAAAACTATTAAAAATTGAACAATATGTTTTTGTGGAAGCATGAACACTTGGTTCAAATGCTGATTTATTCATTCGTGCTCCTGGTTCTTCGTCGAAAAAGTCATTATCCAATTCGTCAATATCTCTTTTATCTCGTAAATTCACATTAGTAACAACTGGAATTCTGAAATATAAAAAAGAAACTAAATAAATAATTAAATAACTTTTAAGTGAAATTTAATTGTAATAACTAAATTAAAAAAATACAATGAATAATAATAGTTGATGTATTTTATTAGAAATGAATGATTATTTAAAATTAAAACAAAAATTATACTTGAAGCACACGTCCGTCCAAGCAATATGTGGATAATTTGTTTGTACTCCAATTATACGAGTTGTTATTTCATTTAGCTGAAATTTAAAAATTCGTGAAAATAAAACTTTTATTTGTCCGTACAAATTAATTTTAAAATTCACACTGAAATTTTTTTGTATAATTTTTTTTTTTTTAAATTCTCCAAAAATTCGAAGAAATGAAATTTTGAATTAAAAAAAAAAAACTCCTAGCTAATGAAATTCTATCAAATTGAAATTTATCTAAATGACTATTTTCTTTAATGAAAAATCGAGCAGATGAACTTTTTGAAAAATAAAATTTTTTAAAAATATTACAAAAATTTTGTAAAATTAAAATTTGAAAAAATAATAAAACGACTTAATTATTTTATAATTTAAAATAAATAGTGAAATAATTTATAATTATTATACCTTATATAAAGCTTCTGGAGTTAAAATATCATCGCCAGTCAATATAATTGTTTCTTGACGTTGTGCTTCGCCAAATTGTGATATCAGCCATTCTGTATCTCGAATGAAATCGGAATCGGGAGGAACCCATAATTTTAAAGGATTTTTCTCTTGTCTGAATCGATAAAATCCTATTGTACAAAAAGCAATCACTATCAATGAAGCTGTTATCCATCTTTTTGGATGTCTTGTAATTTTAAGACCCAATCTGTAAAAATTCTTTTTTTAATTTATAATATTAAAATAAATTTGCAAAAAAAAATTGATTTAAATTATTTTTAAAAGTTTACAAATTTTAAGTTCAATTTAAAAATTTGCATAGTTTTCTATTTTATTTTTTAATTAGACATTTATTTTCTATAATCTTATTTATTTAAAATCGAGTTTACTTAAAATTGTCAATATTTTGAAATTAAAATGCTAATTAATATATTATTTTAAATATGAATCACTTTTAAATGGTTTCTAATTTAATGACTTTTTTTATTTATAAAATTTTTGAATATCTAAAGTTTAAAAAAAATATCCAGCATCATGCTTTTGAACTTACTGATAAAAGAAATGTTCCACAATTTGAGAAATTCGTTCGGGAATTAATTGCAAATGTTCGCGAATTGATCTCTTCTGAGAAATTTGTTCTATTTCCATCTTTCCATAAAAAAGTGTATTTTAAACATTACATTTAAGTAATATGGCCATTGTTTTGAAAATATTATATTAATCAATTCAATCCTAAAATTAAAATAAATATTAAATTTACAAAAAATTTTAGAAAAATGAAAAATATATATTATTTTATAATGATTTTTAAGGTTAAGATTATTCCCGCATGTTCAATTATTCATATGCAATAATTGTATTTATTTTTTAAAAGTTTATTAGTAGGGAAAATATTTTAACAATGAATTTTTCAACAACAAAAATAAAAGAATATCACTATCTTTTTTTTAGAAAAAAAAAACAATAGAAAATTATATAATAAAAAAACTCACCCATCATTATTATGTTTACACCGTTTAAATCTAAATTATTTAATGACAATAACTAGATTGTAATTAATTCGTAATGCCTCTTTTTAATTAAAGCAATGAATTTTGTCAGTATAGTCAAGTTCTTTATTATGTATACGGAATTGATGTCAAGGATCTATGAAAAGAAACGTTTGGCCACACTTTCATTGATTTTTTTTTTTGCATTCTATAGATGAGCTAAATTATATACTTAAAATAAAGATTCTTTGGCAATTCTACTTTTGAATATTTGTTTTTTTTTTTTTTTTTTACTAAAAATAAACAATTATACACTTTGTTTACAAGCATCTGTCAAATTACTTTTTTGAACATTTTCTTTTTCTATACAAGAGGGCGCTTTTCAAATTCAAATTTTGTTTTGAAACTTTATTAATATTTATATAATTAATTATTAATTTATTAATTAAATGTAAATTAATTAATTTTTCACTTTTTCATTAAAAACTTTATTTAAAAACTAAAAGCACAATTTTTTTTTCTCTCTAAAATATTAATTAATTATGTACAGCACTTTATTGAGATAACAAAGTCTGCGTTTTAATCTTATATTCAATTGAACAAAGTGTCAATTAGGTTGATTTGGTTGATTTGCATAGTAAACTGAAGGATAATAAAGTTTTGAAATGATTAATAATAATCATACAAGTGAGAATCTCGCCAGTATTGGCCGCTATACTAAAAAAAAAAATTAATTATCATAATTTAAACAAATTTTTCATATATTACCTTTAACATATTTAATCTTATTTATTACTAATTTTATTTATTTACCATAATTATGTGTAATTATAAAAAATTAATAATTTGAATTATTCTTATTATATTTGTTTATTCTTTATACTTTTTAGAATAACAAATGATATAAAGTATAAATTTTATTTTTATAAAATTTTAATTATTAATTCGTTTAATAAAAATAAATTAATAATAATTAATTAATTATAATCGCTTTCGGAAACAAAGTAGATATATCTGTTTGCGATTTCTGTGAAAATATGCGTGAAATATCTGTAATGTTGATAATCACACATATATTTTATTATCAAAATGATATGAGAAAGTCACTGATATAAAAAAAAAAATTATATTGTGCAATAAAATTGCAACAAATAGTTTAAAATTTACTAAAAATAATAAATTTGTAGTTCCGTTTATTGCAAAAAAAAAAAAAAAATGTAAGAATTATTTTACTCACTTAAAATTTTGTCGACCAATTTAGAATAGATTTCATCTTCTCAGCATTTAACAAAAATTCCTTAAGCAATAAAAGTCCGAGGTTCATTGAATTTTTTTTTCTTCTTATAAGAACTAAAAATGCGATGTCAACATGTCTTCACCATCAACTGACTAGTGACTACTGTGTAAGAATGATATTCGTACTGATGAATGCCAAATAAAACGACGGATTAGATAACTCATATCCTCTCTTCCACATTTATTCATTCATTCATTAATTACTGATTCTTATTTTTGCCATTATTAAAAATTTGTAATCATTATTTTATTTTTTGCTTCTCTGTATAAACATTTTCAATTTTTTTTTATTAAAGATTTTTCCCAACTTTTACAAAATTTAATTTAAATTCTATTTTTTTCTCGCATTTAATGATTATTTTTCAACTTTATGTTTCAAGGCTAATTTATTTTGAATGACAATTATAAACTATAACTAGATATTAAATAAAGATCGCATGTCATATTGATAGTTGCAATGGAAAAAAAAAATTACTTCTTATAGATACACAATTTTTGTTGTAATAAGGAAAAAAAAAAAATTATCAGCCTAAAATAATAAATACATAAAATAAAAGAAATCAAAAAATGGGAGAAAGAAAAAACTGGTAATTTAAGAAAAACTTGTTTATATTTTATAATCAAAAAATACAGAACATTTATTTTTAAAAACAAGTTCCATACAAAAAATATATATTTATTTATATATGTTTTAGATATATAACAGTACATTTTATGAACATAATAAATATTAATATTTATATTATTATATAGAGAAAAAAATCTCATATATATTTTTAAAGAGCATTTGCATTCAAATAGAGTTTAACTCTATAATATTTTTTTTCTTTTTTAATAATATATATAGAAATGATTCATAAATTTTTGTAAAAAAAAATAAAAAAAAAAGAATTATCGACTAGCTTATAAAACCTGAATCGTCATAACGATTTTTCCAGACTGTATCTTTTAGATACGAGCCAATGGCAGGAGTTTCTAACATTGTTTCAATAATATCTTTAAAACCAAGTTGACTTGCTATAACATATTTAAATTGCGTGTCGTTCAAATGAGCCACCAGCATCCTCATGTTCATTGTCATGGACTTTGTAATATTCTTCTCAAGACGATATCTTAAATTGAAATTTTAATAAATAAATAAAACAAAAATTGCATTGAAATGCAATTTTAGAATTTAATTTTTCTTTTTTCCATAGTTTGTTAATGTGAATAAAAAACGTAAAAAAAAAATAAAACTTACATTTTAACAAAAAAATTAATTCTAAAAAACAAATTTTTGTATTGGATAAAAAATAAAAAGTAATTTGTAATTATCTAGGTACGAATAAAAAAAGAAATAATTTCTACAAATTATTAAATTTTTTAAAAATAGATTTTAACGATTTTAGATGAAACATAGAATGAATCTACAAATTTTTAATGATTTTATATTCTTTCTCTCTTTTATGAATAAAATAAAATTTCTCTTGAAATTATTTTTAAGAATTAAATTAAAAATTATCAAAATTCTCATTGAAAAATTGTGTAATAATATAATAAAAATTGAATTCTATGAAATTTCTTACCTTCGAACACAATCATTGATAATTGATATTGTAAATCTATTGGATATTACGAATTCTTTTAAATATTTCGTTTCTCCTTGATGAATACAATGATTATAAACAGCATTTGCCCAATCGACATGATGATTATAAGCCCTTGCGACAATTAAAGCTTGTGGAAAATTCAAAAATTGACAAATTGCTTTATCAACCTCATCTTTATTTAAATTTAAAATGCAAGTAAATTGATGAGTTTGTTGAACTGCATAGAGTAAAGAAATTTGCAGAGCCACTAATTCAGCCTGATGTGAAGAATGATTCGCTAAATTTAATTTATTGTCCTAAAAAAAGAATTTTTGTTAAATAGCAAAATTTTTATTATTCAAGTTTTATTCAATGAAAAATGAAAAAAAAAAAACCACCCTCTGGTCTAGATTTTAATTTATTTTCCCTTTTTATTTAATTTAATTTTTAAATTTTAATAAAAAAAAAGGTTTAAAATTTGAAAATTTTCAGTTAAAATAATATTTCAAACCTGTAAGAAATATTGCGTAGCGAGAGTGAAATTAGAAATTGCCAATTGTAATCTCTTCTCTGTAATTTCATTTCTCGTTAAATTCACGTCTGTTGGACTAGGATATTGAGATTTAAGATTCTCCTTTTTTGCTTCACTAATCAATTCGTCGATAATTTCTCGAGCTTCAGTTTCCCAAGTTAAAGCAATTTCATAATATAAACGAAAATGAAGTGCAATAATATTTAATAATTCCTTATTCTCTGGACAATAACGTTTTACAAAATCGAGAAGAGCCATTTTTAAACCTGGAACTTTGTCTAAACCTTTTCCTAATAAAAATTCAAATTGATCGTGCTCTTTGAGTATTTTAAAAACATAATTCATTTCAGTAAAACGACCAACACCGGTAACAAGACGCACCTGGGAAAATTTATATATATTCTTTAGAGATTAAATTAAAATAATCCAATTAATTAATTTTTCAAAAACTGAGCGAAAACAATTACATATTGACGATATTTTTTTCTCAATTAAAAATATAATTATTTCAATATCATATATATATATATTATTTTTCATTATAATTTTTCCTTACCAATAAACTCCAAAGTTTTAAATTTTGTAAAGCATTAGCCAATTGTTGACATTTTCTTAAAACTGAGGCAATACCTTCCATGTTACAGGAAGTCGTAAAACAATCGTGAGATCTTATTAATAATTCCACAGCAATTTTAAGAGTTATCACTATAAATAAATACCAAATTAAAATTTTTTACAATTTTCCTCTCTTTTCATCGAATTAAAAAAAAAAAAAAATTAAAATAACTGAATCTAATTTTTTCCACAATTTTATCAATAATCTCTAATATTATAAAGCCTATCTTGTACGTACCATTTCGTTTTTCACCATTCGAATGTCCTAATAATTTACTAGCAATATCAAGTAATTTCAATCCCAAAATTGAAGTGTCTTTGGATAATTCAATCACAGAATGAAGACTAATATCAAGAGGATAACTCCAGATTGTTGAATCGTTATTTCCGTCTGGAATTTGTTAAATTTTAGATTATTAATATTTTTCACAAGAATATTTTCTCAAACTTGCTATGATTATTATTTGTTTAATTATTTGTTTTATTTTAAAATATACCTTCTACAACTCGAGTAATAGAAGCAACAATCTCCTCAGCCAAAAATTGAGCAACTTCATGACTTTCAATTTGATATGCACTTATTATATCTTTAGCAATTTCCAATGTACGATCGTAATTACTTAAAACAACATCCTGCAAAAGTCTCATTGGATCATTAAGAATCAGTAAAGAATGATAACTTTTTCCTAAAGTTGTAGATAATTTGTAACAGGTGACAATTCTCGTTCCAATTGTGACACCGCTTCGAAGACTTTTTAATAATTTCGTCAATATCATTAAACAATCTGATTCCTCTTGATTTATTGTTGTTGTTGTTGTTGCTGCTGCTGATTCGTTAGCTTCATGAATTCCGCTCAAATTTACTGGCAAAAAATAAGGACAAAAATATTCAATTTATTAAATAATATCTAAAAATAGCGATTAATTAATCAAAAATAAGTGGCTTTTAAATAATTTAATTCAAAAAACAAAATTTGTTTTTAATTTAGAAAAAATGTTATAATGTAGAAAAATAGAAAAATAATTAAATAATTTTAATAGATAATTAAAAGCAATTAAGAAAATATATTTATATTACAAGATGAAGACGATGGCAATATGGAAAGTCCTTTATTTCTCAAGATCCCAAGTCTTTGCTTTATATTTCCTGATTCAGAAATCAACATTTTTTGCTGAGCAGTTAATTGATAAGGCGAAATCTCCCCCTCAGCTAAACTTAAACACAGCATCAAAATTTGTATATCCTTGAAAAATAATAAAAGATTATTACAAAAAATTATTCACATATACAAAGTCAAATAAACTTGTTGGTAATTGAAAATTTTTTTATATATATAAAAATAAAACATACTAATGAATTATAAAATTATTTTCTAGATATATTAATTATATTAATTTATATATTATAATTATTATAAAAAAAATTAAATTATTAAATTAAATAAAATAAATTGTTTTTCTGTTTTCAATTGAAAATATGATACATTTTTACATTTTAATTAATTTAAATCGGACAAGTGAAAATTCGATTACTTACTTTATGCTTGTAATTGAAAATTGCACTTATTCTAAGTGCTGTGCCTAATTTTCCAGCGTCTAATAATTTATTAATTAACAATTCTAAAGCAGCCTTCTCCTGTGAATCATTGAGAATACAAGTAATTTGTAAATTATTCAATTCAGAGAGAAGTTCAGTTTTTAATTTACGAAAAATTTCATTTTCATTTTTAATCTCAATATTTTCTGGACCAGCAAGAATGCAAGATTTCCACATTGCCATTTCTGCTTTATCACAAGTTTGACAGTCATTGGAATTTTCCTTAAGTATCTCTAAAGCCAATTTTAAAATTTCAAACCTAAAAAGAAAAAAAATTAAAGAAACAATATCAACTTTACAGTATGTTAATTTTATTCATAAATATTTAATTTAGTTTTCCAATTTATTTTAATAAACCTCAAAATACATTTATTTAAACAGCAATTACCTCTCTTTACAAGATTGAATTTTTTCAGCATGTTCAACAAAAAATTCTGCTGCTTTTTCATAACACACTTTATATAATTTAAAATCAGCTGAACATTTTTTCCAGAAATTTGATTCAATAATACCAGTTTGTTTTTTGAATTCACTTCGACACTGTTACATATTAAAAAAATTAAAAATGCATACAAATTGATTAATTTTAGTTCAAATTACAAAATAATTCATTAATACTTACTATAAATTAATAAATAAATAAATTAATATTTTACCTGTGCAAGAATTATTTTCGACGGTTTAAAATTTGCTACTTTTGACAATTCTAAGGCACTCGTATAATTTTCTTCCTTCAATAATTCATTGATACATCTTTCAATTTCGTTATTAAAAATTTGCTCATTATTAACGATGTCAAAAAATAAAAAATTAAATACAACATCTGTTTTTATTAGGATATTCATTATTTCTAATAGTGAATAAAAATTTGGTGTATTAACTGTAAAAAAAGGATTTTTTATTTTATATACCTAATAATAAAGAACAGAAAAAATAACACTGTCCGACAAAAATGATTTTTTTTTCTGCCCCTCGGATAATTCCGGTCACTTTCGATAGATTTTTACACGCTGATTACGAATCTGCAAATAAAAATGCTCTAGCACGTCCAGTTTCTGAGAAAATTAGTGTTAAAAAGTCGAAAATGCGTGTTTTTGGCCATATTTGAATTTGAATAAAATAAAAACAAGAGGTGCTAGAATCTTGTTCTTGGGTTCAAATGAAAGCTTGAAACTTAAACAACAATTCCATGAAGGGAAAAATTAAAGGCATAATGATAAGGCTGTTAAAACTTATTTTTTCATTTGCGATTAATTTTGTCATTTTTCATATTCAACGAACACTGTATATAACCCTAACATTTTGAAACAAGTGACAAGCAAGTGAATGAAACATCATTCGAATTTTAAAATTTTTCAGTTGACTTTCAGGTTACTTATTATCTAATTAATTTTCTATTAACTATTTTCGTCAATCGTGACGAGTATAAACACACAAACTTTAATAAATAATAAATAATTATCACAAATAACAAAATTTCACAATACACCTAAAAAAGTTTATATAATTAACATCTTATTAGTTTCATTTAACATAAAATTGAAAGTTAATTATTTATTACTGTATTTTGTTAATAAAAACAATTCGGCCCAGCGTTCTGCAGAAGTCTTCAAAAAACTGTATAGTGAACATTATCTTATTTAAATATGGTTTAAAGAAGGTAAGTTTAAAAATTAATAGATAATAAGTAACCTGAAAGTCACGTGAAAAATTTTCAAATTCGAATGATGTTTCATTCACTTGTTTGTCACTTGTTTTAAACTATTAAGGTTATACACGGTGTTCGTTGATTATGAAAAATGACAAAATTAATCGCAAATGAAAAAATAAGTTTTAACAGCCTTATCATTATGCCTTTAATTTTTCCCTTCATGGAATTGTTGTTTAAGTTTCAAGCTTTCATTTGAACCCAAGAACAAGATTCTAGCACCTCTTGTTTTTATTTTATTCAAATTCAAATATGGCCAAAAACACGCATTTTCGACTTTTTAACACTAATTTTCTCAGAAACTGGACGTACTAGAGCATTTTTATTTGCAGATTCGTAATCAGCGTGTAAAAATCTATCGAAAGTGATCGGAATTATCCGAGGGGCAAAATCATTGTCGGACAGTGTAATTATTCATATATTTTTGTTACCTGTTAAATTTTTGAAAAAATCACAACTCGTCAAAATTTCTAAAAATTTTATCTGTAAACATCTACTTTGAAAACATTTTCCCAAGGCAGTTATAAGGCATTTCACTACCACTGTTTCGATCCAATAAATATTATCTAAATACGTTTCGTCAGTTTCCCAATCGATCATTTTCTAAAAAGAAAAAAAAAAGAAAAAAATAGAAAATATTTATTTTACTTTAAAGTAATATTTTTATTTGAATATAAAATTTATAAACAATTTTCTTAGAAACTTACATTACATTTGAGCGACGAACAACTTGAAATAAAATTTGTTAAACTCGTTTTGCATTTTTCGAAATCTCCTAAACATATGCACTCAACCAAAAATTCAGAAAAGAGTCTTAACGGATTTTCCTGTAATTTTTATGAAAAAAAAAAAAAATTTAACTTATTTTTTCTAAATATTAAATTTTATTAATAATAATAATATATGTTCTATAAATAAATTTTAAAAATATCATTTTTTTAAGATAATTAATATTGAAAAATATTATTTAAAAATGTTATATTTTGTAAATTTAGAAAATTGTAAACATTTAAAATTTTATTTTCATCATAAATAAAATTTACTCACCGGCATGAAAATCGTCAAACCCTTATTAAAAGTACTGACATAATTATGATAAACCAAATTATTAAAAAGTTGCATAACTTTACTCGCCGACCAAACTTGATCTTCTAAAGAATCTTTTGAATTGAGAAAAAATTCTGAATCTTCCACAGACACCACAAGCCAAAAATAACAATGTGTTGCAGCAGAAGATGGCTAGTAAAATAAAATATATACATATAATTAATTATAAAAAAAATAATGTTAATACTAAGTGTAATTAATGACAAAATTTCGTAAAAAGAAATATATTCTAATTCAAAAATAGTTTGCAAAAAATAAAAAAAAGTAAGTAAATTATTACTTCATAGCAGGAAGCTAAAACCGTAAGAATTGGTGCCTTTAAAGTTCGAGAAGCTTTTAATAAAGTTCTCGGTGGATCTTGACTTTTGTGACATTTTAAAACAATTTGCCATAAATCATTATTAAATAAACGAGTTTCTAAATTTGCAAATGAACCATCAGTAAACGAGGAATGTTCTCTAACTGACTGACAAATTTCTCGAGTCAGTGTTGTTGATTCTAATGAAACCTATATAAAAATAAAACAAGTTTTAATCTTAAATTACAAATTAAATTCAAACGTATTTTATATTGAAAAAGCAATTATTACCTGTTTAACTATAACTTTATTATAAAGACCATGTCTAGAATCACAAATTTTATTTTTAGAATCTTCATCTACAGAATTTAAGCTCAACAAATGAGGATTATTTAACGATAATATTAAATGCTCACGAAGATTTGGATTTTTAAACAAAACAATATTCTCCAAAATCTGAAAAAAATAAAATTTCAACTATTGTATTTTATATTAAATAAATTTGTTTTTCAAATTTCTCATAAAGAAATTAATGTTTTCCAATAAATTAGTTAAGTTTTTATTATAATATTTACCTGTTCGGAAGGATAAGAAAATATTTGACCCACTAAAATATATTCAAACCACATATCATGAGATGCTAAAAATTTAAGAAATAATGTTGGAATAGTTGCATTGTGTGCTCTTGCGAAACGTACGATAATATCCCATGTTTTTAAAGCTAATACAAATTCTCGTGGTTCTTTAATTAAATTAATTATCAATGATGAATTAAAACTCCTCTCCAAATGTGATAATACTGTCATTAAGTCTTGTTGATTTTTATACACAACTGATTCCAATAAATTTCCTGAAATCAGGAGGAAAATTCCAAATTAACACAAAATCAATTTTTTTTTTAAATAATCACAATATATATATATATATATATATATATATATAAAAAATATTAAAATACCAATAGAGAAATTTAATTTCTTTTCAACTAAAGCAGCAACTGTTACATGAAGTCTCAAATTATCTGAATCAACACCCAATAATTCAATGAAAGATATACAACTACTGACAACGTCCAATTCATTTAAATGTCTCAATGCAAAAATATGTGCCGAAAGTGAAACTTGTGATTTCCTGAAATAATTGAAAAAAAATTGTTGACTATACAAAAAACAATTTTTCTTAAATTTTGAATTTCTTTTTTTCAATTTAAATAATTTACATTTTTGAAGAAATATTGCGTAAAGATTTTCCATCCAATTGATAAAGAATACTGTACGCCATATTTGGTCTTGATTCCTTTAAATAATTAATATATGTTAATTTCTCTTTATGTCCATATTTATGTATTAAATAAGCACTGGAAAAATTAGGCATCAGTTCATTTTTTTGACGCCATTTAAAAAATTTTTTTGAATCAAAATTTTTAAAACCCTCAAGAAGTTGATACATCGTTATATTAATTTGTGAAGATTTCTCTTTAATTTCATTTTTTAAATATGGAAGACGATCTAAAATATTGGCAAAAATTTCTCTTGTTATTGTTAAATGTCCAATTTTGAGTTCTTTTTGTTTTGTAAAAATCTCTTTTAACGATTCGCCTTCTAATAAATTTTTATCATTATTTTTTTTTAAATATTGCAATAAAATTAATGTAAATGCAATTATATCATTAGATTTTAAAAATTCGAGAGAATCTTGAGAAATATATGAAATTCCTTCGAGAATTCCTTGTTCAAATAATTCCAATGATGATGTTGATTCATTATTTTCTTGACACATTTCATTTAAAGAATCCAATAATTTTTTACTATTTTTTGATTCTGTACAATGTTCATGAAAATTTCTCGAATATTTCACAGTGTCAATTTTATGTAAAAAATCTTGTTTATTAATATTACACGATTCTTGTGATAATATTTTATTAAATTCCGAGGGCGTTATTAGACTGCTAAAAAATCTTGTTAAAATTAATTTAAAATCATTCTTCTCTTTATTTGTAAATACTCCAAATCTATAATAATAAAAAAAAAAATAAATTTCATTATTGAATGGTAATTTTATATTTAAAAATTTGCATTTTTTTTTTTCAATTATACCTGCATAAAAAATTAAGAGTCATCTGAATGACAGGTGTCATTGCATTAGAATTTTCAATGGACGAAATCATTTTATCAGTTATTTTTAGATTTCCAAAATTTTTTTCTAATTCATCTTTATCGTCAATTTCTTTATTATCACATTCATAAATAATACTGATCCAATTATTTATTAATTTAATTTTATTATTTATCAGCAGATAATTCCATACTGCATCGTTAGATAATTTTCGTCCAATTTTTGGATTAAAATTTTCAAAATATAATTCAACGTAAATACATTTTTTAATGTCCGAAGACAAATTAATCACATTTTCTAAACTTTTGTGGGATATCAGCTCACCTTGAAGTCTAATTAAAAAAAATTTTTTTTTTTAATTGAACAATAAATTGTTGATTTATTTGTTTAAATTATAATACTATTTTTTATTTAAATACTTTTAAAAACTTACTTATGATTCTTTTCATGTTCTTCTATCCAATTTATCAATTCTAAAGCTTCAAAGTGTTTTTCTTCGAAACCATTAATAATTATTAAATGCTGAGCTAAGTAATTTCTTAACGATGGCTCTGTGCATTTAAAGCAAACTGTGCAAATGAACTCAGATGGATTTTTCTCCTTAAATAAGAAAAATAATATCCAATTTTTTAATAATATACAGTTGTTTTGATGGAATTTTTTTGTTTTGACAATTTTTAAAAATTGATATTTTGTAAATAAACAATAATTTTCAAAGCAAGATGTTCATTAATAAAATTCGAGCTTTTTATCATGGATTTTTAATAATATAAAAAAAAATTTCAATTCTTAAGTTTTAATTTAAAAAAAAATCGAAATATTCAAGTGAAAGATTTTTAAAAATTCATAGTTTTATTTTCATGAAACGTTTTATATTCAATTTTCTCAAGAGAAAAAAAGAAAAAAATGTTTGTTTATCATTAAAATTAAATAGATATAATGACACTTACCACATTCTTTAAAATATGAGTAGCCTTATGAACTTGACGCTTGTTGAGTAGTTCATTTATCCAAATGTCAACCTCATTTGAAAAATAAGATTTAGCCTCATCGTGAGAACATCCTCTTCTATGAATGAGAAATTTATAAGCAAGATTGATATGTAATCCTTTTGCTGAAGCTTCTCTGACAACTTCACGATCTCCCGATGCTCGCCATCCTGACCAAACACCAGCTAATTCCCCGGTCAAAGATTCGACCGGAACTCCACCAACGAGTGCTCCTTCCATTCTTGCACTTCATCGACTTCTTTATATATAAAAAAAAAATTATTTCTCTACTATAATTATATATGAACTTTAAACTTCTTTTCTTGCTGAAATCGTTTATTTAATATAAACGATTTATATGCGAAAAATTTCCCCAACAATAGTTTATATTCTGCATAATATAGACTATTTGATACTTTAGTTCTGAATCATAATAAAAACAAATGATAAATCACTCGCGCACTGACTGACCTACTTGCTGTAATTCACAAAACAATCAAGTAGTGATATCGTTAAAAAAAATTGCCGACATTTGATTAGTCACTCATAAAAGCTTCGTAATATATATGTATATATATATACGCAGACGATGGACAGATAAAAAAAATGTCGGAAAAAGAATATTGCGAGAATATACTAAATACAATTGTTATCTCTTTTTATGGATAACATATACACAGAAATTAGTAATTTTTTTTTTATTTCACCAAAAATGACAGATCATATCATCTATCTTATAAAAACAGCTGATTCGTTGTTTAGTTCTTTGTATATTTATGAATTTCAAATAAAATCTATAATGACGAGTTGAAAACTTTGCTTTAAATAAAAAATAAATATGTACTGTATATTAAATAATCATTAAATATAATTTATTTGAATTAAATTACACTTTTTTTTCTTTTTTTTTTATATTTATTATGAAGATTGTTTTTATATTCCCTAAGCAGAAAAAGAAATAAAGTTCTAATTCTTGTTGATAGAGGATGCTGTTTGATTCTGCGCATTAAAAAAAAATTTGGGTTATGTTTCAAAAATTAAAAATCGAAATCATGAAATTTTGCAGCAAATAAATATTCCACATGAAGAATATTAAAATGAATAATTAATTATAGTCAAATAATAATTTTAAAAGAAAGAAATATTTTTCAAATTTCTCCTCCACTTTTGTGTTCAAGGCGTTCAAGGAAATATTTTAAATTGTCAGTTTAGGCAACTGTTGAAAAAAAGAAGGAGAATTAAGAAAAGAAAACAATTGGGAATTGGTAGAACTGAAATGTGACAGCTCGTCGATCGTTTTGACAATTAGTGACGGGTTACTTATTTATATTATTTGGAATGCGGTGATATGATAAATGTTAAATTAATTATAAATTGACATGATCGGCCTATTAAAAAATATTTCTCTATATAAAAATAGAGTTAATAATCTCTATAGAGCTTATTTAAAATAATAAAACAATAATGACTCGTATTTTCACTGTTCTTTTCATTCCATTCATTCTATCGCTATTGATGGTTGTCAAAAATAAAAATTGTATAAAAAGTTACATCACTTATGGCGATAAAAAAGAAAACAATTAAAGGGGAAAAAAAATTAAACACAGTAAATTTTGTTCTATTTACAAAATGTCAGTTGACATAATTGAAGACAATAATGCATCATCGGATAATAAAAATGATTTGCCGGTTGTTAAACAACCAACAACTCGAGGTGGTCTCAGGGTTTACAAGATTGTCGTTTTAGGCGATGGTGGAGTTGGAAAATCAGGTAATATTTGTTTATGTTTTTTTTTTATAATTAATTAATAAATTATGTATATTACAAGTTTGTTAACATTTTTTTTTATTTGTCATTTTTATATTGTATAGTGAAAATTATTGTATATTATGAAATGTAACTTTATAATATAAATATATTTATTTATATTATATTAAAAAAAAATGATGTGTTAATTTTTTTCCAGCTGTAACGCTACAATTTGTCAGTCACAGTTTTCTAGATTATCATGACCCAACAATAGGTAGAAATTTTGTATATTTTGGTCATTAATATCAATTTGTATTGTATATTATATATATATATATAAAGACGGTAAAATCAATATTTACAGAGGATTCATATCAGCAACAAGCTGTTATCGATGGAGAGGCTGCGCTTTTAGATATTTTAGACACTGCAGGACAGGTTTGTAAACATATCGTATTTTTTTTTTATATAAAATATACTTTTATTTTAATAAAGAAACAATTTTTTTAGATTTCTATTATTTTTCAAACTGTTATTATAATTTTTAATTAATTTAAATTTAAAATATTTAGATAATATTTTTAATAGTTTTATTTTTAAGAAATTATAAATTTTTTTGAAAATGAAAATATTGTTAGTTTTTTTTTTTTTTAATTTATATGACACAAAAAGGTAAATAATGTTCTCATTAATGCATAAATAAATAGTATTCCAAATAAAAGTTATTCGTGCGAGTTTCGAAAAATATAATTTTTATTATTAACTTTTAACTGCATTTATTTTAGTGAAAAAGAAAAAAATTCTGAATAGGCTTTTTTTAGAGAGGCGAAATCTCGATGTCATAATTTTGAAAAATTTCAGAAATAATAAAGATAAATTTTATTTTAACAAAGTATAGATGTATAATAAAAATTATTGACTCTGATATAAAAAACTAAGATTTTTATTCATCAACAGAATTTTTATTGAATATAAATTCTATTTAAGTAAAATTTTATTTAATTTTTTAATATTCTAATAATACTTTAAGTATTAGCGCGATTTCATTTTTTTTTTTTTTTTCATAAAAACATAATTTTTTATTGTTTTTATAAACGATTAATTTTAAGATATAAAATATAAAGAAAATGTTTATATTTAAAATTAATAATTTATTATATTTTATAATAAAAATTAAACAGGTGGAATTCACAGCAATGCGAGATCAATATATGAGATGTGGAGAAGGTTTTATGATTTGTTATTCCGTCACAGATAGACACAGTTTTCAAGAAGCTATTGAATATCGAAAATTAATTTCCCGAGTTAGAGCCAGTGAAGATATTCCGTTAGTGTTGGTTGGCAATAAATTCGACCTTCAACAACAACGGAAGGTATTGTCTCATTATTTTTAATTTTAATTTTTAAAAAATAGTGAAATAGATGAGTGAGTAAAACTCACACTTGACCGGTTATTTTTTTTTTTAGTTATTATATTTAGAAAAAAAAATAATCAAATTTCAGGTGACAACTGAAGAAGGAAAAGTTTTGGCAAATCAATTGGGATGTCCATTTTATGAGACATCGGCAGCTCTACGTCAATTTATTGACGATGCTTTTTATTCACTCGTTAGACAAATTCGCGCTAAAGAAAGATCACGTACAACTGTTCGTAAGCATAGTCGTTGGTGGCGTTTAAGATCGATTTTTGCATTTATTTTCCGAAGAAAAAATAGACATAATCACAATATTCATTATTCCCCTTAATTCAATGAAGTACAAAAAAAAAAAAAAAAAAAAAAAAAAAAAAAAAAAAAAATCTTTTAGAACTTCATTGATATCCGTCAAACAACGAACAACTTTTTATCGTTTTATTGAAAATTTAATTCGAGATGATTTTTTTTCAAAGAAAAAAAAATTGTCTTCCCAATCACACTGCCTTAGGAATAACCCCAGAATACTCTGAGAGCTCTCAAGGATTTAGATTTCAAGTTTTATAAAAGTGTGTATCGTAAAGTCGAAAGAAAGGCAAAAAAGAAAGAAAGATAGAAAAAAAAGCACATTGCCGAAACCAACCCATAAAAAAATTTGTTCTTTTTCTTTCATTTGTTTTTAAAAATGCATACATCGAAGGTAGAAAACTTAACAAAGCACAACAGTATTTCACAATATTTATTGTATTGTAAAAGACGATTTATTTAGAAATGACTCACAAACATTATTTTGTGTTTATGATAGAAACAAAATTTTTATACATAATAGATTTAAAATCCGAGTATTTTATAAAATGGCCTTTCAAATTGCATGAATATTATTGAAATTGTACAAGATTTTTTTAAATCTCTTTTAATTATATTATTATAAATTTTTACTACGCAAAACAAGTAAAAAAAAACCATACTTTTTCATATTTATGACGAAGACCAAAAAATTTTTCAAAAGAAACAAAAAGTGACGCGAATAGTGCAAAATTTCATGTTAAATGTAAAAGCAAATAATTGTCTAGTCGCTACTTAATTAATACCTAGTCAAATTTTGCATTTTGTTTGTATACATTTTATTTATTGAGTTTATAATTTTCACGTTAGATAAATATTTATTATTATATTTTCAATTTATCAAAAATTCAATTTATTTTTTAAAGATTCTTCAAATTTTTTATATGACAATTTTTTTTTTTTCAAAAAATTAATATTTAAATTTCAAATAATATTGAAAAAGAAATAAATCTTTCTAATTTTTTATTTCATATAAAAAATTATTAATGATAAAATAATTAAACAAAAATATTATGATGGATTTTTTTAATTTTTACAATTTTTATATACTTAAATTTTTGAAAAGACTATCACATGTGAAGTATCTTTAAAAAAAAAAACGATTTTTGTGTATATATTTAATTTTTTTAATATTATCACAAATATTTATAAAATATATTTATAAAATTATTATTATTATTTACACAACTGTAGAATTCAGTTTTAAAAATTGTTATTTGCTTTAAATGTGAAAAATATTAGAGCAATATTAAGTCTATGTTTATTTCATTAAAAAGGTGTTAAACATATATTAAAATATAATATATTTAAAATTAGGTAAGTTTAAAAATTCTGAATTAAATTTGAAAAACAATTGAAATATTTCAGTTAAAATTTTAAGGTAATTAAAAAGAATGTTATAATTGTTCAAATTTTGACCCCATATATATATATATATATAATTTAAAAATTGTAATTAAATGATTAAATTTTAAAAATTGTAATTAAATATTTAAAATTTGATCAATCTATTATACATATATATCACATAAATTAGTCTTTGCTGATTAATTTAAATTTTAAAAAGACAATAATACAGAAATGATTCTGTACATTTATGTATTAAATTCACAATTTTAATTACGTTTTTATTGTAAAATTTTTCTTAAAGATTTTTTATGATTCCAAATAAAGATTATTGGTATTTTATTAAATTAATCACATAAATAAATTTATTGTGCGAAATATAACGAATTGATCAAAATTAATATTAAAATATATTTAATATAACATGACAATTTTTTTTTAGTTGTATAATAATAATAGTACGCTATATAAATTATTTACAATCGCGTACCAAAGAACCATAATATATTTAAATTACATTTCAAAGTAGAATTTATTTTCAAAATTTATAATTGTTTAATAGACGCGTACAATTAAAATTTAAAAAGAAAAATTATTCGTTTCCAAGAGATGGATATATAATAGAAAAATAATTTAAAAAAAGATTATTAAGTTATATGTTAAATGTGTGTTTTAGTATAACATTATAAATGTTAGCACGTGAAATCAAAGTTTATAAAAAGAAAGAAATATTAGAAAAAAAAAATATATACCATATGTAAAACATTAGAAATGTATTATACAAAAAAAATATCCCGAGTTTGATTTAATCAAATATCTGTCATTGTCCCAGTTTTCGTCTTTCGTTTTTTTTTTTTTTTAGAAAATTTCCCAAGTAAATTTATTTAAACTAGGCGGTAAGTGGATCAACGATAAATGTTTTTAGACAATTTGTTACAAAAAAATTTTTTTTTATCCAAAACAATTTTCACGTATTGTAATAAAAAAATAACTATATATAATAATGTGATAACATGTTTGAATGATAAAGCTTATAATATATTGTAAATTTCATTTCGTTTTATTTATACAAACGTACATTTTCATCTAGTATAAACAATTTTCAGGCTTGTAAATCCTGACATTGTTTTTTTATAAAAACAATTAATTTATAAAATTATAATAAAATTTATCTAAAAATTGTCATGATTTTTTTAAAAATTTAATAAGTATATATTAATGAGCGATATGGGTACAATTTTTTTTTTTTTTTACTTTCTTCTAAGGTAAAACAAAAGTTTTGTATTTTGCTTAGACTTGTAATTATCAGTGTTACAAGTCTTAAAATATAAATAACTTATGTAAAAGAAATGCGAATTAATAAAGAAAAAAAAAAAATTCTCAATGGAAATGTAATTGTGTATACTTATAATATTGGTATACTCAATCTTTTGCTTTTTTGTCAAAATAAAAATATATTGAAAAAAAAAAAATGATTTTTATGTTACAAGATTTTTTTGCTTCTCTTCATCGTTTGTTACTAATTTTTGATCTTTCTCTTCATCTGCAACATTATTGAGTTCTACATCATCGGTATCTTCAAAAAGATTGTGACCTGTAAAAAGAAAAATTACTCAAAAAAATGACACAAATAATTTATTAAAGAGAATAAAATTAATATATTAATATTTTTGAAATTACCCGATATCATATGATTTATTTGTTTTTTCATTTCATCCTCCTCATCTTGAGAGTTTTGAACTCCTCCCTCAATATTCTTTTTTATTTTAGTATTTTCTTGAGCTGAAAACGATTTTTTGGTTACCGTATTAAAAAGAAAACAGTTTTAACTTTTTAATTCTTTTAATAAAATATCAATATAGTTTACAAAATATATAATGGCATTATTGTAGACAAAAAATACACATCATTCAAATTTGAATTATTTTTTGTTCATTATTAAAATAATTAAATAGCAAATAATAATTGAGTAAATACAAATTTATTTTTGCAATAGCAATAACAATAAAGCTTAATTTTCAAATCCTCCCCCCCCCCCAAAAAAAATGAAAAAAAAATGAAAAAAAAAATAATAAATTAAAAATTGACGATGGACGGAATATTTTTTTTTTTTAGAGATTTTTACCTTCTAAAAAATTTGTCTAGGGTTTTTTAGTTTCTTGAGTTAAAAGAGAATGATTATTATTTTTATCTTCATGCAACATTGCTACTGAAAAACGAGGAGGTTTGCGAACAGCTCCCGGTGGATCTTGTGGAAGAATTGGACTATCACGATGAAACTTCATACCTTGTAGACCTTTTTGTGAGATTTTAACAGCTTCTAATTTCACAGGATTCAATTGACCATTCGCTAATTCATTTCCAGGTGCTAAATCGTAAATTTTCGAAAAAAAAAATTGCAAACATTTTTTTCAAAACTACAAAAATAAAAATTTATCCCTTACCTTTGGGTACAATTTCCATTACTTTATTCTCTTGTGGTGCATTTATTGCCAATTTAGCTGCTTCTAATTCATTCTTCAGCTACAGATATAAAAAAAAAAAAATATTATTTACCTCTAAAAACTAATGTTTCATAGGACTTGAATATTTTTTTAAAAATATAAAACATTTTTTAAAGAAACAATAAATTTAAAAAAGCGAAAACTGATTAAAATTTTTCAAATACAACTTTTCAGCCTTTCTAATTCTACTAAAAAAGAGAATAATTAATTTCAAAATTACCTTATCTAATTCATCGTGTAATTTTTTATTCTCCTCTATTGTCTCTTTCAATTTAATTGAAGTTGTATTTTTTTCCAAATGTAAAGCATCAATTGTTGCTGATCGTGTTTTGTCAACATTAGTGAGTGATGATACCTGAGTTTTACAGGCAGTTAGAGACATTTCTAATTCTACCTTTTGTTTTTGTAATTCATATTGATGTGCAATGCGAACATGTAGAGAAGCTTTTTCTTCCTCAGATTTTTTTTTACTTTGCTGTAATTTTGCTCGTGAAGTCACACATTCATCCCTTTCTTCTGCGCTATATTATTATATAATATTTATATATTTTTTAGTAACTAAATATTCACTTTGCAAAATTTTTGGACATTATGAAATTTTTTTAATTAAGAAAAAAAATACCTAATTTTGAGCTGTTCTCCAAGTTCATCCAACTGACGAAGAAGTTCAAGATTTTCTGATGAAAGACTGTACCAATTGACAATAAGCATTAAACAAACAACAAAAAGACCTCCTACGAGAAGTGGTGGACATCTTCCTCCTCCTACCCTCATACTTTCAATAACCATTGCTTTATCTATCTACAATTTAAATTTTCTAATAGCTAAATAATTGTCATTAATTTATATTTTTTTTCACAAAAAGTTAGGTTATGTTTAAAAAAAAAACCTATATACAAATAATATATTTAAGTGCAACGGTAACTATCTTCTTCAATTAATTAATTATTAATTGTAAGGATTATGAATAATTTGACTTTAAAAGAAAAATATTATTTTAAATTACAATAATATACATTATTCTTATAATTATTATGACACGTAATCACAATTTAGGTTTACGTCAAACTATATTTAAATTTTAAAGAAAAACATTATTATAAAAGTTTTTATCTTTATTTTAATGTAATCAGCATGTTATTTTTAAAAACAATCACGCATTTATTCATGTTTATTAACATTTCTTTGACACGAACACAAAATGCTTTAAGGTACTGTCACTGTCATAGTGACATGTAAATGTACATCTACAATAGTAACGCGTAGCGCTAAATACGAACAGATACGAATTTGAGTCTTTTGTGATCAATTTTTTTTTCGAAATTCAAAATAGCGAATCTAATTATGGCGGCTGAATTTTGATAGATATACACTATAAATTGTGAACTTTCGTTTTGTTATACAAAAATTTCTTTATTTTTAAAAAAGCGAGGAATATCGATAGGATTTCGATATTTTATATCGATATATATATATCGTTCGTAAAATATCGATAATTCGATCGTCCGCCGCAAGCATTGAAGCAAAGCATGTGAGTGTGAAAAGCAAAAAATAAAAAAAAATTATGGCGGGACCACAGAGTTTTGTGAAAATAATTATATTTTTATTATGTACAATTAAATTTTTTTCATTAATTCACGGAGATAGACATCGTTTAAATGTTCCACGAGTTTTACTACCAGTTTTCAATGATTTTCCTGTCAACTTTACCCTCGAAGTTACAGAGGGTGGTTGCTACCAATGGTAAGTGAAAATTTGTTATTTTATTACATATATTTATTATATTCATGAATTAAAATATTCTCAAATATCAATTTTACACGAGACATTTAATATATTTAAATACTTTTTTAATTCTATGTCACAAGTTGATGCCTTTTTCTTACATAACCTCGTCTTTTTGCTTCACATAAATTTGCATATATAGTATTTTCTTTTTTTCTCCTATATGAAATATTTGTTTTTATGAAAAAAATATTACCTATCACTGCATTGGGAACCAAAAATAATAATTAATCATTTTTTGCTTTGACATATTATGAAAAAAATCAATAACTTTATTGACAATCTCTAAAACCATTTAAAGAATTCAAATATACAAAAAAAAAAAATAATTCAGTTTAGAGGATAAATTTGAAGCATTATTTATTCTCTTTTCAAAGGTCAACTTCTCGTTCTGATATTGTTCGATTAATTCCAATAAATGAAAACTATGATCGAATGTGTTCATCGGCAGTTATTGTACAAACTACAACAAGAGAGCCAACTAGAAATACAGCAATTGTTTTAGCCGAAGATCTTAATAATGGGAATTTTTTAAGATGTGACGTTATAGTTGATGCTATTTTTTCTCTTTATATGGTTACTACAACAAGAGAATTGTTTATTGAGGAAGCGCCAGAAGCTTTTGAAGTTCGCGCTTACGATGAACAAGGTTAAAAAAATTTTTTAATTTAAATTATTGATTACTTATTACTAAAATAAAACTTAAAAATTTAATTAAATTCAATAATTTTACAAAATCTTGTCATTATTTACAGGAAATGAATTTACAACACTCGCTGGCATTGAATTTTCTTGGGCTGTTGGTAATGCCGATAAAAGAGGTTTAAAAATTGATGAAAATTTACCCAATAATGTATTAAGATTTATGACTTTTCAAGAATCTCCTTATGAAACTCCTCATACAGTTGAAATGTTAGATATAATTGGAAAACGGGGAAATATTGTTCTATTGGAAGGAGTTAAAACTGGAGCAGCAAAGGTATTATTTGACAAATGTGTGATAAATATATTGATAATTATTTTTCTTAAAGTTTTCAATTTTTTTCATTAAAAAATATAATTAATTTTTTTTAGGTTTCTGTAAAATTACTTCATCATGAATACAAACACGTTCTTCCAGTTGAAGTTGATTTAATCGTTGTAGCCAATCTTATAATCATTCCATCTGACGTCACAATGATGATATACGATTGTTTTACATATAAAATAATGCAGGCAAGTATTAAGGGTTGCAATAAAATTTTGTTCTTTTAATTTTTAAAAAGAAAAAACATTAAATGTAAATGGGGCATTCTATTTTAAAATTATATCCCTAGTAAACAATTGACAATATAAGACATTTTTTAAATAATTATTTCTCCCATTTAATTAAATCAAATTACTTTTGCAATGAGTGGTTTTGAAAGAGAAATTTCTAAACTTTACAATTGTAAAAAAAAATTTTCAAAAAAACATTTAAATAGTATAAAAAATTTAGTTTGAAGGTTAAACTTGTAAATATCTCAAAACACGTTGTCTCCGATTTTGACAAAATCTATGTCAAAAGAAAGCTTAAATATTCTATTTTTTATTTACGTAAAGTTTATAATGGACATTTTCGAGAATTTCCAGAAATTAATTAAAATTCTCAGACGTTTCGGAGGTTAAAAAGGATTGAAATTTGTATGAATGGAGAACCATTTCTTTAAGAGCGGATTTTGTTTTTTAAATTTAATTTCCATTAACCTTACATTATTACATCACTTGACATTAGAGAAAAAAAATATTGTAAACAATAAATATATTGATCTTTAGCTATTTGCAATTAAAAATTTTTCAAATTTAAAAAAAATTATTAAGATTAAAATTGAAGTTTTAAAATTTATTTATTTAAAAATTTCGTAAAAACAAATGCCGCTGTATTTGAACAGAGGTTCTCTACTCATGCAAATTTCAACCCTTTTTAACCTTTGAAACGTCTGAGAATTTTAATTAATTTCTCGAAATCCTCGAAAATGTCCATTATAAACTTTACGGAAATAAAAAATAGAATATTTAAGCTTTCTTTTGACACAGATTTTGTCAAAATCGGAGACAACGTGTTTTGAGATATTTACAAGTTTAACCTTCAAACTAAATTTTTTATACTATTTAAATGTTTTTTTGAAAAAATTTTTTTACAATTGTAAAGTTTAGAAATTTCTCTTTCGAAACCACTCATTGCAAAAGTAATTTGATTTAATTAAATGGGATAAAATAATTATTTAAAAAATGTCTTATATTGTCAATTGTTTACTAGGGGTATAATTTTAAAATAGAATGCCCCAAATATAATATTTAAATGAAAAATTGATTTCTCTCGGGTAAGTCCACGTCAGAAATATCAGAATCTGCAAGTGGTTCTTTGATTTTAATGATACTTGGTAAAATTATAGCTTTATATATGAGCAATGTGTAAGTAAAAGGAATTTTTAAAATATCTAAAATTGTAGGAGTTATATCACTTTTAATTTTGATACTGCATTTTTTTCTTTCCTTTATATCTCGGTCAATTTTCAATCGATTTTGATGAATCAAAAACGATTTTTTTCAGAAAATTACGTATTTTCAGAAAATTTTAAAATAAAAATAAAATTTTGTTATTTAAATAGAAAAAAGTAAAAAACAAAATTTCCTTTAGATTTTTTTTCAATTTCGACCTCTTTTTTTTAATTTTTAATTTTTTAATAATATTCCTTTTTATTTTATCTTTAATTTAAAAAAAAATTCATCCTGGAGACTTTTTTAGATCTCGTGATATCGTCCTTTAAGTATTATAAGTCTTCATCAATTTGAAAACCGCAAGACTTGCTTCTATCATTACTTTCATTTGTTTGTTGAAATTTTTTATGGTTATGAATAACTATTTGTTTTAGAATCCTCTAAAAGAAAGCGCTAAAAACTTCAGCTACAATTTCAGGTTGCATTGTTAAGGTTTCATTACAATTTATTTTAAATTATAAATATTACAAAAAATAAAAACTTTGCTTCAAATCTATTAATAAAATATTGATTTGCTTGAATTTTCACTTGTTTTAGTCAAGTAATTTAAAAATAAAAACATTATTACGCGAATGTTTCTAGTTTGTAACAATAATATTATAAAACAAATGAAAGTAGAAACACAAATCTCGATCCTAGTTTTCTTGAGATGTGGATATTTAAAGAACGATATCACGAGATCTAAAAAAGTCTCCAGGATGAATTTTTTTTTTAAATTAAAGATAAAATAAAAAGGAATATTATTAAAAAATTAAAAATTAAAAAAAAGAGGTCGAAATTGAAAAAAAATCTAAAAGAAATTTTGTTTTTTACTTTTTTCTATTTAAATAACAAAATTTTATTTTTATTTTAAAATTTTCTAAAAATACGTAATTTTCTGAAAAAAATCGTTTTTGATTCATCAAAATTGATTGAAAATTGACCGAGATATAAAGGAAAGAAAAAAATGCAGTATCAAACTTAAAAGTGATATAACTCTTACAATTTTAGATATTTTAAAAATTCCTTTTACTTACACATTGCTCTTATATAAAGCTATAATTTTACCAAGTATCATTAAAATCGAAGAACCACTTGCAGATTCTGATATTTCTGACGTGGACTTACCCTCTCAATAAATAACATAATAATAATATAAACATTATTAATTCACAGGTACATCAGGGTCGTTTGGAAGAAATAAATCTTGCATCAAGTCAATATTATCTTGCAGCTGAAAATTCAAATCTCATTGAAATAAACAATGATCGTGGTAGTATTTATGCTCTTGCACGTGGTAGAACAAAAATTTCTTTACACGATAAAAATGTACTTGAAGAATATGGTGTAATTTTACCAACTGCATCGGTTAGCATAAGCGATGTTGCCTATATAACATTAACAGTTCTTCCACATCGTAGTAGTTCATTAATTTTAGGACAAACACATGAAATAGTCGTTGATTTTTACGATAGTCGTGATCATAAATTTTTCATTGGCGAAGGCGCTGAAGTAACATTAGAAATTGAAGATCAATATTTTGAGAGAAAATTCACAACACAAAATGGTACATACGCAATTGTTGTTCCAATTCAAACGGGTGTAACAACAGTGAAAGCAACATTATACGGTGTTATTGATCAAGGTGGACGAAAAATTGCTCAAACACCGGAATTAACAACAAGAGCTGAATTTACAATTCATTCACCAGTTATTATACATCCACAATCACTTGCACTTCCATGGGATCCAAAAAGTAAAACAAAATCTGATATGATATTAAAAGCAAGTGGCGGTGATGGTTCTTTTGTTTGGAATAGTCGACAACCATCAATAGCTACAGTTTCACAAAGTGGAGCAGTTAAAGTATTACAAAAAGGTTCTGCCGATGTGACAGTGTCAATGGTACGTAATCCTTATAATCGTGATACGGCAAAAGTTTATATTCTCGATCCAACGAAACTTGAAATTATTCAATATAATATGGAGGCGGCAATTGGTGAACCAATTTTTTTACACATTGCCCTCTATGGTGAAATGATTGATGGCACAGAAGTAAAACAAATTCCATTCAACGATTGTAAAGATTTACCTTTTGAGATTTATATTCCAGATGGAAATTTCTTTTACAATGAAACTGAAATAACACAACCTGTTGGTATTGCTTGTGCTGCATTAGCAATTGTTAGTCTCAATACTGGAACATCAACAATAACTGTGACTTATAATAAAAATGGCCTCTATCTTATGGATAATATCACAGTGTCTGCTTACGATCCACTTGTTGTTGTTCATCCAAATAGTGGTGAAAGTATTTTAGCAATTGGCTCATCAAGAAGAATTATTTTCAAAGGCGGTCCTTATCCATGGTCTGGTAAACTTCAAGGTTATCGGCGAGAAATGACTGTTTCTGAAAATGAAATTTTAGAAGTTAGTGAAGAAAAACAAACAATTGATCCTGATATTTCAATATTTCAAGTTGTTTGCCGACAACTTGGCGAGAGTATATTAACATTTACAGTTTCAAATATTCCTCTATTTCCCACATGTAAAATGACCGTTGCCACTGCGACAATTCGTGTAATTTGCTCAAAGCCAAGATACATTTTTCTACAACCAGAATTTAAGAACAATGAAAATTGTCCCATGAAACAAATGTCAAATAAAATTATGACTCACAGTAATGAAGAATTGGAATTATTGGTTATTGTCAAAGATGAAGATGGAAAGAAATTTGATAATATTACAAGTTTAAATATTGAATGGACATTGAAACCACAAAGTGGTGGTGAAATTGAAATACCAATTGGAACAATAGAAGCGCCTATTGAGGATTTTAATGTAAAACTTCCGGGTAATCATTATCAGCGTATTATCACAAAATTATTTTCCGATTCTTTAGTGTTAAAGGCAAAAATTACGGGTTATCAAAAAAATTATCTCTCATCGTTGAGAATATCTCCTGAATGGCCACCATTTCCAATTGAAAATGAAAGAGGAATATTAGCGACACCATTGATTGAAGCAATGATAAATATTATTTTAGTTAATGACACAATTATTGTGCCAAATGAATTGAAAGTACTAAATGATCCAAGTAGTAAATATTTTTTGCAAGTAAATCAAGGATCGGGATTTTATGAATTTCATCTTAGTTCAGATGATATTGCTGATATACGTTATGTTGAACCATCAAGAACAATTACTGTGGTACCAAAAAAATTTGGAACATTGAGAATAACATTAATTGATTTGTGTCTTGCTTCTGTACCTGCGGAAGCTGTTATTCAAGTTCAACAACTTGCGAATCTTGAAGTTGAAACGGTGAATAAAGTTGAAAAGGGAAAATGTATTGCTGCTGCTTTAAAAATGTATGACACCAATGGATATTCAATGATGTTGCCATTTATCGATGCATTGTCAATGAAAATTGAAATTGAAAATGGATTTATTGATGTTAAGAGAGCGTCACCCAGTGAACAAGGAGATCAACCATTTAGTGAAATAATATACATGATACATGGGCTTGAAGAAGGAGAAACTCAGGTGAGTTTTGTAAAATTTTTTAATGTTTTATAAAAAAATTTTTTACAAAACAATTGATTTTTAAATATTTTTAATTTATTTACATAGGTGATCTTTAGTAACGGCGAAGGCGATGATGAAATTCGAAGTGAACCAATTTTAATACAAGTTTTTCCACCACTAAAATTGACACCAAAAAATTTGACCACTTTAATTGGCACAATCTATCAAGTTACAGTCACTGGTGGACCAAAAGATGCTGAAATTGAATTCTCAGTGGGAAATAATGAAATTTGCAGTATCAATAGTGATGGCATTCTCGAGGGAAAATCAATTGGTCAAACGCGAATTATCGCAAGGGCAATTGGTTTTAATTCAAAGGGCAATATAATTGTTTATTCACAAGATTATGCTGATATTTATGTTACAAATCTTGAAGAAGTGAAAATTGTGATACCAACAATGAGAATTAAAGTTGGTGCCACAATTCCCGTTTGGGCATTTGGAATACCTGATAATTTAACACCATTAATTATTGGTTCAATGAAATCACCACTTTCATTCTCATGGATGTCAAGCGATAATTCTCTAATGAGCCTTCATAATATGTACGAGGGAACTGGAATTAATATGAGATATCAAAATGAAGTTTCACTACGTGCTAAGGCAAATGCACCGGGAAGTGTAACTATTTATCTAAATGTCACTGCACATTGTTATAATTCAATTGGAGGTTGTAGTGCCGATCGAATTTATAGTGCTTTTGTTAAAATTGAAATATTTGAAGAATTAAAACTTTTCTATAATGACAATAGTGAAAGTGAATCGGCTGTTATTTTAATGGCACCGAATTCAATTTTCAAATTACAAACAAATCGTGATAAATATGGTGTGACGTCTTTTAAAATTCTTACAAGCGGTTCACATAGTGTTGATACTGAGGATTCAAATGCTTTAACACAAGTATCGAAAATGATTACTGTTGATAAAAATGGTGTTGTTAAATCGGGAGAAAATTACGGTAGAACAGTTATTTCAATAACAAATGTCGAGGCTTACAGTTTAAAACAAACTCTAACTGTGATTATTGATGTGAGTTTACAATTTGTGTATAATTTTTTAAAATTAAGATATTAAAATAAGTAGAAAAAATGATTTATAAATTATAATTATTGTTATAATAATTATAAACTTTTAGTATTTATATAGGAATTTTTTTTTCTTTCTTTAGGTGAAACCAGTTCATTATATGATGTTGTCATTGAAATCAAATATTCGAACGAGATTAGGAGAGGAGCTGAATATGTTACCAAAAGGAATGGAATTAGATTATGTTGTAGAATTTTTTGACAATGTTGGTTTAAAATTTCATGCTGCTGACATGAGTTATAAAACATTTGCAAATAGAGGCGATTTAGTGACATTTATACCGGAAAATAATAATCTTCTATTGGCTAAATTTTTGGAAAATGGAAAATCAATCATTAAAATTTATAATGAAAAATATCCCAATGGAATGTTTGATTATGTGACTGTCATAATTGGAGATATTCATTTTCCAGCAAAGGTAAATTAATTATTAATTATTACTTTTATATAAAAATATATTTCAATTTATACATATAAAAATTATAAATTAAAATGTGTTTTTTATTTTGCTAGGCAACGGTGAGCGTTGGCGATATAATTTGCTTCTCGATGCCTCTTTTATCTTCTGACGGCGAACCAGGTATCTGGCAATCTTCAGCTTCTGAAATTGTTGCCGTTGATCCGATTTCTGGAATTGGAAAAGCTCGTAATCCAGGTAATGCTTTTATCAAACACAGTCTTACAACTCAACTGCAGGATGAAATTGAAGTTCACGTTCTTCCAGTTGCAAAGGTAAATTAATAAATTTACAAAAATTATTCCTAAAGTATAATATAAAACAAAAAAATAATTTTTAAAAAAATTTGTAAAAATGTATAGATAACATTAATTCCATTGAGAGGGAAAAATATAACAGGACTCGAGGTATTCAGTATACCACTTGTAATTAGAGGCAAGGATGAGGGAATTAAAGAAAATAATGTATTCTCACGAGGATTGAGTGGATGTCGAATGCAAACTTCATTTTCTTTGACTTCTTATCCCTTCACGTGTACAATACAATTTATTCCAGCGAATGTTCACATTGGAATTAAAGATTTTTTCATAGCTAAACCACGATTTGACATTGTTACCGGTAATATATCAAATTATTTTACATTTCATTGTTAATTTCAAAATGTTGTAATTTTTTAAAAATAATTAAGAATAATTCAATTTAAATTTCTATATAAAATTTCTTTTAGGTTTCTACTATTGTGATGTAATTCCCATTGGAACGCCAAATTTAATTTCAAGTACAACAGAAGTTCGTCTTCAGATAAACGCCGTAAGTAAGGATATGGAGGGAAATCCCGTGGAAGTTGCATATTTGCCATTAATTTATATTGGAATTAAGGAAGTTGTCTTTACAAATTTACCATCTTCATCAATGCCAACTGCATTTTTGGAAATTTATGGTTTACCCTACGTCTTGGAGCATATAACAGTGAGTTGACAAATTTTATTACATTGTATTTAGTAAAATTTCATTTATTTACACTAATATTTTATTCTATTTTATCTATATTTAAAATTTTGAATTTTTTTTTTCATCGAACTTTCATTAGTACTTGATAAACAATTTTTATATAAATAATTATTTAAATCAAAGTTCACAAATTTTATAAATAATTTTCTAGATCGATACTCCAGATGAAATTACAATAAGTGGTCAACAATTTATTTCTAAGCATCTATTTCAATATAAATTAAACTTGATGCAAACCCATGACGATATTCAAGGGAAAAAAATTGTCATAAGTAATGAATTAACAAAGCAGAATATCTCGGTATGAATTATTTGTTTCTATATCTCATTTTTTAATATTTCGTTAAAATAAAAATGCTAATATGATGTTAAATATTTTTAACAAAATTTATATTACTGATATTAAATACCTACATAAATTAAATTAAGTTTCAATTTTTTTTAGATTCTTTTAACAGTTTTGAAATTACAAAATTATAATTTTTTTTTACTCAGCATTCTTCTGATTTATTTTTTACTTTAATTTTAGCTATTTATTCGATTACCAAGATACGAACAATATGCGCATATATCAGGAATCCATTGGCTTGATTACGTTTATTTTCATCGTTATACCTTTGGAGTGTTCATTGTTTTATTTATCACCTTCTTTCACTGTAAGTCCTACAATTAAATTACAATAATAGCTAGATGTACAATTTATAATTTCAAAAAAGAATTACTTTTTTTTATATAAACTGACGCAATTGAATTTGCCTCGATTTAGAATTATTTTAGTACTAAACAATTTTTTAAGAACTAAAATATGTAATTCTAATTTTCGTGTTATTTTCAGTTTGGAAAAATAAAATGACAAATGTGGATTTAAATGTAAAAAATAGAAATATATTTGGTAAGTTGGAAAAAGTGAATATTTTTATTTTAGAGTAGTTTTAAGAATTGGAAAATTTTTTTTTTAATTTATATATTAATTTTTACATTAAAATTTATAATGTTCTATTGTTAAAAGCATATAAAAAAAGAAAACTAAAATATTCTGTAGATCTCGTAAATTATCGAAAACATTTATTTATTTTATTATTAAATAAATAAATATATTATTTTGATTTTAGCTGAAAAATGCCCGCCGCCTTTGAGAAAATCAACTAGTCCAGGTTCTCCAAATTTAAATAATTCCTCAAATACCACAAGACAACGTTCACCTTCATCACCATTAAGACCATTCTCAGCTTTTGAACCAGTTTATGGTGATCCACGAAGTTTATTTACACCGAGAAGAAATACAACATTACATACACCTTAAGTATGTAAAACAAACTTAATATCGATAATTCGATAATTTTGAAAAGACTGACAATCATTTTTTTTTTATATATAAAACAATTTCATTAACTATTTACCAATGGCGGATAAGTATAAATTAATATTTTTAATTTTCAAATAGTATTTGAAAATGAAACCAGTGTTCTTGTTATAATACTAAAACGGTTAAATTTTCAACTTTCAATCGTCTTCTAGGAAGAATCTTTTCGGAGTTGCAATAAAAGCAAAAAAAAAATTAGACTCATATTTTCATTTTCTTTTTATTTAAATAGTTTTCAAGGGAAAGTGCGAATAAATTTATTTTTGAATCATTAAACATTGTATTTGGATAGATAAAAATTTTTCTGACAATACGAAACGATTATTAAATTTGATAAACATAAATTCTTTTTTAATATCAATAATTTTTTTTGTCCAAATGTAAATTTTAATGAATTAAAGTGTAAAAATAAAATACTTTTTTTATTTGAAATTTGAAAAACACTAAAATATAAAGTTCGCTTTAAATTTATAACTCTCTGTTCGATTCTTCCTCAATAGACACAACGTGAGTTACATTTTAAGAGTTAAGGTTTTGTACATTTGTTATAAAAAAAAAAGTAATGTATTCTAAAACCAACAACGTTTGAAATTAAGAATAACGAAGACTTTCATTAAATTTGAAAGTACGTATTTTTATTAACAAAAGTTATTGTTATACTAATTTCAATCGTTGAATGGAACTGTGTATAAATGTAATTATGAAAAAGTGTTAAAATGTCTAAAACAAAGTGAGCTACTAATGTTAAATTAGACCTGAAAATATTTTTGCCGAATCTTTTTATTTTCTTATAACTTCATTCACATTTTGTCTCATTTGTTTTGTAGATCACTTAATTAGTTGTTTTTTTTTTTTAAATTAATTAATTGTAGTTTCAGAATTGATGATACTGATTTGAATGATGTTGCAATTTAAATAATTTAGAGGGAATGTAAAATATTTTCGATATATTGATCATAATTATTAATAGTATACTATATTTGTAACGATTTTTTGTACTAAAAACAAATTTTCTTTATTAGTGTAATTGTCATTAGTTTTTAATTAATGACTTCATAAGCGTTTAATGGTAACGATATAAATAACAACAACTTAATAAAGAAAATTACTTTTTTCATAAATAAGTGTTTATTTTTTTTTTTTTTTTATTAAAAAAATGCAACATATATATTTATAATGAAACAATCACTCATCTCACGGCTCAATCATACTAGAAAATATTTTTTTTTTGTTTGTTTTGTTTATTATGATCTTTGAGTAGATCAAGGAAGGATTTTTAAATTTTTTTAAAATTTAAAAAAAATGAGTGTTCAATGCTTTTTTAAGCTTTTTGACAATTTCTCATATTTTCTTTTGCTGGAGAACCACAGTCCAAAAGGTATTGCCAAACATGGAAGGGTCATCACAGCAAAAGCTGCCCAGTCGATCTGAAAAATAAAAATAAATATTATTATTTTTTAAATCTATATATTTTGGAAATATTTTATTTTTTAAAATAATAATTATACAATATGTAGTAAATTTTGTATCAAGTTTATTATTTTTGTTTATTTTATTCGTATTTTTTGTTACTGCAAAAAAAGTTCAAAAAGCATTTAAGGTTTTCAAAGTTGAAAAATTTTAATAACATTATTTTTAAAAATTTTTTGATAATAATAGTGATTATTATATTCTAATAATAGATCGTAAAACTTACCACATGGGAAGAGAATTTTTTGTCAAATTCTCGGAATGAGATAAAATAAGCTAAACCAGGTTCGCTGCTAATTGCAACTTGTAAATTTGGAGCATCTTCACGATGACGATAGACAACTTCAGCGGATGTGAAATTGAAATATCCGTATTTCTTCGGTTTTACAATAACAGTATGGCTCACATTTGATTGAGGTGGAACCCTGTCAATTTTAGCATTCAATTCTCCACTAACGTGAACAAAACTATCAGCGGGGAATGTATTGTCAGTTATCGCAACTTCCAATGCAGCCTCATTGCCAACATTATAGACAGTGTACTGTAAAATATAAGGAATTTATTTAAAAGAAATTTTAAAATAAAATAATTTTTTCCAAATTTTAACTCACAAATATTTTTAAAAAGTCCAACTTAAAAAATGTAATTTTCAAAAAATCTTAATTCAATTAATTTATCTTTAATTGTTCAATAAAAATATGGTAACTATCTTCAATTATTTAATTAAATAATTGAAATTATCTTTAAATAATCAATAAAATAATTGTAAATATTCAATCAAACAATTGAAATTACCATTTAAATAATAAATAAAAACAATTAAAATTATTTCCAAATAATCAATTAAAAATAATTAAAATTATTTCCAAATAATCATAAACAATAATTGAAAGTGTATCTTTAAATATTGAATCAAATAATTTAAATTATCTTCAAATGTTTTGATTTTTAATCGATTTTCAAAAAGTTTTCTAAACTCAATTTTATCAATTATTATTAAATCATAAAAGAATTTTTGAGTTAATAATTTTTGAAAATTTCAAAAAATTATTATTGTAAAATATGAATTTAAACTAGAAAAAAGAATATAAAAATATTTATTGAAATAATAAATTTTAATATATTTAAAATAATAATTAATTATCAATCATTAAATAAAAGAAAAATGCGTAAATATTAAATTATTAATTTGCCCTAATAAATTGAATAAAAACAAAATTACCTTAACAACAACATCCATATTTTCAACGAGGTATTTGTTATTAATATGCTTAGCAATTAGCAGTCTAGCACCTTCTGGTTCTGGTTCATCTTTTGATAATGAACTTGCTAGTAAAGTCAAAATGACTGTGAAAAATATGTGGCACTTCATTCTGAAATACAAATTGTCAATGTTTTAATTCACCATTAATTAATATCCTATATATAATACGCTAATAAGTAAAAATTAACATAACTTTATTGAAAACAAAAGATTTTTATTTTATTTAATTATAAACAAAAAAATAACACGTATATTTTTTATATTCAACAATATTCATATTTAAATTTCTAATTTTTCATACACTTTAAAACTCTTTAAATTTTATGATTTTTTAATTTTTCCTAAAAAATATTGTTACCGTCTGGTAACATATTCCCAACTATCTCCGAAAGCTGTCAAAAAATCAAAATTTGTAAATTTTAAATACTTGAAATATAATGAAAATAATTAGTGAAAAATTAGACAATCATGAAATAAAATAACTTTTTAATTATGTTTACTATTTTTCATTAAGGGTATAATTTACAAAAAAGTTTTAAAATATAATATGCTCCGAAAAATTGTATACATTATTTATTTTCTATTATAGAATTTAATATGCGTTTTATGGATGAAAAATTTTAACTATATAAATAAAAAGAAAAATAGAAAAGGTAGAAAATGTGTAATTTATAATTAATATAAAAGAAACTTACCTGTTAAGATATGAATAATATTCTATGTTATAATAAAACTAAAATAGGTACAAATGAAACAGCAGAACGCTTTAGTACATGTGGCGAACTGAGAAAAAAATTCGACAAATCGCTGCCAACAGCGCTGCGTTTTCTCTGCCACGTACTGGAGATTTCTTCGTCACTTCCTGTTTTAAAGTCTTACAGGAAATCAGCTGTTTGAAACAACAAGTGAACATTTTGGTTTGTGTCAAATGTCAAAATTTGAGTGTGATTTGAGTTAAACAAAATTTACAATAATGTTGATTCAATTATCAAATAAAAATCTTTGCAATATAATATGGAACTTGCTAAATGTTTTTGTAGGTTATGTTTGAATTATAAATAATTTAAAACGAAAAATGACAATTGACAGGTAGTTGTTTATTGAAATCAATAAAAATCTAATGAGAATGAGGTAAAATAAGAGAAAAAAGAATATTTTTGGTATATTAAATTAACAAAAATGGCTGCTAAGGTTTATCAATCTGATCAAGAACTTGAAACCAAAGTTAAGAAAGGTTAGTTTTTTTTATGTATATAACAATTATTTTTTACCAATTATATAATTTATCTATTACATTTTTACAAGTTTATTTACTTTATTTTTTTCTTATTAAAAAAGTGACAAATATCAAATACCTATCTTATATAATTAATTGTGAAATAAATAATTTTTCTTTTAAATTTCAAATTATTTACAGCAACAGAGCGAATTTCTGAGAATATGCACATCGTTGCAAATGAACCATCACTTGCATTCTATAGATTACAGGAGCATGTTAGAAAAGCATTGCCACCAATGGTTGAAAAAAGAGTTGAAGTTCTTGCACTTCGAAATCAACTTCAGGGTCGATGTTACGATGTTGAATATGCAGTAAGTGCAATAAAAAGTGTTCAAGATGCTGATAAAAGTTTTGATAATACAATTGAATTCATCAAAAATGCAATGTTTTATAAACAACAATTAAAATATGAGGAGCAACGAAAAAATAAAAAGGAAGGCAATAGAGATTCTGTTTATAAAAGACTATCAGCACATATTCCCACATTAGATCATTTAATGCCTGATGAATTATCCGATGTTGTTAGAGAAAGTGTCAATCGAGTTGAATCAATGATGAATCATGCAATGCATTCTAATGATTCTCAAAAGGCGAATAATTAGTTTTTTTTTTATGTAAATATATAATATAGAAATTATTTAAAAACAATAGTCTATTAAAAATTTATTCAATTAAAAAAAAAAAAAAAAAAAAAAAATGAATTTTTGTTATCCTTTTATCTGTTTGATTTTGTAAATATATTTTTTTAAATTGTTTTTTTTTTTATTGAAATATAAATTATCAGTTATAAACTTGTTAAATTTGAATGAAATTATTAATAATTACTGTTAATATTTGTACAATATTAATGTGAAATTTATTTAATGTAATGAAAAGTATTAAAATTTTGTTGAAATTTAAAAAATTGTGTTCGTTAAATTATTTTTCAAAAATGCAAAATTCAGTTACAAATGTATATATAGAATAAATATTGAATATTTTATTTAAAATTTAAAAATATTTCCAATTATTTAATTAACTATAATATTGATCATTTTAATTATTAAATTGTCAATTTGAAGGTAGTTTTAATTTTATTAGATTAAATATTTAAAGATATTAATAAAAAAAATTTTTAAATGATAAATGTCACTTTAAACACTTTTAACACTTTTTAAAAAATTTGTCTACTTCTTCTGGAGGAGAATTTTTATTAATCTTCTTTAAATAAAACAGTTTATTAATATAGATTTAAACTTCTTTCTCATATGGAGTGTTTTAATTTTTAAAAACAATTTATTAATATACAGTTAAATTATTTTCATAGTGTCGAAAACAATATGCCAACTTACTCGAAATAAAATATTGCGTGCGCAACACGAAAGTCATTTTCCAGTCGTTTATCGCTCAGTAACATTCACTCATTCATTGTTGATTGATGTGCTGCTTTGTATTATGTATAGTTAGTAAAAAAAATTAATATAGTGTCCGGTTTTTCGCAAAGATTAAATTAAAAAGCTAATATTAAAAAAATAGCTAAATAAATTAAGTTTCTCTAGAATCAAAACTGTCAAAAATGGGAAGCGAGAAAACAGTGCCAAACGGTATCAAATTTCTTATCGGCGGTACTTCAGGGTTAGTAATTTATTAATAATTATTATTAATTACAATTTATTTTATATAAATTAATAAAAATAAAATAACTTAATAAAATTTTTTAGAAAAACTTGTAAATTTGATATTCCAATAAAATTTATTTTGCGAATAATTTTAATGAAAAAATGAATTTCTAACCTTAATTATCAAAACTGCATGTAATAAATTTACAGTGATTGTTATTCTTTTTACTTGTAAAATAAATGCATGATTGTTGGACTTAGAACCTTGAGTGTATACATATATGTATATATTTAACAAGACTTAATCAATTCAGTAATAAAGAGAGATGTTCTCATTCTTTTGTTTTTTTTTCGCACACTCTGTGCGGTTGTTAAACTGATATAAAAAATTAATGATTTTGCCGAAAAACAAAGGTCAAACGGTTAGGCGTCATAAAATCAATAAAATTATACAATTACCTATATATTCAAATGTATATAATACAAAATTGATTGCCTTAGTATTTGTTATCGTTTTAAATTAATGTTTCCATTAATTTTTGATTTATGCGGAAAAATGTTCCTCAAATTGAATTTTTTATTTTATCGTCAAATAAATTGATTGAAAAATTATATACTTTTTTTTTGACAGTTTTCTATAACAACAATGTATAATAAAAAAATTGTCACAGTTCTTAATTTAGTTTTAGCCGGTAGTGACAGTCAAGGTCTTTTTGAATGCTGACTATACCTGGCATGTGATGTTTGTCATCGTTGTCATGCTTCTTCTTTCGAAAGTTCATTTACTCTCCTTGAATGCCAATATACCCAGTAGGATAAATAATTTATTCAATAAATATTCTTTACAATTTGTCCATAATTTTATAGCTGTAATTCTAATTTTAAATACATGTATAAATTTAGTATAAAAAGAAAAAGGAAAAAAAATTTTCCTGGTTTCTGACATTTAAGAAGAATGGAATGTGTTAAAAAAAAATATTCTTTAAAGCTATTTTAAAATTATACGTAAAGATATTTGACACTCTAACGCAAACTGTTACAATTATAGATTCATTTGCTGTGTGATCGTTACGTAATCTTTTAAGGTCATTTCCAGCGATAAAGAATTCTTGCAAATTTTTGAATTTCAAAAATTTAATTTTAATATTTGAAAGTATATTGTTGGCAAAAAAAAAAAATTCTATTTTTGGTTATATTAATTAATGAAATTAAATATTGGGATAGATTAATAATTATTTACACTTTTGATAGAAAGTAAAAATGAATAATTTTTTTCTTCAGAATGGCAGCAACATGTTTTGTGCAACCATTGGATTTGATTAAAAATCGAATGCAACTGAGTGGAACGAAGACATCGACAGTAGGAGTTGTTTCAAATATTTTAAAAAATGAAGGTCTTTTCGCTATGTATTCAGGACTTTCTGCTGGACTTTTGAGACAAGCTACCTATACAACTACAAGATTGGGAATTTATACTTGGCTCCTTGAACTTGCCTCGTGAGTGTTTTCTTTATTTAAATAATTATTTATTTATATTAATTTTTATCATTAGGTAATTGTTAATTTTTAAATAGTTTTTGTTTTGTATCGAAAAAAAAAGTAATTAATATTGACTTATTTCAATGAAATATTATAAAAATTATAAACTTTTCTTTAGTTTATTAATATTTTCTATTTTTATTAAAAAAAAATTTTTTTAATTGAGTCTAATTTTTATGCTCTACGTGATCTCACCAATATATATTTTTATCTTGTAAAGATTTTTTTTTTATGTATAATTATTTATAATATTTTCAAATCTTTCAACTTGTAAATAATTTAAAGAAGATATAGATATATTATTATAGTAATTTCGTTAAAATATTTTAAAACATCAATTTACAAATAAATTTATTAATTGAATTATTTTACTATTTTCATAGAAAGGAAGGACAGCCGAATTTTTTTATTAAAGCAGGCATAGGAATGGCTGCGGGTTGTGTTGGTGCATTTGTAGGAACGCCAGCGGAAGTTGCTTTAATTAGAATGACTGCAGATGGAAGATTACCTTTAGGTAATTAATTTTATTATTTAATTTATTATTATTAAAATTATTTTAATAAATTTTTTATTTATTATAATTATTATTCTTTTAAATAATTAAGTTTTAATTAAAAATAAAATGAATTATTCTCCAGCTGAAAGGCGCAATTACAAGAATGTTTTCCATGCACTTTTACGAATAACAAGAGAAGAAGGAGTCTTTACTCTTTGGCGAGGTGCTATTCCAACAATGGGAAGAGCCATGGTGGTAAATGCAGCACAACTTGCATCCTATTCACAAGCAAAGGAATCTCTTCTCGAGACAGGTGAAAAAAAAAAAAATAAAAATTGTTTCTTTTTGAATTGTCAATAAATATTACAAAAATAACAAATTTATCCACTTTTAAATAAAATCAGAAAATTAATTTTTAAAAATTTTCATCAACATTTCAGGTTATTTTGAGGAAAATGTGACTTTACACTTTGCGGCCTCAATGATTTCTGGATTGGTAACAACTGCAGCTTCGATGCCTGTTGATATAGCCAAAACGAGGTAATATAATTACAGAAGATTTCATATTATATTATTAATAATATATTTTTCCATATTTAAAATTTTCGTAATTTAACAAAAAGAAATTTATCCTAATATTTGATCAATTATAAATTAATTTTTTTGTTTTGCCTTTAGAATACAAAATATGAAGATGATAGACGGAAAACCAGAATTCAAGGGTTCAGTGGATGTATTAACGAAAGTCGTGCGAAACGAAGGTCTATTTGCTTTATGGAAAGGATTCTTTCCCTATTATGCACGTTTAGGACCACATACTGTTTTAACATTCATTTTCCTTGAACAAATGACGTCAATTTACAAAAGTAAATTTGTTTGATTTCTCATTTTCAAGTTAAATTTTGTTTCAATAAAGATAAATTCCGCGGCCATATTAAATCGCGTTTCTCCACTTGTTATTATATTGATAACAAATGTTTAATCTACTGGATTAGTCATAATTTTAACTTGAATTTCATTTCATAGTGAACATTTTTCTTTTTTTTTTTTTTGTTGAAAAAATTTTCATATTTATTTTAGAAAAAATTATATAAGAGTTTAGAAAAATTTGAGAAAATTTCAGGCGTTACACATTCACGTTCTCTATTTAATGCAGAACGCATTTTATTAGATTATATTAGTCAAATTAAAATGCGAGTTACTGGCTCTTTTTTTTTTTTTTTGAGCCACAAGACAATACATTCTGTATACATTCTCTAATTAGAACGTCGTCTGGAACGATTATAGTTTTATTATTATTGTTATATAAATTGACAAAGAGGGAAAAAAAATAATTCCTGATTGTATAGTGCATTGTTTATAAGTGATCGTCATATATATTTAATGTTGTATAATTTCTCAAAGTGCGAAACACTATTTTTTACAAGACATGTGTATTATTATTAATATTATAATTTTACTCTTATCATTCCCTTCAAGTGAACTCATAAATTATTTCATTGAAAAGTTATTTCTTTGAATTTTCATTGTTTCAAAATTTATAATGTTCTATTTTTAAAAAAGTCAAATTTTCTTTTTAAAAAAATGTTAATTTTTAGTCTGTATAGAAAGAAAATTTGTTATTGATTCATGTATTTTAATTATAAAAAAAGACGTTTCGATATTCTTTTTGATGTGGAGAAAAAAATTCGACATTATAAATTTAGATTTCTGAAAATTTTGATTAATAAGTTTTATAAAATATTCATGTGTTCACCTTCAAGAAGCATGTGTTAGGGATAATTTGCAAATTTGTATAGGTACACAAAAATACGTTGAATACGTAAACAAAAATTCCATCTCTATTTTTTTATGTATTTATGAAGAAAAAAATAAACAGTGTATAAATTTATTTACAGTAATTTTTAAATAGTTTTTGTTATATATAATTATATAATTTAATTAAAAATTCATTTGTTTTTCAAGACAGTTTTTACAATGATGTAATAAAATTTTTTTGAATTTTTTTTTTTTTTATAGTAAACTTCAGCAAAATATTTTGTATTTCTTATAAAATGAAATTTTACAATTAAAAATTTTTAAAATTACAGTAATTTACATTGCTAAATTATATTTAAATAAAGAGTTGTCTATATTTAGAAAAATAACAATGTAACTTTATTTGTCATTTTGAACATAAACAGCAATATAAGGATTATCTTTCAATTCTTTTATCGATGTTTGAACATTTAATAATTTTTCTTTTGCTCGTCGAAGTGTTGATTCTAAAGTTTTTATTCTCTTTTTTCTGGCAATTAATTTACGTTGAGTGTATTCCCAATATTGTTTTCCTCCATCTGGTGCTGATGTAATTTCCTCCCATGTGAGATTTATGTTTATTTTCTTTTTCAAAATATTAAATTCTTTCCTAAAAAAAAAAATAAAACACAGCAAATAATAATAATAATTAATTAATAAAATAAAAAAAAAAGAAATTTTCTTTGTTATTTAAAATTTTGTTTAAACCTACCTTTTATAATTCATTTTTATTCGTGATTTTGAATTTGGCGATTGAATGATATTTAAATTTTCATCATCTGAATTTTTATTATCAAATTGTCCAATTCGAAATTTATTAACAACTTCATCTAAAGTTTGACTAACCGAAGATTTATGAAGTTTATTGAGCATTTCAGTTTGTTCGGGTGTTTCATTTAGAAATAATGAAGGATTGCTACCTTCTTTTAATCGTCGCATACCATAAACTAATCCATAGCGAAAGCAATCTTCAGTAAAATGAATTGAACAAACTGTTGAACGTTTATTAACAGGTGTTTGATCAGATTTTCCTATTATTTCAAGCCATTTTTGTATTGATTCCTCATCATTTGGAAATCTAGAGATTTTATTTTTTTTTTATAAATGTTCATAAATATAATGCACGTAAAAAATGTACATCATAATATTATAAAATATTTTAATTTTTCAAAATTTTTAATACAACAATCAGTATTTTGAATATTTTATCACTTTTTACACAAAACTTTATATATTTGTTCATATATATTATAGGTTAGGAAATCATTAATTGCTTATTAATAGTATTTTTAGTATAGAATGTTCATTATTGTTAATTATACTGACAAAAAATTAATTTGTTCATTAAAATATTTAAATAAACAATGTTTTGAAAGCATATAAGAAATATTAAAATATTAAAAACATATCAGAATGTAAATTATACGTTTTACTTTAACATACCTGTGAAATGATAAATTACTTGTTTTACTCGCTTTTCGATTGCATATATAACATTTAGTCATTATTATAATATATTAATTAAATACTATACTAATTAAAAACAGGCACACTTTTGTTTATTTTAACTTTAAATGCGTTTTAAAAATGCACTGGAAAAAATAAACAACAATATTGCAGACGATTTTTGTGTGTTAAGTAAACAACAAGTGCTGCCAACAGTGAAAAAGTTGAAAATATAAGTTGTACATATTGGTAACAATTTCAAAAAAAAAAGTAATAAATAAAATTTTTTATCTAATAAAATTATCTAAGAAAAATAGTAAGAAGAGTTGAATAAATTACTAAAACAATACATATATAATACATTAAAACATAAATAATATAATAATTATTATAATCTAATATAAGAGTTAGCATTTTATGCACGATTTGGGGGAATTCCATAATTTCATATTTATTCTTATTATTATATATTTTTACTATAAATTTTGTATTTATAATCCATTATTACTGTCAATAGGAACGTTTTTAAAAGATAAAAAAAACATAGTATGACAGATTATGACTACAATATTTTTCTTTTTTAGATAACACATTGTGATAAGGTTATCCTATGAGAATCGACAATTCAGTAAGATACATAAAGTCGATAAAAGATATTGAAATATTAGATTTCTAAAATCAATTAGTAGTGAATGAATTGAAAATTTTGACAAAATGGCTAATAAAGGGAATGAAAATAAAATTCCCTACATTGTGGTGAGTATTTAATTATCTATTTTGTTTATTTATAAAATGTAGGTAAAGTGTAATATAAACAATATTTTACTCCCACGGCATCTAATAAATTTCAACAATTTGCCTAAAATTTTCATGATTTTTGTAATATTGCTGCAATATTAGAATTATGATGAAATTTTGCCAATATTGCTGAATATTATATTAAAAAAATATAAGTTGTAATTAATTTAATAAAATATTCAAATAATAATAAAAATTTAAAATTATTTATATATTTTAATAGATATTTTTGTTTATATTTTATTAATTTCATGTATTTTTTAATACAATAAATTTATCATTTTTTTATTTATAGAAGTAGTTGAACTAATTTTTTTATTTTCTCAATTATTATTATTATATTTAAAAATTGAATTGTTTTCAATAATTTTTTATTATGTGTGTCTTTTTTTAATCGAATTTTTCAAAATTATTATATTTATCTAATGTATATATGTACTAAATGGATTTACAGGGCGATTATGTTTGGATTAAAAATAATTTGAAAAGTGAATTTGATGTTCCTGTGGGTTGCAAAATTGTGAACATTGATAAAAAGAAGATACAAATTCGAGACGATGATGGTACTGTAAGTATTATTTGAAATATCGCTTAAAAACTTTTTGTTTTTTTGAACGTGTTCTACTTTAATTCATTTGGAAATCTTATCACATATATATATTACATGTTAATACGTTTGATTAGAATTTGATTATAGAGAAGTTACAATTTAGAAATGAAGATTTATACAAAAAATAATAATTTTAATGTTTTCTCCAAAAACGCTAAAAAAGCGCAATTTTCGTATGTTTTCTCAATTTTTACTAAAAAAAAAAAATGCCAAAAAAATGTTCCTTTTATTATGTGAGAAATTCGAATAATTTCGATAATTTTTTTTTCAAACTGATGAAAGCATAGCAATATATTATAAATGACAGAGAATAATAATAATTATTATTTATATTTCGAATCATAAAATTTCAGCTTGAATGGATCAAAGAAGATCAAATGATAAAACTGATGCATTCAACTTCCATTTCTGGAGTGGATGATATGATAAAACTAGGTGAACTACAGGAACATGCGATTTTGAAAAATCTTCACATACGCTACAATCAGAATATAATATATGTAATGTTTTTAATTTTTTTTTTAATTATAACATGCCTTTATTTTCTTTCAAAATATTATAACAAAAGTTATAAAAAATAACTTCATTTTTCAATTTAAAAAATAATTACTAAAATATATAATTGTATAATTAATGATTAATTAATAATTGTAGTTCTTAATAATAATTAATTTTCAACAGACCTACACTGGTAGCATGCTGATAGCCGTTAATCCTTATCAAGTTTTAAATGTCTACACTTATAATGAAATAAATCTCTACAGAGGGAAGAAAATTGGAATAGAATCCCCTCATATTTTTGCCATTGGAGATAATTGTTTTATGGAAATGAAAAATACTAAAATCGATCAATGCATTGTCATCAGGTATAATGAATAAATTTTTTTGCAAACATTTTTGGAAAATAAAAAAATACAATATTTAAAAAATTCAACTTTTCTTATATAATTGTCAACTCTGCAAAATTTTCAGTGGAGAAAGTGGAGCTGGAAAAACAGAAAGTACAAAATTAATTTTACAATATCTATCAGCTATCAGTGGAGAACATTCTTGGATTGAGCAACAAATTTTAGAAGCAAATCCAATTTTAGAAGGTTTTTTTATCTTCTTTTTTTTATCTTCTATATTTTCAATATTTCCTGAATAACTTTGAATCACACATACGAGACAAGTAAATAAAAGCATAAAAAAAAAAAAAAATTTTTTTAGCATTTGGCAACGCGAGGACCGTTAGAAATGACAATTCTTCACGTTTTGGAAAATACATTGGTATAATTTTTAATAAACAAGGAATAATTGAGGGTGCTAAAATTGAACAATATTTATTGGAAAAATGTCGAATAGTATCGCAATCAAAAAGCGAGAGAAATTATCACGTATTTTATGGTCTACTTACTGGACTTACGAAAGAGGAAAAAGAAAAATTGAACCTCGGAGGAACTAACGATTACAAATATTTATGTGGGGTAAGAGTATGAAAAAAATATTAATTTATAAAAAATAAATAAAAGTAAAGCAAAGAAAATAGTGTACGTGATAAAAGATTCTACAGAATAAAAATTCAGTAAAAATTTCAAAAATTTTATTTATTTTTTTTTTTGCAACTTTTATGTTTGTTTAACATAATAATATTTATTTTTATTTCATTTACAAAATTTGATGTGTGATTTTAACACAACAAATTTTTATAGAATTTCTTTAGAATCTGTTCCGTAGAATTTTTTTACGTGGCATTATATTTTATTTCAAATTTAGTATGTAACATATCGTTTGGAAAAATATCGTTTGTTTTACAAGTGAAACCTGGTAGGTTGCAACATGTAAGGACAGAGACGATGCTAAAGAATTTGCAGAAGTAAGAGCAGCCATGAAAGTTTTAAATTTCAGTTATGAAGATTTTTGGAATATAATGAAACTTCTAGCAGTGGTTTTACATTTTGGAAATCTTAATTACAAAAGCACTGTTACAGGTGAGAACATAATAATTATTAATTCAAAGAAAAAGAAACTAAATCTTCATAATTTTTTGATTGAATTATAATTCATAGATTTGAAAATTTTTTTTTTCATATAAAATAAAAAAAAAAAATATTTATTTGAGGTTGAAAAAAAAAAAATAATTTCAAAAATAAAATAAATATCTTTTACATGTGAATAAAAAATTAGTTTGGGAAAAATAAATAATTATAGATATTAAATAAAAATTCCATAAAATCAAAAAATATAATGAAAAATTCTTTAAAATATTTTTTTCTAATTTAGAAAATATGGATGCAACTGTCATAAACGATGAGAAAAATCTGAAGATAATTGCTGAGATTTTACAAGTATCAGAACGAGCGTTAATTGATGCACTGACAAAAAAGACAATTTTCGTTCATGGCGAACGTGTGGTAATTTTTTTTTTTTATATTTTATTAAATTATTTACGTGTTTATTATAATGTTTTTCTTTTTTTTTTACTAAAATTAATTACAAATGATTATTCAACAAATTATGTCTTTATAATTATTTTTTTCTTCTATTTTATACCGCATTTATTTTATTTTATCTTTTAAATTATTTATTAAGTTAGAAAACATTTCTTTAGTGCAGTAACATGTCAAAAAATCAAGCATTGGATACAAGAGATGCTTTTGTTAAAGCAGTATACGGTCGTCTTTTTATAATGATCGTTGACAAAATTAACGACGCTATTTATAAAGTAAAAGCCGACGAAAAAAATTCAATTGGTGTTCTTGATATTTTTGGATTTGAAAATTTCGACATAAACAGTTTCGAACAACTTTGCATTAATTATGCCAATGAACATTTACAACAATTTTTTGTTCAACATATTTTCAAAATGGAACAAAATTATTACACCGAAGAGGGAATTTCATGGAAGCACATTGAATTTGAAGATAATCAATTGATTCTTGATCTTATTGGAATTAGGTCTATGAATATTATGGCCCTCGTTGATGAAGAGAGTAAATTTCCAAAGGTAATTTATATAAATATTAAAAATTTTAAATCGATGAATTTAATTTACATTTTTTTTTTTTTTTTTTTTTTTTTTTTTTTTTTTTTTTTTTTTTTTTTTTTATAGGGAACTGATTTGACACTATTGGCAAAAATCAATCAATTACACGAAAAGAATAAGAGTTACTTGAAACCTAAATCGAATCATGTGCAATCATTTGGAGTGATTCATTTTGCCGGAACGGTTCATTATAATGTTGCAGGATTTTTGGAAAAAAATCGCGATACATTTTCCACTGATTTTAAACAATTAGTTTCAATATCGTCAAACAATTTTCTCAAATCTCTCTTCACAAATGAAATGCTGTCTAATGGTACTGAGGTCAAAAAACGATCTGTAACATTGTCCTCTGAATTTCGAAATTCACTCGATTCCCTAATGAAAACATTGACAATTTGTCATCCATTCTTCATCAGATGCATCAAACCGAATGATAAACAAGTTCCTGGAGTAAGTACATAAAAAATATATTTAAAAAATTAAATTAGAAAAAAGCAGCATTTTTATTTTTAATTTATTTCTAATTTTCTTTTTTTTTTTCTTCTTTTTATTAAATTAACCGATATAAAAAAATTAATAAAAAAAGGGATATTTTTTTTCTAACACGAGAATAACTTGTTTGCTGTTTTGGTGTACATATACAAATGCAAAATTACAGATTTTATGTATCTAGGCGAAACTGTAAAGCCCAGTTACGATTATCAGAGAACCTGATTTTCGATTTTTCTAACTTTCCCCCCTCAATAGGTTGCATATAGATATATGTTAACGCTAAAGGTGACTTTAAATATATAACTATATACTATTTATATGAAATTGAATAGAAATTTGATCGTGCACTTTGCTGTCGTCAATTACGATATTCGGGCATGATGGAAACAGCTCGAATACGACGTGCCGGATATCCGATTCGCTACGATTTTGCGGAATTTGTCGATCGTTTTCGTATATTATCAAATGGCATTTTACCATCTCATAAAACAAATGTGAAAGTGGCCGTAGCAAAAATTTGTTCCGATACATTTGGTACCGATCAGGACTATCAATTGGGAATAACGAAAATTTTTCTCAAAGAACATCATGAAAATTATTTGGAGAAAGAGAGAAGTCGTATTATTATTAGAAATATTATTAAAATACAAAATTATATTCGAGGATGGCTCGCTAGAAGAAGGTATTATAAATTTTTTAATAATATATTAATAACAATAAGTATATGTATTTATTTTTTAATGTTTTAATTTAGAAATTAAAAATTTTGAAAAATAATTATCTATTTTTTTTTTAATTTTGCTAAGAATTTTTCAAATTCACTTCAGACAACGAAAACAAACTAAATTGAAAAAAATTAATTTTTTCGAAAACATAATATCAGAATATGTTAATAATGATAATAATAATAATAATAATAAATAAATTTGTTATTTATTAATCAATGGATAATTTTGCTTACACATATAGAGGAAGTATTTTTTAATGTATAAAGAAAATAATTTTTATTGATGAAACAAGATGAGAGAAAATAATAAGGAATTATTTTGTTCGCAGATTTTTAAGAATGAGAAGTGCGGCTGTAGTGATTCAAAAAATTTGGAGAGGATATGGACCACGAAAGAGGTATTTGAAATTAAATCATGGATGCCTTCGATTGCAAGCTCGAATTAAATCAAGAGCTTACAATCACGAGTATAAGCAAAAAAGAAATGCAATTGTTGCTTTGCAGGTGAGTGAAAAAAAACAACAAAATATAAAGTTTGTTACATAAGAAATATGTTATACGCCAATGTTTTTTGCTAATTGCATAAATTTTGTATATATATATATATACATTAGACTGCTCTTATTTTATATATAGATATGAAGGGGAAAGTAAACTAAAATAAAAATAAGTTTCGCCTTTCACAATTTATTTAAAAATATGTTATGTTACAGTGATATAATATTTCTTTAACATTAATGTTAAATTGTATAAATTTGTCATATAGTTTTTCATTAAATTATAATTTTCATGTTTGTTTATACATTTTAATTTTTAAAAAAATTCACTTAATTTCTAATAATTATTTGTTACTAAATATAAAAATGAAAATTTCAGGCAGTATGTCGTGGTTACCTTGTTCGTAAATACAGTAAAGAAAAGTCTCAGGTAAGATTTTTTGAATTTAAATAAATATAACATTATTCTAATAAAAAATATTATACTGTATGGAAAAGTTTAAACAATTTTAATGATAATTTCTGTATATTTTTTTATTTTTATTAAAAATTCAATAATCATAATTTATTATTATTTATATTGTTTCTAAATTATATTTTCAATTTTTATTGTTATGATAATTAATTATAAATTAAATTTTTCATTTACTGAAAAAAAATGTTGTTTAATTAAATAAAAAAAATTTATTTCATCAGTGGAAACAAAGGAGAATTCAAGAAATTCAAAGCCTTCGAAAAGAGGAGGAGAAAATGTTGAAGAAACAGGGAAACAGAAAATATAAGGAAGTGGCCGCAGCAAACTTTGAACAGAGAATGCGAGAACTGAAACTACTTCTCGAGGAAAATGAGAAAAAAGAGATAGACGCTCCTACCAAGGAATCTGAGTCCAGCATTGACAGGATATTCGAATTTTTAGAAAGTGAACCAAAAAGTACAATTTCAAAGGATTTGCCAGGCGATATGTACGCGGTTAGTTTATTTATTCATTAGTATAATAATTAAAATAACTGTAATATAAGAATTAATAGCATCAATTATTTACAAACTCAATTATATTAATTATTAAATTATTATTTATTCAACATTTTTTTTAATTATTATCTTTCGTTATTATATACAATTATCATTTGTAATTAATATCATCAATTATTTGATATTGATTATTATTTTTGATTATCTTTAATTAGTATTTTAAATTGTCTTTAATTATTATTTTCAATTATTTTATAAAATTTTTAATCATTAATAATTTCATGAAATGAATTTGATTTCGTATTTCATTTGCAGGATTTGGCCGAAAAGGACAATAATGTCACATCCGGACAGTCAGATTTTCTTGAAATTCCTGACGAAGAAGAACTTGATGAAGATTTTTCTGTTTATGACTTTCATAAATTCGCGGCAATGTATTTTGTTAGCAACATTCCTCCTCAATATTCGCGAAGATCTTTGGTGCATTCTCTTTTGGATTTACCACATCCCTCGGATCAATTGGTTAGATAAAAATTCATTCAAGATTGATTTCAAAAAATTTTAATTTTGGAAATTTATTGATATAATTTTCCTGTTGCAATATAAATTTTTCATTGTTTCAGCTGAACTGTTTTTTTTTTTTGAATAAGTTTGAATTTTATTTGTTTAATTTTATTTTAATTAAATAATTATTAAACTTAATTTGAATTAAATTTCAATTCAATTATTAATTAAGTAATAATGTATTTTTTAGTGTGCAAAAGCACTATGGATTACAATTCTAAGATTCATGGGTGACATTCCTGAACCAAGAAATCCCATAGAGGCACCCATCAATACCCCAGTTATGGCGACAGTTTCACAAACACTTTCGAAAAAATTTTCACGTACCAAAGATTTCGAAAATCTTATGAATCAGGAAAAATCACAGCACATTGTCCGCATGACATTGAAGAGAAAAGACAAATTCCAAGAAGAAATCAAAAGAGGTAAGGTTGCAAAGAAAAGAAGTAAAAAAAAAAAAAAATTCGAAATTTACAAAATTATACAAAGTTTTAATACAATGATATATAATAATCAAAACATAAATATGATTCTAATCAGACAATGATATAATATAATCATGATGATGTAGATAAAAATTTTAATTTCCCTCTACCAATTCGCAGGAATCATTGATGATGAATTTGTGGATCAAGATTATCAAAATTGGCTCAATACTCGCCGTTCCAATTTAGAGAAATTGCATTTCATTATTGGTCATGGAATTCTACGACCTGAACTAAAAGACGAAATTTATTGCCAAATTGTCAAGCAGTTAATCAATAATCCCACAAAAGCATCCCACGCAAGAGGATGGATCCTTCTTTCTCTTTGCGTGGGATGTTTTGCACCCTCTGAGAAATTCCTAAATTACTTGAGAGCATTCATTCGAACTGGACCTCCAGGATATGCGCCATATTGTGATAAAAGATTAAGTCGTACCTACAGGAATGGAATCAGAACTCAGCCACCAAGTTGGATCGAATTGCAGGCATGTCCTTGAAATTAATTAAAATTTCATTTGCCCCTCAAAATTTTTGAATTACTACCAAACAATTATTAACAAAAAAAATGAAAAAATTTTATTTTCTCTTTAAGAAAAAAATTTTAATTTATTTCAGTAATAATTTATATAGATAGAATATAGAAACTAATGTTATTTTTAGGCGACGAAAAATAAAACACCAATATTATTGACGGTGATGTTCATGGATGGAAATTCAAGGAATGTTGAGGCAGATTCTGCATCAACTGCCCAAGAAATTGTTAGCAGTCTTGCAAATAATATTTCACTAAAAGATACTTTTGGTTTTTCTCTTTTTGTGACTCTTTACGATAAAGTCTTATCACTTGGAGCTGGACGGTTAGTTAAAAGTACATATTTTCAAAAAAATTAATTATATGATTTTCTGATTCTCTTTCTAAATTAATACATATATAATATACTATAATTATTTTTTTTTTTTAACATTGTTTATTTATATTCGCTAAAATTAACATTGAAAATTATAAATATACAGAGATCATGTGATGGATGCAATTTCACAATGTGAACAATATGCAAGGGAACAGGGACATTCTGAACGATCAGTCAGATGGAGATTGTTCTTTAGAAAAGAGATCTTTGCTCCTTGGCACGACCCAACATTTGATAAGGTCGCCACTGACCTTATCTATCATCAAATCATTCGAGGCGTCAAGCACGGAGAATATGTCTGTAACAATGTAAGATATTTCTTTTTTTATTTATGAATTTCTTTTATTAATTTATTAATTAATTATTATTAATATAAAAAGAAATTTAATTATCAGACAATAACAACAAAAAAATAATTTCGTAAAATTCATGAAATATGAATAAAATTTTGATGATGCAAGAATTTCACATTTTTTTCAAATTAATATCAATTGAAAAATTTGACTAAATTAGCGATAAATTTATTTATTTATCATATAATCATAAACAATCACATAAATAAATAGTTTCTTATTATTGTGTTTAATAATATTATTATTAATAATTATATAATAATAAAATGCTTGCGGTCTGTCCTTCTGTTCTAACTTGAAGTTGGCCTTTTCTGTTTTCACGTGTTTTTTTGAATAGTAATCTTATGACGTGTCAAATTTTTACAATTCTTTTTCTCATTTTTGCCAAAGTTGTATAATTTAGTTTCCAAATTTTGGAATAAGTTTCTTTAAAATTCCAAATTCGAAAATTCAATTCACAAAGCTGAAGTACACAACGTTTGCTAACGAAATTTTTTTAAAGTTGTATATTGATTCAAAAATTGTATACACATGCAAAAAATTTATGATGAGAAAAAAGATGCACCAGGAAATTTCGTACAAGATAGTAATTTGAAAAAAATTTATTTTAAAAAATTTATTTTTAAGGTACCAGGGGCCAACGAATACCTATTAAATATTAATTATAAAAACACAGGCCTCGAATCAACTTAAAGACATAAAAAAGTCGTTTTAGTCGATTTATATTCCAAAAAAAAGTGGATTTGTTTTTTATTTTAACAAAAATATTTTACAGATTTTTAAATAAAAAAATTTTTTTTAATAATTATCCTTTTCGAAGGGTTAAAGTTGAAATTTTTAGAAATAATTAAATTTCAAGAGATATTGTTAATTTTCAAACAATTATTAAATTTTACAGAACTAAAAATAATTTATCAAACAATTTTTGGAAAATATTTTTTAATAATAATAATTTAATTTAAGTTCATTTTTGATTGAAAATTTGGATAATTAATTTTGAATAGAAATTTTAGAAAATAATTGAATTTTATTGCATTTTAAATTGAAAACTTGGTAAATAATTAAATTTTAAATTGAAAATTTTGGATAATTATTGGATTTTTAATATGTAATAATATTCTAATAAATTAAATTATTATTGATAATATTAATCTTTAATTTCTTTATAACAAACAATTAAATACTCAATTTGGCGCGCTTGCGAGCGTTTAATTTTGCTAGTAAAATAATAATAATATAAATAATAATTAAACAGGAAAATGATATAGCAATGATTGTGGCTCATCAATTGTATGTCGATCATCAGAATAATTTAACTCCTGCAAATTTAAAGAGTGCATTACCTCTTTGTATTCCTAAACATTTGCTTCATGGAGTTTCGGAAGATGTTTTGCCCAAATGGGAGCAATTGGTATCTAAAGCTTTCCGAAAGGTAGTGCAATTAATTTACAATTTTTCTAGACAAATTTTTTTGTTTTTTTGTTTTTTGAGATTTAGAATGAGTATAAATATATTTTTTGCTATTTATTTTTCGCTTCAGCAAAATTCTTAATTTATTATAACTATTTTTTTTATATTTTTAAATAAAATAAATAAATTGAAGAAAATTTATATTTATTTATTATTTCAATTTGTTGCAGAACATGAATGTAATTGAAAATGCACCACCGGTGAAGGCAAAAGAAGATATTGTTTTATTTTCAAAAATTACTTGGCCAATTCTTTTTTCAAAATTTTATGAAGTTTCACGATTATCGGGACCAAAATTAGCTACAAATGATGTTATCATTGCAGTGAATTGGACCGGAGTCTATCTCATAGACAGTCAAGAAACTCTTCTTTTAGAATTATCGTTTCCAGAAATTGCTGAAGTCACTTGTCAAAAGTAATTATATCACTAATAATGAATATAATTAATAATAATAATTTGTTAATTAATTTTCAGAATAAACAATGCTTTTATTCACAATCTTATATTGTCAACTATTCAACGAGAAGAATATATTTTCCTAAGTTCTGAAGCTGAAGATCTTGCTAGTTTAATTAATTTTCTAATTGATGGTCTGAAAGAAAAATCATTATATGTTGTTGCAACTCAAGATTACATGATTGATGGTAATTAAATTATTTTAACATAATATAATAAATTAATTATTATTTAAGTAAATTAAAATAATTAAATTTAAATATTTTAAAATTATATACTTTTATTAAATTATATTATGATTTTAATTTACAAATTTTTGAAATATATTTAAAAAAAAAAAAAAAATGCAGCAGATGAAGCTGAATCATTTCTACCAATGCATCGAGGCGATTTGATCAAACTTGCTGGCGATTGCAATGGATATACAATAATGAATTCAGTTTGGGGATACGGTGAAAAATCTGATGTCAAAGGTGATTTTCCATCAGACTGCGTGTACGTTCTTCCAACAATGACGAAACCATCATCTACAATTGTAGTGAGTCTTAAAAAGAGATATTCAAACAAAAAGTTTTACGCATAAAATCAATGAAAGATGAAAAATTTAATTAAAATTATCGAATTCACAATTTTATTTATCATTAATTTTGATATATATATTTATTATTAATTTAATCATTTAAATAAATAATTTTTAATAATATTTATTAATTTTTAATACATTTTTTTTAAATTTATTCTTCGTAGGAAATTTTTAAAGCAGACTTTACTGGAAAGATAAATTCTGTTCGTGAAACAAAACCAACGAAATCAAAATTAACTCAGCATACGTTGAAAAAATATGCAGCCGAACATTTCCGTCCGGGAATAAATGTCACTATTTCACGCGGATCCAGCATCACAATGGCAAAACGTACAGCATCCGAAACATTGTGGAAACATACAAGAGAGCCATTAAAGGCACCGCTTTTAACAAAACTCGTTGAACAAAATGATCTTGCACAACATGCCGTTAATATATTTTCCAATATTTTGAAATACATGGGCGATCTTCCAAGTAATCGTCCAAAAAATGGCACTGAATATACTGATCAAATATTTCGACCTGCCCTCGAACACGTCAGTATTTGTCTATTTAATTATTCTTATTACACAAAAAAAACATAAAATAATAATAATTAATCAATTTTTTTTAATTTTTTAGTAAAATATAATATTAATTACATATTCTTAAGAATAATAATAATTATTATTATTATCATGATCATTATAACTAAATTTAATTAAAAAATTGTTAAAATCTTTATTTGTAAATTAATTTATTGAAAAAAATATTTAATTATTACAGCCGCTTCTTTGTGATGAAGTTTATTGTCAAATAATGAGACAATTAACGGACAATCGAATTCGATTAAGTGAAGAACGTGGTTGGGAATTATTGTGGCTGGCAACAGGTGTCATGACTTGCAGTGCAAATTTACACAAGGAAATTGTTCAATTTCTAACAACGAGAACCAGCATTTTGGCGGCTGATTGTTTGAACCGTTTAGACAGAACCATGAAAACTGGCAACAGAAAATATCCACCATACATATTGGAAGTAGAGGCTATTAGATTCAAAAGTTTACGAATTTATCACAAAGTCTATTTTCCTGATGATTCTGATGAAGCCATCGAGGTAATTGTCACGCATTTAATTTTTATTATTTGTTTACTAAATATATATAGTCTAATTATATTTATTTAATATAATTTAATTATTCGTTAATTGATAATTATTATTCAAAAAAAAAAAAAAAAAAAAAAAAAAGATTCACTCATCAACGAGGGCGTCCGATGTTTGTGAAGATATTGTATCGAGTCTTCGACTCAAGGGTTCAGATGGATTTAGTTTGTTTGTGAAAATTGCGGATAAATTTTTCTCAGTTCCACTTTATTATTTCTTCTTTGACTTTGTTCACGAGCTCGTGGAATGGGTAAAAAGATCAAGACCAAATATCGGTTCAGTTCAGGCTCAATATCAAATATTCTTTATGAAAAAACTTTGGATCAATGCTGTACCTGGCCGTGATGAGAATGCCGATTCGATATTTTATTTTCATCAAGAATTACCTAAACTTTTACGAGGCTATCACAAATGTAATAAAAATGATGCAATTAAACTTGGTGCTTTAATTTATCGAAGTAAATATGGTGACAATAAAGCAGAACTCACGGAAATTCCGTAAGAATTATAAATTTTTTTTTTTACTTCAAAATTTAGTATTATAAATTTTCATATATTTAATTTATTATTGTAATAATTATTATTACATTTAATTACTTTAATGTATTCAATTAACAATAATAATTTGTTTTTATCAATATCACTTATTAACTAAGTTGCGTAAAAATTGAACATTAATTAAAAATATTTATTTATCTCTTCTTTCAGACACAAACTTAGAGAATACATTCCTCCTGATATAATTAACCTAATGAGTTCAAATGATTGGAAGAAACATATCATATCGGTTTATAATCAGCAATCTGGTAATTATAAAAATGTTTGCAATTTATTTTTTCTTTTGGAAAATAATTAATTTTTTGTCATTATTTTTTTGATAGTTCCATCAATTAATCATTTTTCACTAATTTCGCGATTTTTGAAAATAAAATAAAATTTTTAAATAGCCGTACTGCAGGAAAATAATTAAAAACTTATTAATTTCTTTTTTTATAAAAAATATACATCTAAAAAAAAAATTTTTTTCAGGAATAACGGAAATTGAAGCAAAACGACAATTTCTTCAATATATCTATCAGTGGCCAACTTTTGGATCTGCTTTCTTTGAAGTGAAACAGACAACTGAACCAAGTTTTCCAGAATTGGTTTTAATAGCAGTCAATCGAAATGGAATTAGTGTAATTGATCCACGAACGAAAGACATTCTTGCCACTTATAATTTCAATGAATTATCAAATTGGTCATCTGGCAATACATATTTTCACATGACCATTGGAAATTTCATGAAGGGTAAAAAAATTCTTTGCGAAACATTGCTTGGCTATAAAATGGATGATCTGATATCTTCTTATATCGATTATCTTCGTAATAATACAAAACAATCAGGTTTCAAACTCTAAATAATTTTTCAATGATATCTCATATATATTATATTTTAAGAGAATAAATGGAATTAAGTTCTTTTAATCATAAAAATAAAATTTTGTACAGAAACAATTATACTTTTACATTTATGTAGCTATTAAAAAAAATATATATCAAAAAATGAATTTTTGATTGATATTTATATTAGTAATTACAAATTAAAAATAATAAAATTATGAAGAAAGATAAATTAAAATTAAATATATTATTGATTATAAATTATACCTATTTTATGTAATATTACATCATCCAGTATCTTTTTATCCATCCATTTAAAATTGTCATCTATTCCTAAAGATTGCGTAATTTTTTTGTTTTTACTAAATTTCGAAAATATTTGAACAAAAGATGAAATAATCGTTATAAATACCTTGTTCATAATTTCTGATTTCCATTAAAATACAATTTTAAAAATTCAGCTTTTGATGATTTAAAATTCATTTTGATCATTAGAGGGGAAAAAAAATTGTCTTTGTACATCATTGGAAGATGATCGTCCGGAATATGAGATGAGCTGGTGGTAACAACCAAAGAGAACATTAATTTAAAAAATTCAGGTGTTCCCATCAGTCGTTACCTACCTATTATGAAGAATGCCACTCAATAGTGAAAATTCATCCTGGAGAAGACAGTATTTCTATTAAATTTTCCTTATCTTCATGGATTTCTTCTTTCTTTGTACTCTTCATTTTTCAAATCTAAAAATTTTCAATTATATTTTAAAATTCATGTTTTATATTAGATTCTCTTCTTAATAATCAAAATTCTTTCTAAATTAATTTTGTTTTTTTTTGTTGCAATAGAGGGAGAAAGAAAAATGTGATTTGAAATTTTTCTTCAATTTTAATTTAAGAAAAATTAATTTATATTAATAAATAACGATAATAAAATCAACAAACCTGAAATCGCCCACTTGGAGTGACTTGATATACCTATAAAAAAAAAGAAATATCTAATTAAATAAAAAATACACTTTTTTTCGTCTTTTCTCAAAAATATGTCTATTTTGAAAAATTTATATTATAAATTTTTTAATAAAATATCAAAAATATTTTTTCATTTGGATTTATAATTTTTCTTCATCTCTTTAATGGTTTTTTTTTGCTCTCACTACAATCTTTATATATATATGAATTTATATTTTATTTATATAATTATCCAAGATCCATGGCGAAATTTTTTCCTGATAAAAAATTGAATGCAACCGTAACCGTAAAATAATAATTGACGAGCGAAAAAATGATTGGCGGCAATCATTTTATAGATGGTATAATAAAAGACTGAAATGGTACCCAGACTAATGTCCCCTTTTATAAGACGAAAATATCTTGTATATAAAATGCATGAGTGTTGTTGCGATAACCCCATATTGAGGGATAGCCATTGGAAATCAAAAAGTAGATAACCCTTTCGTGTGGTACATCTGATGGTTATATTGCTACCAACATCTCATTAAAAATATTCATATTGTTATTAAATTAAAACTTTTTTTTTTTTATAATAAATCCCTACATAAATCAACATACACACTTTGCGATGAATTTCTCAAACTATTTTAATTTCATAATTTTTATTTATTACTTATTTTTATAAAAATAAGAATAATATTAATTATTATAGGTTTTCTTTATTAATATTAAATTAATATTTTATTAACAATTATATTTAAAGAAAAAAAGAGACAGATTTTATGTAAAATATAAAAGTGAATTTTTAAAAAAATTATATTTTTAAGAAAACCTATTTAATGACGGTTCATAAATAAAAAATAAAAAAAATATAAAATTGTAAAATAATTGTGTATAATAAAATTTATAGGTGTCTTTACTTTATTAATTTTTTTTTTCGCGTGACTTGTTAGCGATTGTGTGTTTGCCAATTTATTCGATTAAATTCTTTATATATACGTATATATAATTTCCGAATCATACATTTATCGCTTAAAATTATCGCAAATTTTAATTTATTATTATTGTTAAAATTTATCAAAACTGAAGAAACATCAGTTGATTGTTAATTTGAAAAAAAAGTTTATATTTATATATATATATATAATATAAATATTTCAAAAAAATTAATATCTATTTCTAAACGTCGTAATATAATTAGAAATAAAAATTTTTTAAATTCTGTATTATTGAATTAATCAAAAATAAAAATGAACAAAAAATTATAAATTATTTTTTTATTAGGATCATCTTTTTTTTTTTATATTGTCGGTAATGGCTGCTTTGAAGTTATTTGTTCAGTAAAATGGTATTTGTTTTTTATTGTAGAATTATTTTTATAGAAGTTTCATTGTTTAATCCGAAATTATTTTTTAATCCGACAAAATCATATATATATCTATAATTGTATAGATTAATTTAAATATTATAATTTCATTTTTCTTTCAATTCATTTAATTTAAAATTAGACATTTTAATATTTTAAATTTATATATATATATATATCAATGTGATAATATATTAAAATTTTGTTTTTTGTAACATTCATAATTCTATATATTTTATTTGATGAGGTATTTAATTCTTATATTGACATTTGCTTAGATGTTTATTTGATATAGTCTTTTTAATATTACAAAATAATAAATATTATAAACTATAGTACAACAATGAAAACCTAAAATTGAATATGAAAAAATGTAAAATATATTTATTTTTGAGTATACAAATGATATTATAAATTATATTTATTCAGCACTGAGGCAAATATATTTTTTTATATCAAATTTTTACACGTAATTAATTATTTTCAAAATACATTCTTTTTTCATTAAAAATTTTTTATTTTTATTATAACAAATATATAATATTTTTACTGAATTTTCAAACACTTATGTTTTCATCTCAATTTATTATAAAATGATAGTACATTTTATTTATTTTAAAATTGAATCTGCCAAAGCTAATTTTCTTATCATTTTTATTTCTTTACTACCTCTAAAGTCTTAAAAATTTATACTAACATTATTATTATTATTTATCAATTTTTTATTCTCTCGTGTTTATTATTCTATTAGTAGAGGGGATAAACTATTTAAGGAACCACTTTTCTAAAAGATGGCAGTTTTTGTAAAGATATGTAATCATGTGTGTTTCAAAAATCTTCAGATTCTTTGTCCTTGCCTTTTTCATCTCGAATAATCTAGGTGAAAAATTATATTATTAATAATAATTAATTTTAATTTCATATACGTAAAAATTAATAATTTGTAGAAGGATTATTATTTTTTGAAAAATTTTTCAAAATTAGATTTTAATAAAATTAATCAGTCTAATTACAATGTGTTAAATAAAATTATTAAAAATTGTAATAAATATTTCAAATAAATAATTTGATTGAAAAAAATATTTTTAAAAATTATGTATTAAATTAATTTTTACAATTAAAATTTAATTTAATTACAGATCTCGTACAAGGTGGTGTAGTATCAGTGACGGAGAATTTAGAAAACAATATTTTAAATGAAAATCTAAAAAATAGTTTGAAGAATCATCAGAATGAGACATTTTTAACTTTGAAAAATGTCATAGTTGAAACTATTAAAAAAACTGAGGGTAATATTTCAATAAGTACAGAGAAAGAAATTATTAATATTGCTGATAGTTTTTTTAGTGAATATAATGATGGTGATTGGAATGAAAATCAAAATATAATAAATCTCTCGGAAAAACTTACTAAAGCAGTAGGAAAAATTCTGTCAGATAATCGTGATGATACGATTGTTCAACAAATTGGAACAATTGAATTTGAAAATTATCTTCTTGAAACAATTAAAAACAAGAAACACAGTTTAGCGTCTAAACAAGCATTAAAGTTTTTTATCTTGGAATTTTTATTGCAAATAAGAAACAACACTCGCACTAATGACAGACATAAATTGAACGCAGCCATTGATGGTATTGTCCATAAGTTCAATTTTCAAAAAGATCTTGATAAAATTACAAAAGAAGTGAATCAAGTTGCATATCAAATTTTCATGATAGCTGATGTATTAGAAAATTTGAAAGTCTTCATTAAAAATGATCTCAATAAAGAAGAATTTTTATTGACTGCCGTTAATAATATAATGAACACAATATTAATTAAATATCCCAATATGCCTAAATTTCAAAAAATGCTTTTGCAACATTATATTCTACATATTTTGTTAGAAAATAATTTTCATTTTAAAGGATCTCATGGAATTAATTATTACGATATTTCTCAACAAATCATTGAATACACGACGTTAAATTTTAATAAAAGCTTTCAATTGGACTTAATTAACACAAATTCTAAACTTGATAAATTTCAAATAAATTTTGCCGATTTTGAAATTCATTTGTTAACTAATATCAGCAATAGTTATAAAAATATTGGTGAAATAAATGCTAAAAAATTATTAAACAAAAGAAAATTAACAGGAATGTTTACTGATTTCATTTACGAATACAACAATAATTTCTTTGATTTAAAAATTGGCAGGATACCATTAAAAATCAAAATTCGAGCATTTCTAAATACGAAATTAAAAGAGCCAATCAATTTCTATGATATTGAAAATAAAATTGCCAATTGGCTTCTTCAGAAAATTGGCAATTTTCTATTACCTCTACGAAAATCGAGACAGATTCAATCTTTGCTATACATTGGAGGTCATTCAGGAATTTTTAAAACTTATTCTTATCATAAAAATTTAAATCACATAACAAATTCAGATAAGAAGCCAACACTAAATACAAAAACAAAAATACCATCAAATAATGCAGAAACTACTCAATCTTCAAATGAGGATGTAAATAAAATAACTATAAATGCTGGATCTACAACCACTGAAGAGGCAAAAGAAGAAACAACAGGGAAACAAGAAGAAAATGTTGACATAACCCAAGCGCCAAATGTAAACGAAAAAAAAAATCCAGAAAAAGAAAAACCCTCCGATGTTGATCCAACCAAATCGAATCAAACGAGCGATGCTACAACAACAGTTGCTACAGTTGTAGAACATTCGACTGTAACTTCAAATACAGAACAAACAACTACTGCAGCTGTAATCGAAGAACCTGCAACTACAAAAAATACAATTATTAAATCTACAACAACAGAATTTACCAACACTGATTCCAATTCCAATAAAAATGAACAGCCACCAAAGATTAATATAAATAATACAACAACTGATCCAAAGGCAGTGGAACCTAGCAAAGAAGTTTCAACATCTGACGCAAGTACTGAAGCATCAATCACAACAACTACAACTGAATTTATCAAAACTAATTCCAATGAAAATGAAAATGAACAGCCATTAAAAACTGACAAAAATAGTACAACATCAAATGATACAAAGGCAGAGGAATCTAACAGTGAAGTTTCATCATCTGATGCAAGTACTGAAGCTACGAATACTGTTATTCAATCTTCAACTAATGAGAAAAATTTAACAAATAGTACAGAGGAACCAATCACTAGCACCAAATCTACTACAGCTGAGGAAGTAGTTAAGAACCAAGAGGGAATTTCCAGCACTGAACCTTCTTCTAATTCTCAAGCAAGTATAAATACTTCAGAAACAGTTGATGATTCCAATGATGCAAAAAAATCACCTACAACTGAAAATGAAAAAACAAAGTCAGAAGTAATTAAGAAAGAGGAAGAAACCAGTAGTATTGATCAAAACATGAATTCTGCACCTAATGTGCCATCAAGTACAAATTCTACTAATACAGAATCTGCCATTTCAGTAGATGCGACCACAGTACCTACAAGGGCAGAAACTGAAGAACATACAACAGAAACTTTAAATACAGAAGTTGTAGCTACAGTAGATTTAATCCCAGAATCTACAACAGAAAGTAAAATTTCAAAATCTACAACTGAATTTATCAAAACTGATTCCAATTCCAATGAAAATGAACAGCCACCAAAGATTGATATAAATAATACAACAACTGATCCAAAAACAGTGGAACTTAGCAAAGAAGTTTCATCATCTGACGCAAGTACTGAAGCATCAATTATAGATTCTACAAATGAATTAACTATTGAGACAACCACTATTGACAAGGATTTAAATAAAACTGAATCTTCCACAAGTGAAAAAGTAAATACAACAGTTACCAAAATTGAAAACGATTCTCAACATGATACACAATCTTCGGCAAATGAAGAAAAAAATGTTATAAATTTAATAACAGAATCTACAACAATAGAAGGTACAATCACAACATCTACAACTGAATTTATAAAAACTGATTCCAATTCCAATGTAAATGAACAGCCATTAAAAACTGATAAAAATAGTACAGCATCAAATGATACAAAGGCAGAGGAATCTAACAGTGAAGTTTCAACAACTGAGGCAAGTACTGAAGCAACAAATGAAAAAAATTTAACAAATAGTACAGAGGAACCAATGACTAGCAACAAATCTTCAACAGCTGAAGAAGTAGGTAAGAACCAAGAAGGAGTTTCCAGCACTGAAGCTTCATTTAATTCTCAAGCAAGTACTCTATCTATAAATACTTTAGATACAGTTAATGATTCGAATAATGCAAAAAAATCATCTACAACTGAAAATGAAAAAACAAAGTCAGAAGTAATTAAGAAAGAGGAAGAAACCAGTAGTATTGATCAAAACATGAATTCTGCACCTAATGTGCCATCAAGTACAAATTCTACTAATACAGTATCTACCATTTCAATAGATGCGACCACAGTATCTACAAGTGCAGAAACTGAGGAACATACAACAGAAACTTCAAATACAGAAGTTGTAGCTGCAGTAGATTTAATCCCAGAATCTACAACAGAAAGTAAAATTACAAAATCTACAACTGAATTTATCAAAACTGATACCAATTCCAATGAAAATGAACAGCCACCAAAGATTGATATAAATAATACAACAACTGATCCAAAAACAGTGGAACTTAGCAAAGAAGTTTCATCATCTGACGCAAGTACTGAAGCATCAATTATAGATTCTACAAATGAATTAACTATTGAGACAACCACTATTGACAAGGATTTAAATAAAACTGAATCTTCCACAAGTGAAAAAGTAAATACAACAGTTACCAAAATTGAAAACGATTCTCAACATGATACACAATCTTCGGCAAATGAAGAAAAAAATGTTATAAATTTAATAACAGAATCTACAACAATAGAAGGTACAATCACAACATCTACAACTGAATTTATAAAAACTGATTCCAATTCCAATGTAAATGAACAGCCATTAAAAACTGATAAAAATAGTACAGCATCAAATGATACAAAGGCAGAGGAATCTAACAGTGAAGTTTCAACAACTGAGGCAAGTACTGAAGCAACAAATGAAAAAAATTTAACAAATAGTACAGAGGAACCAATGACTAGCAACAAATCTTCAACAGCTGAAGAAGTAGGTAAGAACCAAGAAGGAGTTTCCAGCACTGAAGCTTCATTTAATTCTCAAGCAAGTACTCTATCTATAAATACTTTAGATACAGTTAATGATTCGAATAATGCAAAAAAATCATCTACAACTGAAAATGAAAAAACAAAGTCAGAAGTAATTAAGAAAGAGGAGGAAGCCAGTAGTATTGATCAAAACACGAATTCTGCACCTAATGTGCCATCAAGTACAAATTCTACTAATACAGTATCTACCATTTCAATAGATGCGACCACAGTATCTACAAGTGCAGAAACTGAGGAACATACAACAGAAACTTCAAATACAGAAGTTGTAGCTGCAGTAGATTTAATCCCAGAATCTACAACAGAAAGTAAAATTACAAAATCTACAACTGAATTTATCAAAACTGATACCAATTCCAATGAACAGCCATTAAAAATTGATAAAAATAGTACAGCATCAAATGATACAAAGGCAGAGGAATCTAACAGTGAAGTTTCAACAACTGAGGCAAGTACTGAAGCAACAAATGAAAAAAATTTAACAAATAATACAGAGGAACGAATCACTAGCACGATATCTACTACAGCTGAAGAAGTAGTTAAGAACCAAGAAGGAGTTTCCAGCACTGAAGCTTCTTCTAATTCTGAAGCAAGTATAAATACTTCAGAAGCAGTTGATGATTCCAATGATGCAAAAAAATCACCTACAACTGAAAATAAAAAACCAAAGACAGAAGTAATTAAAAAAGAGGAAGAAGCCAGTAGTATTGATCAAAACACGAATTCTGCACCTAATGTGCCATCAAGTACAAATTCTACTAATACAGTATCTACCATTTCAATAGATGTGACCACAGTACCTACAAGGGCAGAAACTGACAATCATACAACAGAAACTTCAAATACAGAAGTTGTAGCTGCAGTAGATTTAATCCCAGAATCTACAACAGAAAGTAAAATTACAAAATCTACAACTGAATTTATCAAAACTGATTCCAATTCCACTGAAAATGAACAGCCATTAAAAACTGACAAAAGCAGTACGGCATCAAATGATACAAAGGCAGATGAATCTAATAGTGAAGTTTCAACATCTGAGGCAAGTACTGAAGCTACGAATACTGTTACTCAATCTTCAACAAATGAAGAAAAAAATTTAATAAATAATACAGAGGAATCAATTACTAGCACTGATTCTGAAATTAATTTCAGACATTTAGAAAGTAAAGAATCCTCTAGCAATGTTTCATTAATAGTTGATTCAAACACAAATTCTTCAACCACTGTGTCTTTAAATACAAATTCTACTAACACAGAATCTACTATTCCTAAAGATGTGACACCATTACCTACAATTACAGAACATGCAGTGGAGGCAGCAATCAATTCTCAATCAAGCACTACAACCATAAAATCTCCAGAAATTGTTAATGATTTGACAACCTTGGAACCTCCAAAAGAAGAAAACACTGACAGTGAAACTCCAATTCCTCCATTAGTATTAGACTCTCTAATTGCAAATTTTGACAAAGCTACTAAAAGCGATTTAAAGATAATACTTCAACCATCACCAAAAGAAGAAGCCTCTAATTCTGATCCAACCAGTGTCAGTACAACAGAAATAACTGCATCAAGTGGAGTGAATAACAATAATATAAATAATGATAATCAAACAGTTGACTTATCAAATAGGTTTGATAATAATTCGAATAAAACTGAACAATCGCCTGTAACCGAAGAGGCAAAAGAAGCAACAACAGGGAAACAAGAAGAAAATGTTGACAATTCAAATGTAACTGAATCGTCAATTGTAAACGAAAAAAAAAATGCAGAAGCAAGTAAAGAAAAACCCTCCGATGTTGATCCTATTAAATCTCACCCAAATATCGATGGTACAACAACAGTTACTACAACAGTTGTAGAACCTGTAACTACAGAAAATACAATTACTAAATCTACAACAATAGAGACTGATTTCAATTTCAAAAACGAACAGTCATTAGAAACTGACAAAAATAATACAACAACTAATTATCCAAAAGTAGTGAAACCTGGCAAAGAAGTTTCAACATCTGATGAAAGTACTGAAGCATCAATTATAGATGATTCAACTAAAACTAAAAATTTAAATACAACAATTATTAAAATTGAAGAAAATTCTCAACATGTTAACAAATTTTCTGAAAATGAAGAAAAAAATGTTACAAATAATACAGAGGAACCAATTTCTGAATCTACTACTGACACTACAGTTACAAAAGCATCAACTGAATTCAACAAAGTTGAACTTAATTCAAATGGAAAACCAGCAAATAATTCAGGTACTGAATGTGATACCAATATTTCTGCAAAAGAAAAAATTACAAATATTAATTCTACATCATCCAATACAATAGTACCAATTACAATTCCAAATTTTATATTGCAGAATATTTTACCTGAACAGATAAATTCAATTTTATTAAACAAAACACTAATTCCACAACTAAATTCTACTAAAGATTGGCAATATACGATATCAACACTTCAAATGCAAAAAATTGATGTCAAAATTCCTCAAAGAAAAGAAACTTAAGAATCAACTTCTTGTCATTTATAAGAAAAAATAATTTACAACAAAAAAAAAAAATTGTACTGGAAATTATTTATGAAATTAATAAAAAAAATGTCTCAATATATTATAAATCATTTATTTCACTTTGGTAAATAAAAAAATTCTTTTTCAATTTCTTTTCAAGATATTGAAATTAATAATTGTAAATAAAATGCATCAAGAGAATTAAGAAAAAGTAAAAAAAAACTTTTTTTTTAAATCTTTATCAATTATCATTTTTTATTCGTCCATTAACGCTGATTAGGATAATTTTTTTGAAAAAAAAATTTTTTTAAATAAAAAAAATTTGATAACTTACTTTACTATTTATATACATTGTAGAAAAAAAAAAAGATTATATTTACAAAATATACAATCAGTAACTTCTTTAAATTACACCTTTTTGTGCAAGTTCCTCATTTAATTTTTCTGTTGTAAGATATATTCTTCCATCGTAACCAGATTCAACATGTAAATTAACATCAGTTATTGTCAATTTTTTCAATTGATTTATAACTTTTGAATCTTTCATTATTAATTCCAGCGCTTGATCGGTGGAGAGACTTTCTAAATCTTTTCTTGTAACTTTTACAAAAGTAATATCTGCATTATTCATCTGAAAAGATAATTATTAATAAATATTTGAATCACAATATAAAAAAAAAAATGAAACAAGTGCGAGTTGCATTCGCACTAATTCGAGGGTTCCGTACAGCGACAATAATAACCTCTTTTTTATATAGAAAAATAAATTATAAATAACTGGACAGGGTCATTTTGTGCAATTTTTTCGGAAAAAAACCGATCTCTTTCCTTTCTTGCTCGTAGCCATCAAATTTAATCGGTCTCCCTTTTTTTTCCTGAAATCTACACGTGAAAATACGTATGTGTACTAAATTGCAATTCTTCATACACTTAAATCTCGTTATAACGACAAGGTCGGGACTTTAAAATCTCGATATAACGATGACAAGAGGGGCCCCCACTTCACATTCTATTTAAAAACGTGAATTTATCTGTAACCAACTTTACAATATGTCAAATTTGTTTGACATTTAATATAAACATTCTTTAGTGTATACATATACGAATGATATTAATTTCCAATTATGGAATCGGATAAAAAAGTAAGTAATTTCTGATTATTTTATAAGTGAAATTACAAGGTTTCAAAAAATAAATATTTGTTTGTAATTACCGAAATATTGCGGTTAAACTAATTAAGTATGTAGTTGCACTGTAAAAAAAGTCAGTGTTATTTTACATCGTATTACGATGGAAATTTTGTGCACACGTTAAACCTGTGGATTGACATGCAGCGTGTAATCTAACACAACCTATATGTTTTTTCACATCCCTCAAATATAACCATCAGAATACCATCTGTCGAATTACACACTGCATGTTTTTCAAAGTGAATATATATTTTTGGAAAAACATGCAGCATGTAATTCAACTTATGCATGTAATATAAACCTGCAAATGTTGTATTTATAGCATTTGCTTGTAATTTTTTTTTCTCTTTTTTCTTAACAATAATTATATTATAATTAAAGGAAACAAAATCTGATAAATCGATCGAATACTTTTTTCTTTTGAACTAAATTATTATTTAAAATGTTTTTAAATATTGAAATTCGTAATTCTCGCAACTTTTCTTTAAAAATTTTGATACAGAACTTTTTTTATAAAAATATTACAATACAATATAATTAAACATTTAAAGCAAAACTTAATAGTCTCTGCAGTACTTTTGTGTTTGAGTCTGGAAAAACAAAATCAGAAAAACCACTTGAAAAACAAACGAACGCCAGAGATAACATACTTAGTGTGAATGGCCGAAGTGAATATGAATATGAAAAACCTTAATTACATGGCCAAGGGAGAATAACACGCCACATGGAATAAACATGCAGTGTGTAATTCAACTAATGGTTTGCCGATGTTTATATTTGAAAATGTGAAAAAACATATAGGTTGTGTTAGATTACACGCTGCATATAAATTCCCTTAACATGCTACATGTAAATCCACAGGTTTAACGTGTGCACAAAATTTCCATCGTAATACGATGTAAAATAACACTGACTTTTTTTACAGTGCATGGTTACTATTTAACCTCATACAAGTTAATTGAGCAACAAAAAACTTTTTAAATTGATGAATCTAATAGCTTACATATTTAAATTCGATCGTGTTTTTTTTTAAATTGGTGGGGGTAAAGGGGACAAATTTTTGTCGTTATATAAAGAGTTTTGGTGTTCGTAATAACAAGCGAACGTTGTATCGAGATTCGTTATAACGAGATTCGAGTGTATACAAAAATGTAGAAGTTAAGGGGGGGACACAAAGCTGGGACGGAAGAAAGAGTCTTTTCATAAGGGTACACCGAAGGTGTACGGAATCCTAAAAAAGAAAAAAAAACTTATTCTTAAAACTAAAAATACTTACAAAAACACGTAATAGCATATTATAATTCATGTCAATTTGCGGCCAACATTGTTCAAGAACATCCTTGTCCCATTGTATTGTTTCGTCACACGACATTCGATGAGGAGCTGAACAAAATCCCGACCATAATTCTGATGCGAAATGAGGTGCTAATGGAGCTAACATTATTATTTGTACAGCTAATGCTCTTTCGAACTGAGGACTTCTTATGAGACATAATTTTGATATTTTACGTAAACTAAAACAACAACAAAAAAAAAAAAGTGCAATCATATTTTAATGAATAATAATTAAGTTGTTAATTAATAGATTTAAAAATTAATTATGACTTAATAATAATTTTTCATTTAACAAACCTGTTTGTAAGACCTTGCATTTTTGATATTGCGACACTTAATTGTTGAGATCCCGTGATATTAAAAGTAACTCCTTTAATATAATAATTTCTACTATCAAACATATAATAATCATCGTCTTCAAATTGTTTTCCCTCTGGCTTTGTCTTTAGCTCTTTCTCTGTTAAGGTACTTCTCAATTTTATAAAATCCTTCACCAAGAGCCAAAGTCTTTTTTGCCAATTCAAAATACCAGGAAATGCTTCAAATGAAAAATAAAAATAAAATGCAAAAAAAATGTAAATAACAAAATAATGAAGTAAACAATAAAAATAATAATGTACAATGTATTTATGAAAAAAAAAGTTTTTAAAAAATGAGTAGAATGTAAAATAATAATTACTCACTGTCCGTTGACCAATTTCGATGAGATGTTGGAGCTACATCACCAAGGATTAACAATCTTATAGTGTCAATACTATAATTAGAGATCATTTCAGAAGGATCAACACCATTGTACTTAGATTTGGACATTTTTTCCCATTTACTTTTAACTGGCAAGTTTGTTTCCTTTTCGACATAGTCTTTACCAATTTTTTGAACTTGATCTTCTTTAAGATATTTACCACTACTTTTCTCTTGAAATGACAATCCCTTTACCATTCCCTGGACCAAAAGTTGTTTGAAAGGCTCTCGAGTTGGAACAAGTCCTTCCGAGTAAAGAAAATGATTTATAAAACGAGCATAATATAAATGCAATGCAGCTGAAACATTAAAAAAAAATGTTTATAAATCAATATTTATTTCTTAAAATAAATCAAATTAGTTTTATCTCCAATTTTAATAATGGCAATTAAATTAAACAAATTTTCAAAATAATTGTTTCTAAAGAAAAATTGATAAAAAAGTTTCATAAATGAAAATAATTTAATATTATCATTTAAATTCAATTACCGTGTTCCTTTCCACCAATATAGAGATCGACGGGCAAATTTTCTCTAGCTTTTTCCTGTGAAAACATTTCTTTTTGATTTTTTGAATCGATAAATCTCATAAAATACCAGGAACTATCAACAAATGTATCCATTGTATCGGCTTCTCTCACTGCATCTTTACCACAATTTGGACATGACGTTTTTAGCCAATCGGTAGCTTCAAATAAAGATGCTTTTTTATTTTTTAAAGAACGATTTAATTTCGGCAAAATAACAGGCAGTTCATTACGATGAACTGGACGTGGACCACATGAATCACAATGAATAATTGGAATAGGAGTTCCCCAATATCGTTGTCTAGAAATTAACCAGTCTTTAATATGTTGACTCACAGGGTATCCTCCAATTTTTAATTTTTTCGCCTCATTCAATATTTGTTCACGTCTCAATTCTCTCTCTTCATTGTTAAGTTGATTAATATCAGATTCATATTGTATTCCAACAATTTTACAAAATTCCGCATCTTCTTCCGATGCTACAGGAATTCCTAAATGATCATCTCTATTTAATGATGGAAATTGAATAAGATTTGTAACATATATCGGTAATTCTTCATTTGTAAAAGGATTTATAATTTTAGCATTTAAAATTTGATAATCATCAATAGCCTCAATTCCTTCTTGTTTACATAGTAAATTACTATTTGAAATTGCTAAAAATTTTGCATCTTTTATATATTCGGGTTTATCTGTCCAGAGTGTGAGACTTTTTGGATATCCTTTAATTTCGGAAATTAATTCAAATTTAATATTTGTACCATTACATTTGCCAATCCAATTTTGTTGAATTTTTATAACGTCTCTCCATTCCTTTAAAATAGGATCATTCAAACCGTCTAATAATTGCCTACAATAAAAAAGAAGAACAGTTTTCTTAAAATTAAACAAAATTTAATTTACAAATAAAATAAAAGATACCTAGGTATCAAAATTTTCGAATTTTTTTTCTTTTTTTGTTTAATAAAATAAAAAATTATGACACTAATACTAACTTGGAAAAAGCAGTTGTTTTAATAAACCATTGCCTAAGAAGTTTTTTCTCAACTTTGGCGCCTGATCGCCAGGAACGATTATTTTCATCGACTTGTTCATCGGCTAAAACGGTTTGATCAACAGGATCCCAATTCACATACGATTCATTTTGATAAACAAGTTCTCTTTCGAATAGTTTTATGAATAGTTCCTGTGTCCATTTATAATAATCTGGATCACAAGTGGCAAATTCTCTATCCCAATCAAATAGACAGCCTAATTTTTTTAATTGCTCTCGCATCACTTTAATATTTTGATTTGTCCATTCTGCAGGATCAATTTGTCTTTCTATAGCTGCATTTTCGGCAGGCAAACCAAAAGCGTCCCATCCCATTGGATGTATGACACGTTTACCTTTAAAAAATATACAGATAAAGCGAAATTTCTCAATATAATAAAATTGTTACAAAAAAATGTAATAGGGTAAGTCCACGTCAGAAATATCAGAATCTGCAAGGGGTTCTTCGATTTTAATGATACTTGGTAAAATTATAGCTTTATTTAAGAGCAATGTGTAAGTAAAAGGAATTTTTAAAATATCTAAAATTGTAGGAGTTATATCACTTTTAATTTTGATACTGCATTTTTTTCTTTCCTTTATATCTCAGTCAATTTTCAACCGATTTTGATGAATCAAAAACGATTTTTTTCAGAAAATTACGTATTTTCAGAAAATTTTAAAATAAAAATAAAATTTTCTTATTTAAATAGAAAAAAGTAAAAAACAAAATTTCTTTTAGATTTTTTTTTCAATTTCGACCTCTTTTTTTTAATTTTTAATTTTTTAATAATATTCCTTTTTATTTTATCTTTAATTTAAAAAAAAATTCATCCTGGAGACTTTTTTAGATCTCGTGATATCGTCCTTTAAGTATTATAAGTCTTCTCAATTTGAAAATCGCAGGACTTGCTTCTATCATTACTTTCATTTGTTTGTTGAAATTTTTTATGGTTATGAATAACTATTTGTTTTAGAATCCTCTAAAAGAAAGCGCTAAAAACTTCAGCTACAATTTCAGGTTGCATTGTTAAGGTTTCATTACAATTTATTTTAAATTATAAATATTACAAAAAATAAAAACTTTGCTTCAAATCTATTAATAAAATATTGATTTGCTTGAATTTTCACTTGTTTTAGTCAAGTAATTTAAAAATAAAAACATTATTACGCGAAAGTTTCTAGTTTGTAACAATAATATTATAAAACAAATGAAAGTAGAAACACAAATCTGGATCCTAGTTTTCTTGAGATGTGGATATTTAAAGAACGATATCACGAGATCTAAAAAAGTCTCCAGGATGAATTTTTTTTTAAATTAAAAATAAAATAAAAAGGAATATTATTAAAAAATTAAAAATTAAAAAAAAGAGGTCGAAATTGAAAAAAATCTAAAAGAAATTTTGTTTCTTACTTTTTTCTATTTAAATAAGAAAATTTTATTTTTATTTTAAAATTTTCTGAAAATACGTAATTTTCTGAAAAAATCGTTTTTGATTCATCAAAATCGGTTGAAAATTGACCAAGATATAAAGGAAAGAAAAAAATGCAGTATCAAAATTAAAAGTGATATAACTCCTACAATTTTAGATATTTTAAAAATTCCTTTTACTTACACATTGCTCTTAAATAAAGCTATAATTTTACCAAGTATCATTAAAATCGAAGAACCCCTTGCAGATTCTGATATTTCGGACGTGGACTTACCCAATAAGAAAAAAAAAAATTTTTTATTAAATACTTTTAGAAAATATCATTTTTACATGTTATTGAAAAAAAAACTTCACCATTCAATCTGTGAAAACGAGCAACGGAATCACTGATTGCGTACACACGAACGTGACCCATGTGAAGTGAACCAGATGGATATGGAAACATTGAAAGTACGTAAAATTTATCTTTTTCTTTTCCATCCTGATTTTGATTAACTAAATTCACTTTTTCCTTCCAATATTCTTCAATTTTATGTTTTATGTCCGTATCGATTATCTTATCCTAAAAATTAAGAAAATCGCTTTCTCAGTGAGATTTTTTTGTGATCAAATTATGGTAACTTATTTATTATTAAAATAATTTTAAAAAAAGTTGTTAAGTTGTAGTTTCTTGACGTTTGCAAAGATAGATTTTTAACATTAATAACTTCGTAATATTTTATAATAAGAGATTCATTAATAGGTCAATTAATTTGTTTTTAAATATTCTCTAAGTTGGTTATGATAATTTTAAAGTTACATAAAGATTTTTAAACAAATAATGCAAAAATCAGGTTTTTCAAAATTTTTTAATTTTAATAGCTTTGCATAAAATAACATTAGAATTTGTCTTAAAAAACTCTGTAAAATTAAAGAAAAATATTTAAAGGTGTCAATAAATTTTTTAAGTTTCGGTAATTTTTGGTATTTTCTCTATGAGGAAGCAATACAAATTAATTTATTAATAATAAATCATTGATTGTCATCACTAATTATGACACATTTTTTTTAACAATTTCTTAAAAACAAAACTAATTTTCTAAAATAATTATAGAAACAAATTTAAATAAAATGTATTTTTCACCTATAAAATTAGTAAATTTAAAAAACGTACACAAATACTATACTAAACAAATACAATATTAATTTATAACATTTAAAAAAATATCTATTGTTCATAATAACAAAAATGTTAAATTAACATAACCTCAAATGTTAACTTACCCACAAACCCAAACCAGCTGATGCATATGTTCGAGGAATTTGTTTAAAAATAACATTATTAATTAGATTTGCAGACCGAGTTCTTATAATTACGTTGTATTTCATATTGTCAATAGATTTCTTTATTGACAATTGAAAATAATAGTTTATTTACGTTTAGCGCGTGTAGCAGACGATGTTTTCCTGACAGGTACATATTACAATGCTAGTCAAATGAAAAACTCGTCAATATATAATATTTCTATAAATATAATTGATTCTCCATAAAATTAAAATTATTAAATCTTCTTCAAAAATATTTATTGAAAAATAATATATATAATGTATAAATTATTAAGAAAATAAATTAAAAATTTTAAAAATCGGAAATTGTGTGGTAAAACTTACGTAGTACTTTGTACCTAACCTCTCTTTTTTCGCTGGTCAGCGTATTATAAACAACTTGGTGAGTACATATTTCTCTATTTTAATCAAAAAATATCGAAATAATCTTATGTTATAAAAGATTAAAACTATTATTTAAAGGTATTGTTAATTATTTTATTCATTTTTACAACAATAGTTTACATTTATGTTGTAAAACTATTTGAATAAAACTTGTTTCTAGCATGTGAAAGAGGTTATGATGAACAATTGTCATTTATTCTTTTAAAATAACTTTTATTAGCTTTTATTTTATATTTTTGTTTTAAAAATGCTTTCTTGAGATTATTATATTAACATGAGAATAAAACATTACTTGTATTGTTTACTAATTATGACAGGTTGAACATAACCTATATTACACTTTCATGTCGATAATTTATATACCTATATATCTCTTATAATTTATATTTATAAGATTAGTTGTAAAATAATTCAACCCTTTTTTTTTTTTGTTAATAAAACTGATTTTTATTTTCTACAGTGCAAAAATGGGGAAGCGAAATAATATGATCCCGAATGGCCATTTCCACAAGGATTGGCAACGTTTCGTAAAGACCTGGTTTAACCAACCAGCAAGAAAATTCCGTAGAAAGCAAAATAGAGTTAAAAAAGCACGTACTCTTGCTCCCAGGTATGTAATTGTTGCATTTTAATATCAAAAAAATTAATAATAAAAATGTCTTACTCTTTTCACTAAACTAATTTTTACTTTGTGAATGTCAGTTTTCTGTATATACTTTAATAAACCGTATAATTTATCATTTAGTGTAAATCATTTCAATATAATTTTGATTATTTTTAAAATAGTGTAATTTTTCTCGAATGTTTTCTATTTTATAATTATAATTGCTTGTTAGTCTATTTTATAATTAGTTAATTTATATGAAAATATTTTTAAAGGCCAACAGAACTTTTGAGACCAGTGGTTCACTGTCCAACTGTCAGATATCACTCGAAAATTCGAGCTGGAAAGGGTTTCACTCTTGCTGAATTAAAAGCAAGTGGTTTGAATAAACATTTCGCAAGAACTATTGGCATTGCAGTTGATCCACGACGAAGAAATAAATCCGTCGAATCTCTGCAAAAGAATGCTCAGAGACTTAAAGAATACAGAGCCAAATTAATTCTGTTCCCAATGAATGAGAAGAAGGTAAATTTCCAAAAAGAAAAAAAAATGATATTTAATTTTTTTAAATTGAAAATAAAATTCACTCTATTTTTTTGCATCAAATATAGTGAAAATTAACTGTTATTTATTTAAAAATGTCTTCTTTCTTTTTTTTAGCCCAAGAAGGGAGAAGCAACTGAGGAAGAACAAAAGGTAGCTGTTCAATTTAAGGGACAAATTATGCCGTTCAAACATCAAGCCCCAGCGAAGGCTAAAGCCAGTGTATTAACAGATGAGGATAAGAAATTCTCAGCTTATGTTACGCTTCGCAAAGCCAGAGCAGACGCACGTTTAGTTGGAATTAGAGCGAAACGCGCGAAAGATGCTTCAGAAAATCCAGACGATGTGACAAAAGTTGCATCCAAAGAGAAGAAAGCTAAAAAGTAAACATCTTTAACTTTGTCATCTATTATTATATAATAAACTGGAAATTCCAACAAATACTTGATTTTTTTGCTTTCCTAAATATTTTACATATATGGTTTAACAAATTAAAAACAAAAAATTTTAAATAAAATTTTTTAAAAATACAATTAAAAGGGGAATTAAAAAAAGGACAAAAAAAAAAAATCTTTAAAAAATGACGAAATAATTAAAACAAATTTTTTATTGTACGAAATAAATATAGACAATTTCAAAATATACATTTACATTACCCGTAATTATTGTTGCGTGTGTTTTTAAAAAATAAGAAATCTCAATTAGTCTTAGTTTATAAAAATAAATAATTTTTAACATAATTTCTAAAAAAAAAATTGTCTAATCTTTTTTTTTTAAAAAAAAAATGACTGCCAGCAGTCTAAAAAAATAGAATTTAATTTTACAAATGTTTTTCATGTCATTTTAAATGTATAAACAATTAATTATTATTCCAGAGAATATTGAAGACTATATTCAATATTCAATAAATTGATTTTAAATTTTAATCACTAGATTAGCGAGTTCTTTCGAAAAAAAAAGTTATCAAAATCTTTAACACTACAAGTGGTGCATACTATCAGCCTTTGTACGTTAGAATATTATGTTCCTTTTTTTTTAGGATTTGTTTTCTGTATCGACGGAAATTAATAGTGATTATCTATAATCGGAACAAATTAAAGTCTTGATCGACGCAAATAATTGTCCAATTGTGCCAATTGTTGAAGAAATCCTTCATTTGGATGAATATCTCTGCCTTGACGAACAATTTTTATTGCATCAGCAGCCAACATGTTTCTTTTTATCATAAGAAATGCTAAGACACATGTTGCACTTCGTGAAACTCCCACGAGGCAATGGACATATATTTTTCCTAAAATGCATATCTAATCATTAGTAAGAAAAAAATTTATTTCATTGGAAAAAAAAATTTAATTTTCTAAAGTAAATTTGAAAAATGATGTTTTAAACAGTATTATCACATTATATAATTATTTAACGATTTGGAAATTTTAAATATCAATGATAAATAACTTTTTTTTTTTATAAAAATCTTGGAAAATGCATACCTCCTGATTTTAAAGCATCTTCGATAAAATCAGCAGCAGTTTGAAAATACTGACTAATATCTTGGGACGGTACATCTAAAATAGGCAAGCCCAAATATTTTATCGGAGTGTCTATATAATAATATTTATCAGTTCGACAAAATCCAAATTTCTGTCCTTCAGCACAATTCAATAAATGCGTAATTTTCAATTTATCCAGTAAATATGGTTTATTTTTTGCAGTTTCACTGAAAATAATAATTATTTACAATAACAAATAATAATCCTTTTTTTTTTGTTTTTTACATAAATTGTAAATTTGAGTAAAACAGAAACTAACAAGTCTCCAAGAAAAATATTTGGATAAACTTCGTCGCAATCGATATTTTGTTGTAGACGATAATATTCTTTTTCATCAATATTGGGATCAAATCCTGGCAATGGTGTATATTGTCTTCTTTTTGTTGTAAAAAGAGCTTCCGTCAAATGACGTCGCGTTGTTTCTCCACCGACTAAGAACTTTTGAAAGTCCTGAGAAAAAGTTCTTAAATATTATTTTTTTTTACTCATAAACAATGCAAATTCAATTTAAATTCAATTCAAATTCAATTTTATATATATAAAACAAAAACCTGTATAATTAGAATTAAAAATAATAGTTTGTAAAAATTTTCATTTCTGTGATAATCATACATTAAATATTTAAGTTTAACTTTAAATTTAAACTGAAAAAGAAAATGAATGATAAAAAAATATAATTACACAAAATGATGAAATTTTTAGGTTATAATTTTTTCCCGCAAATATTATTTAAGTTATTACAAACTTACCCTGTCCCGATCTCTCCATGTGCTCTGCATTTTGTATTCTAAAACTTTTTTTTGTGATAAAAGTAGGATTTCACGAAACCTTCGAATACAATAATAAACGTTTATTTTTAAATATACTTACGAAACTTTGTTGAGGAATTCGCGACAGTTTACAAAGTGTCAGAATATTGCGATCAGAGATTTTCAGAAAAGATAAGAACACAATTAATTTAACAGATAAAATGACTATCAAAAAAAAATTCTAGAGAATTTCACATAGATAAATTACGCTTCACTTTATATATCACTATTATTAAATTCAATAACAAATATATATGACATCAAATAAATACAAAAACAATAAATATGACTCACGTTGTTAAACTAGCCGACCAATGATGACTCATATAATATTTTGAATTGCGCGGTAACTTTTTAAATCGATTTCGACAGAACGATTAATTTTTTTTTTTATTATTCAATAATATTTAATTAAATATATGAATATATTTAATAAAGACATTAAACCGAATAGAAGTAGATAATTATAATAATTGTAAAATTAATTAATGTTCAATTAAAAATATTTTAAAATAAATATTAAAAAAAATATACCTATTATATTTTATTTTGAATTTAAGATACTTACCAAAATAGATTCTTGAAATATTTTGTTTTCAAAAATGTTGTTTAAATATTATTCTTTTTGATACTGTATAATTATTTTTTTTATTTATTTATAAAAGTATAAAAGTAAATCCTTTATATAAAGGATTAAAGAAAAAAATTTATTTACAGTTAAAAAATTATTTTTCTCGTAAAAGTCCTGTTGCTTTGATCGATCTCCCTATTAAACTGCTTCAATGAATATAAAAATTTATTCTTCAATTTTAATCATTATGCCTTATAACGACCTTGATAATTATTTCCCCCCTCCACAAAATCTAATTACAATTAGGAAGTACAATATTATAGTTCACAAAATAAAATTAAATTAAAAAAAAAGAAAAAATATTTTTCCTCTCATTTAAAAAAAAATTCATTTATTTTCTTTTTTTTTAATATATAAATATAAAAATGGAACAATAATTCTGAGTATCGAAATAAATGTAAAAAAAAAAAAAAAATAATTAAACCGTATATCAAAACGTCATATTTTTTTTTCAGATTTCCATATTAGTCCTAATCAAAATTTGCATATTATAGTTTATAAAAGGCTAAGTCTCAAGGTAAACTACGTGTGTTGTGTATCTATAGAATTATAATATTTTTCCGTCGCATATACCGGAAGAAATATACTGTATAAATAAACAATAAAAATATATGACAATAATATAAATATAATAATTATTATAAAATTTATCATTATAGGACTATAATTTTACAATATATTTTCTTTTTCACACTTTCGAGTACGTGTCAAATGTCGATTTTTCATGTTCTTCATCATGTCTTATAAAATTTTTTTCTTTCATATCATTTTTAGGTGATTTTTTTGAAGAATTTTTATTTTCCACTGATTCTGATGGTTTTGTTATTGTTGGCGTTTCTTCTTTTGTATGGCGCCATTTCATTCTTCGATTTTGAAACCAAACTTTCACCTTTTGAAAGCAGAAAAAAATTTATTATATATAAAAATTATTATTATATTTATTACTCAGGGTCAAAGGAATTATTATTGTTATTATTATTAATATTAATATTAGTTAGTATTATTATTATCATTATTACTGTTTATTAAAATTATTAATAAAATATAATAATTATAAATAATGATTAAAATTAATTTAATTAAATAAATTAGACAAACAATAAAAAAAAAAACATTATATTATTATATTTACTTGTGCATCCGTGAGGCCTAAAGTTGCTGCTAATTGTCGTCGATCGGGTTTTGTTATATATTTTTGAAGAGAAAATCTTCTTTCTAATCCTTTTCTTTGCAATGAACTAAATACTGCTCTGGACCAGGATCGTTTCCTTCTACTGCCAACATCCTTTACATTGGAAATATTTGTACTATTGGAAACTATTGGAACTGTTGTAAAATGAAAATAAAAAAATATTCAATTTATTTTAAAAACCAAGTATTATTTAACGTTATTTAATTAATTTAACAACCAAAAATATTAAAAACAATTTTATTATTTAACATTGAAAATTCAAAAATTGAAAAAAATAAAGTTAGAAGTTTTTTTTTTTTTGCTTTTTATTTTATTTTTTTTTTAAATTAAAACTAATAAAGAATTAAAAAATAAACTATTTATTATAAAAATAATAATAATTATTATTTATTTAATAATATTAATGACTTTATTATTGTAAACAAAAAAATATATATTTCATTAAAAAAACGATAATTATGAAGAATTTTTTTTTATAATCCCCACCCAAAAAAAGTACTCATTGATTTTTTGAAAGAAAAAGTAATAAAATGCAAGAATTAAATTAATAGATGTGAATTTCCATGAAAAAAAAAAAAATAGAAAAAAAAATTGAATGAAATTGATATGCGTTCTGTATAAAGTATCAACACGTGAGTTTATTTTTCTAAGAGAAAAGAGATCTTTAGAGATTTTTGGAATCAATCTTAAGAAGCACAGTAAGATTATATAACTAACCATTAAATCACCCAAAGCAAACCACTGTTTATAACAGATATAAACGCACAGTGGCACTTAAGATGTCGTTTAAACACAGACAGGAAATTTGGGAATACACTGTCAAGTAAATAATTTATCCTATACTTGCCCTCGTATATGTAGAAAAAGACAAAAAACACATATGGTAGCATTTGTTAATGATACAAATCATTAAAAGTCACAGAACATGTACAAACATTTTTTTATTTTATTTTTTTTTTAATTATTTCTATAAACAATGTATATATATATATAATATCTATTACAAATATAATATTATTCATTTTTAATTAATTAAAAATTAATTATTAAAATTATTATTAAAATGTCACGCAGAGAAAAGTTTATTTATATAAAACTTTATTGATTGAAATATTAATTTTCATAATAATTAAAAAAAATTAACTAATCAATAATTTATATAGTATTGATCAAAAAAATATAGAGTAAATGAAAATAAATTTATAAAATAAAACAAATTTTATTAATAATAATTTATTTCATTTAACAAATTTAATTATTTAATTATTAGTAAAAATTATTTAAATTTAATTTTATTATTTTTCGCATATAATTAATAGTTTCTTTTAATATATATATATATATGATTTATTCCACGCCAAAGTGTAAGTCCATCTGCAGTTGCATCTACGATTTTTTTTTCTTTTTAGTACTAATTGAGACTAGCTTCCATGAATTTTTTAAAAATTTTTTTAGGCAAGCGTTATGAAATTTTGAAAATTGGACAATTTTCATGTTTTTTTAATTTTTGAATGCTCATAACTTCCTTAAAAATGCATCAATTTTAAAAGTCTTTTTTTTTCAAAATGTGTGTTTTTAAACGTACTTTTCAAAAAAAAAAAAAAAAAATGAAATTTTTTTTAAACGATATTATTATCAAATTTTTGAGTTTTAATGATAAAAAGTCATTTTTCTCATTTGACGTACTGATCGATTTTTTTGAAAATTTTTTCAAAAAAACTACTTCTTTTACAAAACTTTCAAGCCTAGCCCGATAATGGACAAACGATTTTTACAATCGGAATTTTTCAAAAATTTTTGAATTTTGAATTTTTAAAAATTTTTTTTGTTTTTTTTTTTATACTACGTACTTTTATGTATTTTGATGCGCTGATTACGAAAATAATAGTGACAATACCCAAAAATTTGATTTTTATGGTGAAAACCATAAAAAAGTCCCAAAATTTATATACATTTAAAAATTTTTAAATTTATTTGATTCAAATACCGGTGTATTTGGTTATTATCAAATAAATATATTTACTTGAATCAAATATTTCTTATTTGAGGCTGTTTCTACTTCAATTCATGCAGGGCGAATAGGTTGAAAATTCTAAATCAAGTTTAATGTGATTTTTCTTGTTTTTTATGACAAATAAAGAGATACGTATTTTTTGGTTTGGCGAAAAAAAATTTTTTCGCAGAGTTATGAGTATTTGAAAATTTTAAGGCACATAGTGATTTTAAAGCTAAACAGCTGAAAAATTATTTTTAAACCTTTCTAGTTTTTACAAAAATTAATATTTTTCAATTCTGTTTCTTGATTTTAGTAGTGTTTTTGATTGGCGATTCAAACAGCTACACTAGCGCCACAGTTGAACTAATTTAGGCGTGACTCGCTCTAAAGCAGTCTCTGTTTTGACAGTTTATTTCAAATTATTTAATTATTCTGATATTTTTATTGCGTTTGTAAAATTATTTTTAAGCGTTAAATAAAAAAAAATAATTTAAAACACATGGAGTGCTACAGAGCGAGTCACACCTAAATTAGTTCAACTGTGGCGCTAGTGTAGCTGTTTGAATCGCCAATACTCTTTCTTTACAAACTTGAAAATTTGAAAAAATTTGAAAATTAACAAAATGGCGGACATTTTTTAAAAAATCAAAAAAGTCAATTTTCTCAAAAACATCATTTTTTAATTTGCTGCAAATTTTTTTGTGGTTTCTAGATAAAAAAAGGAACTTTTTCCAAAAGGTCTCATGTTCGCTAAAACTTTCTGGAAGTCGCTATAATTTTTTTCAGAAAATAAATAACTCAGTATTTTGAGTAATGTGTCGACACATATATTTTTCATGTATACAAGGGTCTTCATCTTTTTTAATAGTGCTTTTGACACTTTTTCTTTTCAAAATTGCAAATTTCAAAAACTAACAAAATGGCGTCGGTTTTTCAAAAAATATAAGATCTCAATTTTCTCCAAAATATTTTTTATTTTGCTGAAAATTTTTTTGTGGTTTCTAGATAAAAAAAATAATTCTTTCAAAAAAGGTGAGTTTTTCTTAGTAAAGTTGAAAACTTTCAAAAATTAACTAAATGCCAGCCATTTTTAAAAATTGTTAAAAATAACTATATTTATTGTAATATTTATTAATAAGTAAAATATTAAAGATTAACTTACTTATTTATTTATTAATAAATATTACAATAAATATAGTTATTTTTAACAATTTTTAAAAATGGCTGGCATTTAGTTAATTTTTGAAAGTTTTCAACTTTACTAAGAAAAACTCACCTTTTTTGAAAGAATTATTTTTTTTATCTAGAAACCACAAAAAAATTTTCAGCAAAATAAAAAATGTTTTGGAGAAAATTGAGATCTTATATTTTTTGAAAAACCGACGCCATTTTGTTAGTTTTTGAAATTTGCAATTTTGAAAAGAAAATACACCGGTATTTGAATCAAATAAATTTTTAAATTTTTAAATGTATATAAATTTTGGGACTTTTTTATGGTTTTCACCATAAAAATCAAATTTTTGGGTATTGTCACTATGATTTTCGTAATCAGCGCATCAAAATACATAAAAGTACGTAGTATAAAAAAAAACAAAAAAATTTTTAAAAATTCAAAATTCAAAAATTTTTGAAAAATTCCGATTGTAAAAATTGTTTGCCCATTATCGGGCTATAGGCTCAAAAGTTTTGTAAAAAGAAGTAATTTTTTTGGAAAAAAAATCGATCAGTACGTGAAATGAGAAAAATGACTTTTTATCATTAAAACTCAAAAATTTGATAGTAATATCGTTTAAAAAAAATTTTCCATAATGATCTTAAAAAATAAAATTCAAAATTCAAAATTTATTACTTACGTCTTGGTATTGGTCGTACGGGGGATGGTCTATAAATACTAGCATAATTTTCGAGTGAATTATGAAAATGATTGGAATTTGTAAATGCAATTGAGCCTTGCATAAAACTCGACGAATAAGGACATGGAATACAGCCGCGAATGGCATCACACTTTAAACAATTTCCGTTACACGATTTTGATTCTGGTGGAAAAAAATGAACTGTCACCGGACTCAGATAATCTAAAACAATCGATATTATAGGTAGAAAAAAAAATTTCTTTAAATAAAAACACTAGGTATTTTTAGAAAATATTTTTAAATTCTAACAAAAATTATAAGAAATAAATAATGAAATTATTTATAATAATGATGATAATAATAATAATAATAATAATAATAATAATAACAATAATAATAATAATAATAATAGTAAATTATAATAATTAATCAAGATTAATTGAATTTAAAGACGAAACAAAATTCGAAAACCAAATTTAAACGTACCTGATTTTTTTAAAAAGATTTCATTTGATAATATTCGATCAACTCCAAAAGTCAAATGTTTTGAACTACTTCCACTTTCAGAATTAGATTTAATATTAATCGTATCCATAATTATTATCACTTTTTCAAACACTTTTGTTTTTATTTTTAAAAAAAGAATACTGTCTCATAATTATTATTTATCATTGTGACTCTTGAATAATATTTCAAAATTTTCAAAATTATTCAGAAAGTATAAAAATAAAAAAAAAAATACAATTCCAAATCATTTGCTAATTGTTCAAAAAAAAAAAAAAAAGAATAATATTTCACATAAAAATAAAGAAATTAATTAATTTTATAAATTATCGTAATTCAAATGAAAAAATCCTAGATTTGATTTAAAAAAAAATAATATAATTTTAATTAAATTTCATTTTTCAATTAAAAAGGTAAAATTAAAAAAAAAAAAGAACAATGAATTTAAATTATTAATATAGATTATTAGTTATTGAATTTTCACATTAATAAACTGAGGAGACAATTATATAAACCGATTTTGGAATTGACGTGCTCAAGAATGAAGCTAAATAAGCGTAACCAAGGGGTTAGAGTTTTCAAGACATCTCGAAGATTTCCCGCCCGAAAAAAAACATCATCTTTAAACTTGCATCAATCTCAACTACATGATTGGCTTTTGAAAACGAGGTGGGCGTTCCTTTAAAATACAACACGAGTGTACTCGGGGGTGATCTTCTCTTTGGATGCTGTGAAAATAAATACTTGGTTGCATATTGTTTCGGGGAAACCGCTAAATTCATTCTTTATAATACACACATTTGCTCAAACATTCTGGGTTAATCGATAAATTTATCACATTTTTTTTTTTTTTTTTTTTGTAAATGTTGCATATAAATTTGAGGTAATTTTTGTTTTTTTTTTATCATTTTTATTTGGCATAATAATTTTCAATTGACATATAAAATTTATTTGGTATAAATGTCATTTGTCATAATTCTAATTCGGCATAATAAATCGGCATAAATTCGGCATAAAAGTTCTAGAGTGAACCCGATGAATCTTTTTGTTTAAATATTTTGTTCATAAAAATTTTTTCAACTTGATTTTATTTTTCAAAATTAAAATGTACTTTATTTTGCTTTTCTGTGGGTAAAATTATTTAAACAAAAAGTTTCCTGAGACCAAGTCTAAAACATTTTGCAAGATTTTCTTTTTGTTTTCAGATATGCAATAAACCAAAAAAAAAAGTTTCAACGTTCAAACTAAAAAGAAATAAATTTGTTTATAAAAAATTAATATTTAAAAAAAAAAAAAAATTTATAATATAAATTTAATTAAAAAAATTAAATACAATCGCAAAAAAATGGCACAAATGTTATATTATCAATAATATAAAATATATAATTAACCTTTCTTAATAGAAATTATAAAAAATAGTTAAACCTACAAACTTATATATTTCAATGGTCAATAAAATTATTGTAATTTGTTTCTGGATGTTATTCTTCAGTTTTTTTCCAAAAGTGAATTATAAACAAAAATTTAATGTTAATTAAAAAATAATTTAGATAATTTTTTTAATAATTACCTAATTTCAGGAATTTAGAATTCATTATTTATTAAATCATTATATTTGTGATGAGTTAATTTGTAAACTAATTTTGTTTTATGTAAATTGAATTGAATTCAATGTTAATTTATTTATATTTGATATAATAATTAATAAATTAAGGGGGTAGTCTGGTGTTTCGATGCCATTTTGGGAGCTTATTTCAGGATTTTTTTTTATTATAAAATAAAATATAATCACACCAAATCTTTTTACTTCGTTTTATTCTAATCACGAAGTGTTGAAAAAAATTATAATCGATTATTTTTTACTAGATTTTGTTATTTATATTTAATATTAATGTTTATAACAAAAAAATGCTGGCGCAGATGATTTACAAAAATCTATCCGATCGATTGCTCCAATTTTTTTACAGCTTATTCTACACAAGCATGGCACTGGCCCGTACTAGAATAAAACATTTTTGTTAATAAATAACAAAATAGCAGACTATATAAGCAAAAAGATTCAAAAATTGTCTCTTTTTTATTGACAAAAAGTTAAAAATAAAAAAAAGTTATCATTAAAATTGCGTTATTCTAGTACGGGCCACAGCCATACTTGTGTAAAATAAGCTAAAAAAAAAAACTTGGAGCAATCGGTCGAACAGATTTTTGTAAATCACCTGCGTCAGCATTTTTTTTTATATAAACATTAATATTAAATATAAATAACAATGTCTAGTAAAAAATAATCGATTATAATTTTTTTCAACACTTCGAAAGAAGAATAAAACGATGTAAAAAGATTTGGTGTGCGATTATATTTTATTTTATAATAAAAATAAATTCTGAAATAAGCTCCTAAAAAAAGGCCTAAACACCAGACTACCCCCTTAAAGTGAATAATAAAATAATTAAATAGTTAATTGCATAATTATATATACATTATAATTATTTTATAAACATTTTTATTTTTACTGAACTGTTTTTATATATTATAAAAACTTTGGTTTTATAATAAATATATTTTTTTTATTTATTTTTTAATTTTCTTAAAATAATAATTTGCAATATATTTTATACTTAATAAAAAATAAAAACTCTTGGTGTTTTCGATTTTATATATTAATAAAATATTAATTAGTTAGTTGACTAATTTAATTAATATTTAATTTGTGTTGGGTTACTAAAAAATATCACAAACTTTTTCCTAAGTATACCAAAAAATTATTACCTGGAGTGAAACTCTGTTACAGTTAAAGCTTTTTTTTTCGTATACAATAAATTACAAAACTGCCAGTACTCGGCAAATATTGAACCAGTAGTGGTTAGCAGTACTAGTGCCAACTCTAGCATCCAATACTGGTAAAATGTTATCATCCCAAAGTTTCGCCAACTCTGGCGCCAATACTGCACAGAAAATTAAAAGGCATTAAAATAAGCTGCAACGTTTATTATTTTAATCCAATTTTGCTTATTTTAATCCATTTTGGTATTAAAATAAGCAAAATTGGATTAAAATAATAAGCGTTGCAGCTTATTTTAATGCCTTTTAATTTTCTGTGTGAATGCCAGTACTGCGCCATTAGTAAATTTTTGATTGGGTTGTATTTAACGTAATTAATATTTGGCATAATTCTCGACTGGAAAATTACTTTTGTGCCAAGAAAGATTGATGGCAATTGAAATTTATGTCAAATGGAACTTATATCAAGAGTATTATGTCGAATATGATTTTTAATTTTAACCTATATATTTATTTATAGCAAGTAAATATTATGTCAATAATACATTTTAAATGAATAAATAATATAAAATATATCTTAAAAATTAAGATAATTTTATTAAAAGTTAATTCATCATTGTAATTATACGAACAAAAATTGATATAGAAATTTGAACGTTAAAAGGAAATTGCATTTCCAACTGTATTTTGTAAAAGCCATATGGTTAACTTTATATACAAGACTTTTATGTATACAGTGACTTTTTAGTTGTTTATTTGAAGAGCCATGTTTAAAGCACGCCACTACCCACACGGCAGGAATCATCTATTGAATATGTACACTTTCAATCTTCTATTCGATTTTATTAGATTTTAGGATTTTCTGTATATATCTGCATTTGTAAATTAAAATTCACCATATACTCTCGCTTCTTTTAATGTACTTTCAAAATCTATATATTAATCAACACACGCAGAGAAATGATATATTTGTCTCACAGCCTATAATAAATATTTATTTGATTTAAATAAAAAATTTTATTTACGCCAAATTAGGCTATGAGACAAATATATACATTTATTTAACTAAAATATATTATATTTGGGTCAAATAAAACATTTGATTCAATATATATTTTCTTGATCCAAGAAAATTTTACTATAGTTTGAAGTAAATTTTCTTGAATAATCAATAAAATCAGTTTAGAAAATGTACATACATTTCACTGGTTTAAAAAAATAATACGAATATAATAATATAAATAAAATTAAAAAATAAATAGTTACATATTTAATACCTATATATAATTTTTAAATAATTTTTATATGTATTTAAAATTTTAGGATAAAATAAATAATATATTAAATAAATGTATAAAAATTGTAATTGTATATAGTATGATAATTTTAATTGATTAATTTATTATTAAATCTAATTTGAAATTGGAAAATTGGAATTGAGTTTTATTTAAAAAAAAAAAATCAAAAGTATCCAATTTTACCGACATTTTTCTACAAACATTACCAACATAATCATTCTATAGCAACCGGTACGTGCTGCTATCTAACAATATTCCACAACTTTGAAACTCCTGACAAAGTCTCAATTTTTTACTGTATTTTCTATTGTATATATATATATATATTTTTTTTTTTAATTGAAATTTTTACTTTATTAAATTAATAACATTATATAAGATTAACTATAATTGCAAATTAATATTAATCCACAAAAAAAGAAAATGTTTCTAATAAATTAAAATTTATTATTATATTTATATTAATTTACTAAATTTAAATGTGTTTTAACTATAAAAAATAAATTAAATTTTTATTGATTTAGAAACAATACAATGTTTCAATAGGAAATAAAACATGACATACTGTAATGTAGTTTAATCAAATATATATATATATATATATATATATATATATATATATATATATATATATGTATATTTTGATAGAAAAGGGGTCGTCCATAAATAACGTAATCATTTTTTTTTACCTTTTTTGACCCACCCCCCTCCCCTATGTCACACACTATTGCGTACATTAGCGCCATTTTTTCTGTTGGTTGTTACAAATGTACTGACCCCCCCCCACCCTTAAAGTGTAACATAATTTATGGACGACCCCAAAGAAACATTATTATAGAACACGTGTATATCATTAAAAATTAATAGAACAAACTCGCCCAGTGAATATGGAAAATTATTATTATAATAATATTATTATATTTCAAATAAATTGTCAAATTTGTTATGTAAATAAATATATACCTATTTTTTTGATTAAAGAAACAAGTATTACATATTAAATATAAGATATAACACACAAATTCAATCGTCATAAAATTTTATCAAATTAAAATTGAAAATTTATTAATATTATATACACTCAGAAAAAAATTTGACACAATTAAGTGAATACTTT